TGACGTAACGCGATCGCATCATCCCAGACGCGACCGGGCAGATTTCGTTTGGCGACTAGTTCGGGCTCTGTGGTATCGGGCGTGTAGATAGAAATTCGATGTTCGGCTGGACATAGAAGAGCTTCTGGAACCGTCCAGAGACGACTTCCCCAGTCTTGTAACCATTGTGCTTTTGTACTTGGTGAATTTACATCTAGCCCTTCGTGTGAGTAATTAGCATAATTAAATTGTGGGCCGACAATTATAGCCATCGAGTGACACGCCCGCACAATATCACATATTCGATACACTTCCCCTATACTCTCATCCGCATCCTCGTCTTCTTCAGGTCGTATACACTCATAGTCTATCCAAAAGGCATCTATACCCGCGGCTTTGGTAGCGCGTATCGCGAATCGGATTAGCATATCCATGTCTCTCTCCGCAGCAGCTCTCCGCCGAGCGTTAATCGAAGATGGTAAACTAGGATCTCCGGAGATAATAGTGTAGAATTGGAGACGCGTGTAAGAGATAAATATGTAATCTGGATAACTGTCCCCGTGGGATCGAGTCCAGGTAGATACGTGTCGGGTGGTGTAACCAGTGGATGAGGAGGCGTCTATGAAACAAAGATAGGCAGGGCCGAGTTGTCGGTCAGGTACATCCTGTGTGTTTGAGAGCTGGATGGATGCATTCTGGGGTGGGATGTGGTTTGATTCGGAGATACTGTGAAGACTCATTAAGTCGGTAGAGAGAGCAGCTTCTTCGTCCGAATGAGTGTTATCTGCAAGTAAACGTCGTTCCTGCAATGAAGAAGGAAAAGACAAATTTCCTTGTGGATGAGACTGGATTTGGTCATGACGTCCTAGTTTCGGACGATTGTAGTCCCATTCACTGCGGTTATCTTTTCTGGTTTGAAGGCTGAGTTCGCCAGGGAACCGGGGATGAAAAGGTACCTGTTGGATTCTTTAGTTTGACATACTTTTACCCATAATCTTGTAACTGTTATACAAAGTTGAATACGTACGAGTAAAAAAAGCGGTACTGTTCCAATGAGTCGTTTCACAAGCATGTAGCAAAACTCCGAGACTCTAAGTAGCCAAACACACTTCCCGACTAACTTCCTCCAAACATTTCTCTCTTCGAAGTCGAGGTCGATATCGCTGGGTATCTCGTGAAGAGGTGCATAGATCCAAAGGATGAGTTTTATCACAAGATTCTTGCGAGAGATGAGATGTGATGCATCGAGGATTGTGCGCGGTATGAGATCCATGCCAGAGTCCGCGGAATCAACTCCTCTTTTCGATTCCCCGTTCTCATCGCTGGTATCATTGCTATTGCTATCATGGCCATGTCGTTGCTGAATATACCAGCTCCATGCTCCGTATGTCAGGGCTGTGAGATATGAGGCTCTTTTTATATGTGTTATTATTTTGTCATAATATGAGGATTGATTGAATGTGAGATGTATGATTTGAGTTTGGGTGATGGGATATTTATTTGCTTGTGTCTTGATAGGGGATTACAAAACACATAAAAAAGACGCGTATTAAAACTCAAATAGGGAGAAGAAAAAGAATATATACAGCAAAATCCCCAGTCGTCCCCAAGCATAAACCGAATACCGTCGGTATCGACCACGTCGGGAAGTGGAGGCTAATAGTGATAAATAAAGTGTTGTTTGAATGACGCGATAAAGGTTAGAGAGGATATGATAGGGGGGTCGAAGGCGGAGAGTGGATGTATAGTGGAGATAGAGTTCGCGGAGGAGGAGGAAGAAGCCGAGGAGAGAGGAGAAAGAGAGAAATGGGTAATAGCTAGAAGAGGATTAGTGGAGATTGTTGGGATGAAAGGGGGAAGGATATAAAAGTAGGATGAGCGAATGAGAAGGATGATGATGGAAAAATGGGCGGGGAAAGGGAATCCACGGGAGCGGAAGAATATAGGAAATATGAGAAAAGCGAGGGAGCACCGAAGAAATAAATGAGTGGGGCGGAAATAAAACATACACAGGCCACCGGTATAAATTCTGGCGGGCTATCAGCATCATGAGATCGATAATATCAGTATAAGTAGTGTATGCCCCTAGAGGAAGCTGGATGAACCAAAGAGTGGCCAGGAATAAGTTATTCATATTTAGTTTAAGCTTAGGAAGCTTGCTGAGAATCTGAGATGGTTTAGAAACGATAATTACTTGAGAAATACACGAAAATGGATTCAAGCGAAGTGAGCGGAGCGGAAGAGAATCGCAGCGGAAAATCAAACAACCAAATGCGACCCCGAAAAACAGGAAGGGAAAGGAAAAGGGAAAGAAAGGAAGAAAAATAAAATGAAATGAAATAAAATGATTAATTGAGGATTTTCCCATGAAATCTGAGGCTGAAAAGTAAGCCTAGCCTAGCCTAGGAAATAGTATCTCGGTTATTATTGTGGCTATGCGTGAGAGAATGATGGTTGGATGATGGTTATTCGTTCAGAAGTATCTTGGCATATGTATGAGATATAGTTCTATCACACACCCAGAATATATCTGGAGTAAAGGAGGATTTTATTTAATCGTTAAACCTGAATCGGGCTCTACAATTCTTTATTTTTTTAAAAGTCTAAAGGATCTTTATTATCATGTCTGAATTCCTCGAGTTTTGAGATGTGATTCATTTTTTATATCTGAACCTAACGCATCAAAGATTATCAAACCTGAAATAGGAGCTCTCGATGAGCGCATTAAGGCCCAGGCATATTCGAATTTGTTGTGCTGTTTATTTCGTCCATCGCGTGGCAGGTGCATGATATTCTGTGAAGGCGATCAGAGAGCTGATATTGTTGACTACCTAGGGAGCGTGGCTCAGCTAAGCTGATCGATGCATCTTTTACGTACATTGCAAGGGGTTGAAATGATGGGGGCGGAGTCGTAAGAATACTTTACACAGGATAATGAGAGCTGCAATGACGGTTTATAGGTCGAAGATTAAAAAGTCATTTATTCCCGAAGTATATCTCAAATCTACGTATATATTCAATCTAGTTATTAAGCGATTTTCGAACTTGGCGGGATCTTAAGACTTCTTTGCCCCAATGATTCCTTCCACCCGTAGACATCTTCAAAAAATGGTAAGCGAGGAGTTTGGGTTCATATGTATATCCATCTTCAATATTTCCAAGAAAGATTAATATTTATGAGGTGATACCACAAGAAAGCACGATGGATCGTCTGCTTTACCACTCTCTGAAATCACAGCCCAGATGTTAGATGACCCTACCGTCAAACGTGTAGAAATGAGGAGTTTAGTGAAAGACTTGACGATGTTTACGAATCAAGATTAGGAAAGGGACATATAGACCACGGCAGTATCATCGATTCAGACACCTATGCCTCCGCAATTTGAGGCTTAGATGTATACATACATGTATACATCATAGGTAAAATCACCGATATCAGATTAGACAAAGATTCAGTTCACAGTAACACCGTGAAAAGTACCGAATATCAAATTAAAACATGAGATGTAAAGATTTTACATGTGAGCAAATTATATTTACAATTTATATATGGAGTGGAAGATTTGATGATATCGATCTTAGCATCATCAAACACTCAATTTCGAGCCTTAGACCGGTCAAATGTGGAAAGTAGTCTCTGACTTGACTCTGCAATAAACTAAATTATAACTTTCCTCTTCTTAATCCTCTAAACAATAATTAGCACTTGGAGATTGAAGGTTTCGGGTGTTAAGGCTCGTAAATGGGGAGGTTAGAATGTTATTTACTCGACGTCTCCGCATCATTGATTATTCCACTATGAAATGCTTCGGTGATGAAAATGCTATGATAATGAAGATTGAGGAAGAATGGCGTGGAGGAGGATGAAGATGACGATGTGAAGGTGACAATGATTAAGTCTTATAATGAAAGTGTCTTCTCGGGGATAAATCAAATACACAAGATGCGTATTATGCATCTATTTAAAGCAGGTATGAAGCCTGCAGTTACATGTTTCTCCGTAGAATAGGAAGTGGTTGAGTACAATGTGGCACGAGAGTTATAGTATTTTGAGATATACACGTGCATCTTCCATAAGATGTCCCTGCATCTTGGATGCCTACGCCTATACAACCATAACCCACTACCGGGTTGAAAGTATACTAAAAATCCAACACTAGATGGAGATATAAATAATAATGTGGATAATAAGACAAATTCATGATTTTAATGCTTGATGCGGATCAATACATTAGCTTATAGGTCTTCTGTACTGAAAGGCGGGAAAGTTTTATGTCAAGCTAGCTGTTATGAGCTTCAGATATACCAGTACTGAACTGTCTCGAAAATGGTCAACGATTCACCGAAAATAGTATCAATGACGAAATGAAATGAAACAAATCTAGTCTCAAATGACGACGGAAAGCAATACATATGATGTAGAACATACATGACTATTGTCTGCTGCACACTCAGCCTCAAGTTATCCGCAAACTTGCGGAGTGTGTGAACAAATAAACTCTGGAGGTTGTTACCAAATGAAGACCTGTAAAAACCTTCTTGGACACCAGGTCAATAATAGCGGCAGCGCATAGTAATTGCAAACCTCTTGACATCCATACTAACCTAGACCACATCTCTCGCGGTCCATAAGTTAGTCATGGTCAACCTTCCAATATTTCACTTCCCATACAATAAAGCCTCATCATCTGACCTTCTAACCAAACCAGCTAGACCAACCATCGTCTCACCAATCCCAAGCCCGTCAAAATCCAGACATGCAACAAAGCATCTCTTTCAGCTTCTTAATGCTTCCATTTGTTCTCTTATCCTCGTCTCATCACCTTTTTATAACCGCCACACCTCCCGTGGCTGAACCTGAATACGACAAATCGAAATCATGGATACTACCAAACATCAATCACGCGGGCATATTCGCGAACCAATACGACCTAATCCAGTCACCCAAAATGGGATTGTGAGCAAGAAAAAAAGGGAACATGGGATATGATCAAAACTTTTAGTAGTTCATAGCGCCAATATCAAATATCAAATGCCGAAACGGCATGAGTGGGGGTTTTGGAAGTCCCGAATTGTTAAAATATTAAAACCCATGTTTTTTTCATTGGGCTCTGCTCTCATGGTAGTACTACTACCCTATCGTTCTGCTAGTAATGTATCTGTATGTCTTGCTTTACCAAGACCGGGTATCAACATTTATTTTCTCGATGTCTCGGAGAAATATCCATGAAGTACAAGTAAGTTAGTTAGTTATCCACACTCTGTAGATAAATGAAACGAATCGCAAGATAAAGTATGCAGATATCGTGAAGGAGGAGTGGAACTCCTGCCGCAGAAGATAAAGCCAAAAGGTGTGTGTGATGAGGATATCCCATAATCCCAGATTTGCAGAACTTTCCGAAGATGGGATATATGATTTCGGGAAAGATTTAACATTTGGGGTTGGAGAAGGGGGAGTGGAGCAATTTATCTCGTGATCTGGTGATCACTGCATCACACCCTTTCACGGGAAGATAACGGATGGTGACACGAACACGAGAAAACAGATGACTTTTTCCATCGATATCGCCATCGATATCGATCGCAAAACTTGCTTTCACTACAGTTGCGATGCAATTGCCCACTGAAAATGTCAAAATTTACGTACATATGAAACTTAAAAAAATATCTAAGACTTTCATTACCTTTTCGGTTTCCCGCTGCCCTATCTACCACGTGTGGAGATACCACTAAGTATTAAGTACATATGAAACTTATACATACGGGTAAAAATGTCTAAGACTTTACCTTGCGCATCTTGATTCTTCTCTCTGCCCCGCCATTGCCGACATACCGAACACGTGCCGTATACAGATCCAGGCATGCGCCAGTGGAATACTCACATATCGAGGGAAAAAACGTCAATCTAACCTTACATGCATCTGAAACTTGCGCTCTCACAAGATATATACATGCATATATGAGGTAGGGCCCACAAAAGTTTCCTTCCCATTTCTTCATTTCATGCCGTTTTTCGTTCGGCACAGCTGAGGCCATAGATGGCTTCATCATGATGAGTTTCCCAACGTGCCGTCCCGAGTCATCGCCACCATCCACATCCACATCCACATACATCTTACATGCACCCTAGACTCCCCTCCCAAAGTAGTGGCTAGCTTCGCATGAATACACGAGATAGGAAATGGGTGTCGACGAGATTAGATTATCTCTGCAGTAACATTGTATGTATAACGGGGGATTTATGAGGAAAAATTCGATATGTGATGGAAATATGTATATGGGGTGGGAGAATCACTAACATGTTGGTGCGATACTTGATTCAAAGTTGGAGATAACTGTGCAACCAAGCGTTACACACGAGCACGGGAAATAAAACACGGGCGGGGATGTAGGGGATCGCCACGTGGGAATAAGACGACGATTTATTAGGTAGTTTATAGGAAAGAAAAGGGGAGGAGAGGATAGGAATTTTGATTCGGGTTAGTAAGTCAAGACGAGATATGATATTATGATATTATGCAGCAAAAGGGCGTTTAGGAAGATGAAGCAAAAAACGGGAGAGGAGAATAAACCAGAGACGATAATTTACAATTAATCGAGAAAGGAGATTTGATAGACGCATTTGAGAAAACGAGCATGAAAATTCATAAATTTGGCTACATGGCTGTATAATTAAATCAACAGAGCACCATCCCAGTGCTGTGCTATATGACATATCTCAAACCAAGATAACCATAGCTCAAGCATACTTCTTTCTCAACTGTCCACCCACCTAAAGGATACCCACGATACATTATGCTTTTTCGGAGGAATTTAACCAAGATTTCTAACCATGCGAGACATAGATACATCAGTGAAGAAGGTATGTAGTCTTATTTTTAATAATCCAGTCACAGCCGAAAAGTTTCCTCGCCCCATCCGCCCCCCTCGAGATGCTCAGGCTAATGCAAAGCATCAAATAAAATAAATTGAGTGCTACTATAGGTCATGTAGCGTATCATCTCAACCCTCATGCATCTCTTAATATCCCAACATCATTAAGATCAACATCAACATCAACAACCAGCAACACCCTACCGTGGCACAAAAAAAGCAGCCAAGTAAGTAAAATTTATCATCAATTTACCAAAAGCATCGAAATCAAGATTAGTTAATTACGACACTCCGCATAAACCCTATACATAATCCCCTAACTCCTAGACTCAAATCCTCATTTCCAAATGATACACTAATAAGATCACACCACCAGACAGGCATCCAGAAACAAGCAAACTCCGATTGCCCCGGATATTTCGCAAGATGCGGAGTTCTCGAGAAAATGTTGAAGGCTCCGGAACTTCGTATGCACACATTATACATGTAGCTAGTTGCCCAGCTACCAACGAACATTTACCCAAGCGTTGAAGGTAAGGTAACACCGAGTTAAACCATGACCTTTTTGAAAGATTTTGATAGATGAACACGGCATGATTTCCTAGCAGAGACCACATACACACATACATAGGCTATATAAACCAGAGAAAAGATAGACAGACAGATAGATAGATAGAATATTCTCGAGTACCATACATGAAGTAAATGCATCCTGTCGTGCAACGTAGTAAAGAACGAAAATGCAAAGACTTCTTCGCCATCCATGGATATTTATTTCCATGAACATATCGCGTCCATGTGTAAAATCAAGCGTGCTTAATGTGCTTCATTCACATGTAAATAAGGCACGCGCCGCCTAGCGCTATCCACATTCAATGTCCGTTCAGATTCATAGTGATCGTCAACGGGAACAGTAGACGACGCAAGTAATTGAGTGGCGAGAAGCTTGTGAGCGGGGTTCAAGATCGCCTTTTGCAACTCCCGAGTGCAGAGTGAAAAAAAAAGTCAAGCCAATGGCCTGTTGTGTAATCGAAAGGATGGCAGATTTTTCACTGTATTGTAACTCCCTCTATGCACAATTTTACCAATTTGGCAGTATGCACTTTAAATATGCCGATTGATTCATCCATCGACAGATATCCTAGTGCATTCTGCGCGGTAATACTTTGAAAACCTCGTCTAGTTCTCAGTCATCCAGTGAGAGTCTTCCGGAAATTCTCGATGAAATGCATGACTGATATATGATCGTCTTCTTGAATGAAGAGAAATATAGTGGTGTGGTTAACTATGATACCATTTGGCGTGATTAACGGTTACACATTAGCGGCCCGCCCCTATACCATCAAAAAACCATGTATTACTTGCTCTTTCTTACTGTTTCCATCCATGAATATCATCCTCATACGAGTATGAAGCAGAAAATAGATGGAATTAGGCTACCGGCAAGTCGATTTGCGAGATTAATCTAATTTATAATTTCAATCCTACCACCTAGGTACTATTGATCCTCCTAACGAAGAATGTGCCTACCTGCCACTTAAATCTACCTGGTAGTCTGGGCGATTCATTGTGCAGTGATTGGCTAATTTGAGGCAACCATTAAAACCACATCCTCATAGCAGCGAACGATACCAAGTAATGTATGTGTCATTGAAAGTGCTGTGCCAGAGCCTTGCGCCCACAGATCTTTTAAACCAATGAGATTGTAAGCGCTAGCTCTCGCCCATGTTCATGGTTGTCATTTTATGTATACGAGTACGACTATCAGGCAGAGCGCTACGTGTGACACGCAAGCTGGGGTTGAAAATGCGGGGAAATACTAGCTCAAAACCCGCCCTTTCTTCGACATTCGCTTTTACCAGTATAGAAGGCGTCATGATTAATATTTCACAAAGCTTCGAAAGCATTGGCTTACTGTGGAGGCCTACCTGGCCGTCGTGAGCAATGATTAAAATGCCTAGATGCTATAGGCCTTGCCGAGTAGAGTGGTTACGGAATGTTTTTGCAAAGAAACAACATCCTCAAGCTTAAGAAACACCAGCAAGGATTTATAGCACTCCGGTCTCCAGATGATGCGAATGCAACCAGATCTGGAAGAATCCTAGTCTGCTTACCAAAATAGTTGTAAATCGTGATTTGGTACCTGGAGTCCCTGCAGGCTTTAGGGATCTATAACATTCAAAAAACTGACCTCCTGCCGTTAATCAGAGCCTTGCTCCTGTGCTATAGAACTTGCGCCTGGTTGGTGCAGACAAATTCAAGATCGGAGATCGCCTTTAAGCTGTATTCAAAGGCATCGTATGATGCTGCTGAATTATGCAAAGGTAATATGCGAAACACCAATTAGATATCAGTAATTTGACAAAATCGAACTAGGGGGCGAGTGAGATTCTCTCATAGGGAGTCAGAACTTCCGACCTGAGATTGTTAACGAAACCCTAATATCCAAAAGGGCTGTATATTCTCGATCTGTATTGTTCGATGTAACGGTGTCTGTCGAATATGGATATTGCTGCATAACACAGATTGAATGTCTGAGTCCAGAGTCTAGAGTCAACGGACACAGATCTCCTATCACTAAAAGAGATTAATCTCTGACGAGAAGCCAGTAAGCACGATGATCTAGAACGTTACTGAAGCCATTTTATGTCGGCTTCGCGATGAGACGACGACAACTATTTTTTGGAATGGTGGAGTACATCAGGGCAAGTTGGGGAGTCGGAGCGGAAGAGCGAAGAAGGAAAGGACCGTGGGGGGTTGCGTATTCCTTGTGGATGCAGATGAGAGCGCAAGGTATATGTGCATAGTAATCTGCTTGCAGCCAATAGCAATGCAGAAGATTTGCGATATAAATGAATTGAGGTTGTCTATGAATTCTATTAGATTAGCGATGAGGGATGGTCGTTTTGGAGTCTGTGTGCTTGCATTAGCATTTGACCATTCCACTGTTAATTGGATGATGATTGTGGGGGAGTAAAAGTAAAGATGTGGAACGGCTGGTTGTTGGTTGTAGAAACGAATCTGGAAGAGCAAATGCTATTGATTTCCAGAAACGTTCTAACTAGGACGAATGTAACGACAGGAGAAGGATTCATGACCGAATTAGTTGACCGATGTGGCCCCCTTTAGAAAATGGAATTCGAGGTATTGTCACAAACCATGTGTTCGTAGATAGATCCAGCTATGCGATATTTTGATCTTGTGGTTTTTGTGTTCAAGTGACGTACTTGATTTTTAAAATAACTCAAGCAATCATTAAAACTAACCTGGTATATTAAAATATAGATATCAGAGTCAGACTCTCAGGAGGCTTTAGAGTATAACAAGGTTGATTGAAGATTTTGTGATTTATTGCGCATTAACCGCGATAATTCGAGAGCAGAATAGTCTTGAATTTTTAACGATGCGGAGTCGAATATGCGAGATTACTAAAATAGGTTAGCCTAGTATAAAATGGTACTGTAGCTCCTTTCAATCCGCCCCTTGTACTGGGAATGAAATGGAGAAGGCAATCTGATATATATTGATGGACATTGCGCAGAATCCTTGTGTAACCTTGAATGAGAGAAAGATAAGGGAAATGAGAATTATATCGTGCGTAATAGAGCTATTAAAAAAAAGTCATGATGGTTATTATTCTAATAAATCTTATGTTGTGCTTTATGTTGACAGTCATGCCGTTTCATTGCTCGTGATTGATGAGTGATTGATTGCCAGCCGAGCCTACAGTACGTAAATCCTCGTGACAATGGTGATACGAGCTGAAAGTAAGCTTCTTGGTAAAAGACGGCATCGGTACGACCGACTAGGGCTGAGACTCTTCTAAGTTCTATCATTGGAATTCCGAAGCTTCTTCGATACCGTCCGATGGAGAGCCCGCGAAGCCGTCTTGGGACATGAACTTTGCCGGTTAGGATTAGTGTAGTCTTGTACCCCCCCACTCCCTTCTCAGCTTTTAGTGTGATCACCAGCTAGCATTGGTTCCTTTAGTTTAGCTCGAAATCTTGTGAATCCATTTTATACTCGCTTCGAATAGAGTATCGGAGAGAAGATTGGCTACTGTTAAACGATTATCAAAATTGCTCCTGGATATGAAATCCAGCCTCGTAAGGGACTAGACCTAAAAGATTGATTGATATAGCAATATTTTTGTTTGAAAGGAGACAATCTCAAGGGGACGGCTGGTTTGTGGGAAGCATATTGTTTTGCATGAGCACCTTGACGACTCTGGGTTATGGTACTGCCAAGGGGCTGCAGTCTTGGAAGTACCAGAGCTGCAGTACTTCACCTCATAGAAGATGCCATGTCGTAACAACATACCAGAACATTGTCATGATGGGCAATTTGCGTATTGTGAGACTGCAGTCAGAAGTGCATGCCATTAAATTGGTCGTCGCTGTACTCCGAAGCATGTACAACTTCACAGTGGCATGAGGTGAATAACATGATTTGATGATGTTTGGTATGTACAGTGACAGGTACAAACCGTGTACAACCACAACCCCACAAATTACTGTCGTGGAAGCACCAGCGACATGGCCCAACGACGTTGCAATGCAGGGGCACAGAAGGCGTAGCAAGCAGCCGCTCTCTCAATTTCTCGGGTCGGTCTTGATGAAGCTTGTGAGCGTTTCGTACTTTCATGCTTTCGTGGTTCCAATGCCAGAGATAAGAGAAATTGATTGGATTATTGATCTCCAAGATATCAAATGATTGAACCACGGTTAGGGACAACTGAAATTGGGATAATCTCCGCAAATTCTCTCCGTTTTCGTGATTCCCGCACTTGACACTACTGAAAACTATTTTTATTCGGGGTCAGATAGCGGACAATGCTTCCCATGCTAGAGTGGAGAGTTTTCCACACAACGCCGCTTTGCGGAGGGAAGATTTGGAGTTAATTATATTTGAAAATCCTTTGCCAATTTCTCTGAATAGGAACATGTTAATTATTCTGGGGATTGAGGGTATTATTCAATGACGAGGTGTCCAATCAATTGTCTAGTGTCCATTAAACGATAATATCATATGGCCTCGCCTTACAGGGCTTCTAGTTGGAAATTTATATGTCTCAACAGCTACTACACATTTTGCTTGAGGTTACTAACAGAAGTGTAAGTCATTTCAAAGGATGCTCATAGAGGCATGGAAGCGCTGAGGGACTTAGGAACCCCATGGTAGACCCAGCCTTAGAGCACGTTTCATGCCTGATGACTCTTCATTTGTGGAGAAGTTTGTACTAACATGGTCATGGAAAATCGACCTCAGATCTTGGCCCACGAGGCTATGCTCTTGGGCTGGAAATCTGGGAGCAGCGAAAGTCCTGTGACGTAGAGCTAAAACTTTAACTATGTCGCAGACTTGAATATAGAGTTGTTGGAAAGTTTGTCGCATTGTCGCATTGAATGGTCTCCGTAAAAACCGTAGGCATCCGGCTTGCTAACGACGGCGACGGCAATGGCCATTGTGTTGATATTCATGCTCACATTTGTCTGTGCGAGAGATTGACATATTTGAGACATGCTGTAGTAATTGGTGAATATAGCCTTTGACGAATTTCTTGGTACCTACCACCCAACCTACCTTGAAGTGTAACGTGGTTCATACTATTTTACTGTGACCTAATATGGTGATGGAGATGCTGCCGATCCTTCTTATGGTGGGTTCTTTGAAGAGAGACGGCTATTATAGGAGACGGATGATGCCGAACGGGAAATCGATAGTTTGCGGTACTCGAGGTTCTTCGCTGTCCCAATCTAAATATCATGAAATGAGGGGAAATCTCAAGGATCAACTGGATATCAAAGTGCTCATCGCTGCAATTGCAACCAAAAGGAGAAGATAATGTTATGTGCATGGTGATGACAAGTCAATAATCATCAACGAATCATTGGAAGCAGATGAAGGACCAAATTGATGCTGCGAAAAGTCAATTTAGTTTAGATTTTAAGGCTGGGTTGAGATTACGAAACTTGACCTTGATGGATAAACCATTACATTCTATTGCAGCTGTAATATTACCATTTAGGACAAGGAGAGGCAGATGAATTCATTCAATCATGACTCCTTCATTAACCGAAAGTTATCAAATCATTATCATATTAATTGTTTGGCACATATCATAATTTATTATTTTATATACCAAGTTCCAACAAATAGACAGAGCCACAGCAGTGACCATGGACCAAAGCTAAATAGTTGAAACCAGGTTGAGGATGACGAGTATACTCGTCGTCCAGCTCAGATGATTTGATTATGGCGTTTTTATTTCCTCTCCTCTCGCTACCATGTTGCGAAGGTCTTGGCTCTATGGCCTTCTGCTTACTCGACTTGGATAATCAAACTATTGCTTCAACAGTCACAGTGCTCAGCAGGCACTTCGCCATTATCAGTCACTCCCCCTCCTAAATGGGATTCTTTCGCGCGAAGTTAGCGATGAATAATTTCCTTTCACGATCCTGCCTTGGATCTATGACCCTTCTTTCTTTTTCTATCTTCACCCTTTCCCTCGGGTTACTCAGTGAAATTTGACAAATAAATAAAATTAGATGCCTGTACCTGTTCAATTGGGGATAAATCGGGAGCTAGAGTTTAGTACTTTACTTAGGTATCTTTGGGTGCTAAAAATGACGATCTTCTGGTGTTCACATCTCTAAATTATCCCATCATGAGCCTTGTTTTATGGATCCCAAATACTGTGAATGCTTGAAATGAACCCTGTGCAAAATTTCATCGACGCTCCATCGACGCTCCATCGACGCTCCATCGACACTCCATCGACACTCCCTATTATGGATTGGATGGCTTGAGGAGACATACGCCATCATTCAGTTCCTTTGTGCGATTCCTTTCGAACACTTCTTCTCCACTTTGCATATTTTTTCATCCTCATTCCAACCAACAACCCCAGCATCAAAGGCTTGCTCGAAAGAATTACAAGTAACCAAGTAACCTCTAAGCTCCCAACTGCACACTGCAAGCACACTGCAAGCACACCAATGCGGACTTCACTAGGGCCAAAGGATAACTTTGGACTGGTGGACCCCTTGTATGCACTAAACACCTTGTGCATTTTCAAACAAATCATCCCACGTCGCTGTTTTAGTTGAAGTATTTGCTTCACGAGCGGCCATGAACATGGTATGAAGCCAAGATTTCTTAAAAGGTGGAGAAGATGGATGCAGCTGCCATCAGTCATAGGTTCAGAGGTGCATAGGGTGCATAACTTTAATCGCCAGGGTTGGGATTTATTAGCTTCACCTGATGATGGATATAAGGCCATATCTTGACGCTGCTATAGTTACAGGGCATATGTGCGTATCATACACATATTTAGACTAGAGACCAACACTTCAACCCTTTAACCAAAAGGGGCTCATCAAGAGTCGTAGATGGCATGACAGACTGATGAGACTAGACGCTAATCGGTAATTTTTCTGATTATCTTTGTGCTCATGATATCTGAACACACCACCAAAATAATTACTCACACCACTTGAACACACCACACAGAGAAAAAAAAAAAAAAAAAATCGAAAAATTCCCGCAAGCCACCGAAAAGTCTTGCCCTTTTCAAGCATGCATGTACCACCACCCAACCAGACATTGTGAAGCACACACACCTTTTCCTTAGTAACAGAGTTGATTTTCCCATGACTACCAAGCTATCTAGCGTCGAGCATCCAGCAATCTATTCCATTATCCTCTTCCCCCAAAATTGTATTAATATATACGCTTTACCGTTTTAGGGTGAGTGGCCAAAAATGTGAAAAAAAAAAAAGCCATCTGCACAAGACAGGCATTATCTGCAGGACCCAGACAGGCCAACTCCTAGTCAACCCCAACTCTACTCAAACTTGTATATCCTTCAACCTCTCCCTCATATATATGAGCCATACCAGAATCTCCAAACCTTTCAAATCATACACTTTTCGAGACACGCACAGCTAGCTATCCAGTAAATAGGGAATGATACCATCCTTCAAATCAAATTCGTCAACTGTTATTTATTCATTAATCACATCATCCATTTAATAAATTACGGCAGTAGCTTTCATTGCACAAGATTCCTCCACTTAGTACCGGGTGGAGCCTTTCATCGAGTCACACCATAGCTTACTTGACCGAGCTTTGTCTACGACATAAAATCAGACAACACAGCATTTATTCCTTACCTTGCGAAAAGATCCATAAAGGAAGACTCATCCTTCGAATTCTGGAAATTTTCCTCCCTCAATCAATTCGTTCCTCATCAACCATATCCAATCCTCTCTACCTCTACACTCTCACTACCATCAAACAATCAACATACAAAATGTCTTTCGATATGGAATGGTCTCCGGAATTCTGCCTCGCCTGTGACAGGCAAACCGATGGAGGTGTTTACTGCTCAGAAGCTTGTCGTCTCGCAGAGTACGAAAAGGCTTCTTCAAGTGATAATTCATTACCCTCTTCACCATCATCACTTCATGGAGCTTCTTGGCCTTCAAAGTCCAATGGTTTCTACATGGAGCCTGCGTACAACTTCAGCAATGCACAACCATACGGCACAACCCCCTCGTCTAGAACCTCATACTTTTCCCAACCTACGAGATCATCTCCAGTTAACAAGCCTACCTTGACACCTTCGAGCTCGCAGTCCAGTCTCTTCTCAATGCAAAGCACCACTTCATCAACGTCTTCGGAACCAGCACAGCTATCAGCGGAATCAAAGCAGGCTTTGAGAGCATACGCTAGCTCATTTGATCAATCTCGAAACTCCAGACGACAATCTGGCAGTCATTAAATAATCTACCTACTACGAAAACAATTTTCTACCAATTATCATCATCTCAACTTCGGCATTCAACGGCGTTTATTTCAGACCACACATAGTTTCTCATTATGATACAAATACCCATTCCTCATCTCAAAAAATCCTTAGCAGGAGTCGGCGTTACCTTTACAAATATATGATCAAATCGATTGTTGTACAAAAGTGTTATCATTTGGGCATACATTCACACCATTCATCTCATCAAACTTTTCGGCATTGCAAAAAATTTCCTTGGGTCATTGTTACAAATTTTTGCATTGGAGCATCTTTCAGAATAGCGAGGAGTGGAGTCTCGCAATTTGTTTTCCGCACTACGCTTTTTATTTTCTTAATACAATCATCATTATGGGGCATATTAGGAAGGCATGGGAGGGATACCCAAATATCATTCAAAGTATTCTGGGAAAGCATCGGTCAAATGGGATAGGCAGCGTTGGAGCATTTTATTCATTTGTTAGGAAGGAAGGAAGGAAGGAAGGATTGATTCTCTCGATTCTCGCTTGTTACAACAAATCGTTACATCTCTTTTCCGTGCTTTACGAAGCCTGTTAGCGATAGTTTGGTTTGGATGGAATGGCATGGGATGGGAAAGGATAGGATGAATATACCACATCATTGGTATAAATCCAACCAGTAGAATAGTCTGGTCTCGTCATTTACTTCCAAATGAAGTAAATTGACTTACCTTATTAGTATAATAGTCAAAAACAACAAAAGAATAAGAAAGATTCTTCGGTCCTGTCATTTGAATGACGGACTTGACACCAACATACATTACGTTTTTGTTTTTCGCTTTGAATCTTTGATGGTGATTATGATTGTGAAACGTTTCTCGGTTTTTTTTTCTTTGTTGGTTTTTTGGTAAGAGGACTTTGATTACAACATAACATCCAACATTCAATATCACATTATACAACATCACATCACATCATAGCATTCAAAACTTAAATTCTCCCTACCTTGTATTATATTTTCAATAAAAATAGATACGGAATATCCGGAGTACTTGTATGTAAAAAATGTATAAATAAGCAAAAGTATAAATAAGGAAAAGAAAAGAAGGAAGAGAAAATAAAAAAAATAAAAAAGTAAAAAAAAAAATCACGTAAATCCTAAGTTTTAGGTTCTGAGTTTTTAAGTATTGAGTATTGAGTTTTACCCCTCGCGTTCTTAGTTGTTGAGGGGATGGAATATGGGAATGGGAATAGGAATTCTTATTAGAAGGTCGATCGTTATTTTATGGTATAATAAAGTTGAGGCTTAGCTTTGAGTGAGGGAATTGTATGGGTTGGAGTTTGGGGTTTGCGGCGGAGTTGATGGGATGGGATGGGATGGGATAGATATTGATGAGCGGTTAGGTTAGATGAGGAGGAGGATAGGGGGATGATGGTGGAAGGGGGAGAAGGGGGAGAAGGGTGGAAGAGTGAGGGTGATATATAAAATTGTGGAATTATATAATTAAAGTAGTGAATATTTGATAGATAGATATTTAATTATACATAATTATTAATATAATGGAATGAGATAAAATAAAATAAATTTATATTATTTTTATAATATAATATAATATAAAAATTTATTAAAAATTTATAATATTTATTTATTTTGAATTTGAATTTGATTTTAGATTATATAGTTTGAGGGATAATATAGATATAGATATAGATATAAAGTATATAAAGGCTGGGAGGCACAGAATTGATAGAGTATACAAATAGTACGAATAATACAATTAGAAGAGAAATAAAGCTGTTATTGTGGAGAGCTAGAGCTAGAGCTCGAGTTACAGCTAGAGAGCTAGAACTATTGGAAAGAAAGACGATATATAGCCCGTTTTCTTCACGTTGGATTTGGATTTCTGGTAACCTAATTACCTATCTACTTAGTAATATACCACGGCGTACCTGGATATGTACGCTTAGATTTTCGAATCTCGATACTAGAGCTAGAGCTAGAGCTAGAGGAAAGCTAAAGCTAGAGAGATGGATAATTGATGAATGATAGTATTGTTTCAAATTTTGCACGTGCTTTTTCTTTAGGAAGAGGATTTTGATTTCCTTTGGTTGTTGTTCTTGTTGTTGAATCTTATTTTGGTTAGGAAGAACTACCTAGTAACCTTAGTTTAGTAGAATTCATGGAAGGAAGTCAAAGAAAGTGTGGGGAAGAAGAAGAAGAAGAAGAAGAAGAAGAATAAGAGGAGCTTTGGAAATGGAAATTAGCATTGAGAATCTAGCTACGGAAATAAGATGATGATGCCATTGTTCATGTAGGTAGGGTTTGGGTTCATGTATTAGTGATGGTTTTCATGGGTTGAGTTACTGGTGTACTGCATAGGGTGAGGTTTCCGCTTCGGGGGGTTTTTATCTCGTAATGGTTTTTTCGGTGCTGGTGCCTTGGGATGGATGGATCAATGGAGAATGCGGGGATGGGAAATTAGGTGCTATTTGATGATGATGATGATGATGGTTGGCTTGGTTGGGATTTGAGAGGATATACCTCGTTGTAGATTGACTGAGGTGTTTGAGGCATTATTCATGTATGCAGTATAGTATAGTATCTAACTTGAATGATGAGGGAATATCATCATTGTATGCAAATAGTTATGTTATCCCTCCCATCCATAATACCTCACCGCAAACTATCCTCATAGCCCCACTAAATTCTACAATTCCAAAACTAAGGTCCCATCAAACCCACCGCCCCGAATTCGAAACAATACAAACAAACAAACACATACGATATACAAACACACAAACAAAAATACGGAAACTTCACCAACAACCCGCGGAATCTCCACCAAATGAATATTTTCCTCATCGGTACCATCAATTAGGATATCCGGCGGTGCCCGCCGCCCGAAGGTCTGCCTTACCGCTTGTACCATACTCTGTACTTGATTGAAATGCTTTGATCCTAGCACCTGACTCCACTACTGTAAGAATTATCTGCTATGTACAGCGGGACCTAAAAGTCAAAGGTAAGACGATCGTGATCGTGATCGTACGAGATTTATACAAGGAGAGACCTGGAGGGGATGAAACAAAACTAAGGATTTTTAGGCTTTCTCATGGTTGACAGAGGGAGGGAGATGTGCAAAGGGAATGGGAGGAAGGGAATGGGAGGAAGGGAAAGGATGATTGCATAGAGGTGAAAATGTAGGGAAGAATTGCGCAATGATCGCTTGGAGGAGGCGGAAATGCCGTTTTCCTTTCTTCGTCCGAGGACGATTTCAGGTACGAACTTTTCAGGATGTATTTCCTTGTCTTGTCAGGTGAGATGAGAGGGTTGTTGGTTGGTTGGTTGGTTGGCTTGATGTTGAGCCTGAGCCTGAGTCTGAGTCTGAGGGTTTGATGTTTGGTGATGTCTGACACGAAAGTATTAACCTTACTGTACCTAACAACCAATTATATGAAGTCGGAGACAAAAGCTTCGCTTCCTTCTATACGTAGGTACTAGGCAGAAACTTCAAAGGAATAAAAAGAGATTATCTACCCGCCCGGTCTTTCCGTCTTCGGGATTCTTCCTTCAGTAAATGCCTTAGAGTAGATCAGTGGAGGCCGAACCGTAAGCCCTATCATCTACGCGCCGGACTTCATGAAGGAGGCATAACCACGAGAATTTCTATAACCTTCTCGAAGTCAATTAATTTAATTTGAATATATTCTATTTCAATTTTCATAAATACTCAAATGCATAAATCTACTTAAACCTCCAAAATCACCCACCATACCCATAAAAGTAATACCCACATAAACATTATTAATCCATGTACATACATACATACATACATACATCGGAGACCTAACGCTCCCTAAAGAAACCTAACCCCATAAATACGCACACATCACCACGGATCCCCTTCCCGGCCAGCGCTTTCACCACGCTTCCATCTGTCAGGTACAACCTCCACTTGCACACCTTATCCCACACAGGGATACGTCCGTCGTAGTCACTTCCGGCTTTCATTGTAGCTCTCCCGTCCGGGTCTGGAATCGCGCGGGTCCAGTTCGATGACATGTGTTTCGATCGCATAATCGGGTGGAGAGGTGGATCCCTCATATCAGTATGTGAGTTAATGTAGTTAAACTACGAACCAGAGAGGTACTCCGTACAGTACCAGTATTTGGATACACGTGGAATATTGGAGTTTAGGCTCGAGAGTAGCAGAGTCTAGACATACTTACATATGGAATAGTTAGGTGGAAGTCTACTGGTGCTCTTACGATGCAGATTCATCAAACCCTATACTGTACAGAGTAAGAATCTCGACACCGAGTTTTTCTAAAAACGGGACAGCCGGGGACAGCATTTCAATTGTGGATTCCGAGCCGGCACAGTTTTCCGTGAAGACATGGGTTTTGTGGTCGTTCTTTGTTCATTCCGTTTCATCGCCGTGGGTTTGGGGTTGTTTTTGCATTAGCGGTTTGAGTTGGTTTTTGGGCTGTTATGGAGTTCTGGATCTGCAATGTTGGGTACAGTAAGTACAGTCATAATGGATGGATTATCTTGCTTGCATTGATGATGGATGATAAGTAGCATAACATTTCTTGCAGTTGCAGTTGCGTGTTTGTTGTCGTGGTTCATGTTCGTTGGGCTGGGGCTGAGCTGGATCTTCGAGGATCAGTGTACGCTGTAGGGAAAATTTTTTCTCTCAATTCCATTTGCTCGGGAATCCCTTCCTTGAAATTTGATATTGAATGGGGAAAATTTTCACTATTCTGACTGTGCTCGGTTGGATAGAATTGTTTATTGTTTCTTTTTTTAAAACATTTTATTTTTAAGACGGTTGAATGGTTACAACAAATTTTGAATTTTCCTTCGGTGAAGAAATTTTTTCTCCGGGCGGGATGAAGGGGTACAGGTGAGGCAGAAGCGAGAATGTTCTGGACGACGCCGCAAAACCTCAATTTAGTAGGATGAGGCTGATTTTGATGAGTTGAAACCACTATTTCCAAAATAAGCTAAGTTTTTCTTTTATGTTTGCTTATCTCTTAATATTAAGGTTAGTACTGTTATTGTTACTGGGTCAGGAACGGAGAAAAGGAATGTGAGATGTGATCGAACTAGTTCACGATAATTCAAAGCCTCAAGTGGGGTTTCGAGTCTCAGGACGTATTTTCTTGAATTGGGATGTATTTCCATTTATGTAGGAGATCACGAATGAAGCAAGTGTTTCCAGTTTGGGAACGAACTATGTTGTTGAGGTTAACGATGTTCATTCCATACTGCATATCCACCTTATGAAATGACCAGCAGTTTGTACCTTTGACAATCCGGGTTGTTGGTACATGAATACTTTATCATTCACCAGGTGATTGGTACGAGAACGAAAACTGCAAGATGGAAGTTTCCGGTCACCGAGTTATCTGGCTTGTATTGTTTCAAATGTCGTGGAAACTTCTATTGCTCTCTAAGACCGAGACTGAGACTTCATGTTTAACCTTACCACCAGCCCTGCAGCCACTGCCTCCATGAGCCCATTCCTCAGTCAAAACATCTACTTCCTAAACGCCCGGCGAATTCCACATTCACAATCCCAACCCCTTTTCCGACGTCACACAAACTAACTTTCTGCACTTCTGCATCCATTTCTTCATGTTTGCCTTTCTCGTTACACTTTATGATCAATATCTTGCTCACTCACGTGGAACCCTAACACGACGCCCCGAAAAAAAAAGCCTACAGAAACCACCTCATCGCGGTAAGTCCTACCGCACGAAGTACAATCTATACATTCCTTAGCGTTGACTCGGGAACCTGCATACGTCAAAAAACAAAAAACCATCCTGTTTCATCTGCAACCTCAACCCCGATCTTACACCGAAAGCCGTTACTGGCCGACGCAAGGAGGAACTGAGATCGAAGATTTTGCTACGTTTTTAATTGTTACTTTTTGTTGGTGTAGTGATACCACAGTATTTGTACGTCTCGATTCACGTGCTCTGGCTTTTTCCCCCTGAGCACTGAGAATTGTGGAGAATGGTTACGTGCAGGAATTCGTTGGTACATGTTTACTTTTTTATCACTTTTATTAATGAATTGAATATTTAAATCCGTCCTATTTCGTCCCTGTTTACATATTTTCAGCGTACAAGAGGCTTTCGGCGTAAGTTGTGATCGATGGAGGGAGATATCATGCGGAGATCATGAGATGGGGTATTACTAGGTTCTTGCTTTTTTCACATATGTATATGGGAACCTAAAATACCGTCTGGTATTTTCTTTTTCTCCTTTTTAAATAAGCGTACAGTACGCCAACGAGATACATGCAAGGGAACATACCACAACACCTACATCGCAGTCTGCTGCGTGCAGCATCTGTTGTTCTCGTGATGTAGCTAGAGAGATTGCTGCTTTATGCCAGATAAAAATGTCGTGTCTAGTATTTAAATGCAAAGAGCCGCACGTGGGAACAGAGCGTGGGGGTCTCTATTCTAATACTATCATTTACATTTTTTCTACCAGTGGCAGTGAGACCTTCTGATACTTGCTTGCTTGACCCAAGACTTTATCCCAAGGAGTAGGTAAACCAAAATGTGGTCATCAAAACTCGTATCACGAGTTTTTAATTATATCTGCATGAATCCAAAGGTACTGCATTATTATTCCTAACACGAGGATTATCTATAATCGGCCTAGATCTCGACGGGGTGATGTGATGCGGCCATCGAATCTCCCTGTCGGCCGGTAAAAGGTATGTCACTTGTACTTTTGCAAGTAACATCACCTTTCACGATTAAATTACCGATGTGGTTGGTGTATGTACCCTATGTACCCCGCACTATATAGTTAGGGTATAGAAATAGCCAGCGGGCTACATCCGCCGGGTTATGATAACGCCATTGAACCACAGAGTCGGAGTCGATTTTCTAGGCATGATCTGATTTTATTCCGGTGTTTTACCCGGTGGAAGGAGGATTCTTGTCGGGAGAAATAATAAGTTGAGGGATTTTTTTTATCGTGGGTACTATTAACGGTTCTTGATAGTCCCGATTTGGCAGGTTTTTCGGTGGTGTGATTACAAGTCTAAGACGGTCCTAATCATATTAATCGGCTTGAGCTGGTTCCATGATGGGAAGTCGTCGGCTTCGGGAAGCGATCAGGAATTACAGATAGGCGGTAGCATGGAGATTAACATTGTCGTCCATGGGGGTGTGAGTATGCGAATGTTTGGTGCTATGATTATCCGGGTTTCTGATACTATTTAGTAGTCTATATCAGATATTCGTCGAAACACCTTGCAAACAATAAAGTTTTCGAGTGTATTCCAACTCACTCAAGTATAAAAAACCACAGCATGAGAAAATGCGAGAGATCAAGGTTTTTTTAGTTCGTAGTATCGTTTAAGTACAGCTCGCATCAAAACACCTAGATGACTTCATCATTGCATCTCCATTACATCCATCACATCATCATCGATTATCTCCTCAGAAATTATCATTTCCTTAAACTATTGCTTGCACCCAAACAATCTCCATATTTCTTACATCTAAACATGTGAGGATTTTCTTCATACCCCTAAACATTGCTACGTACAAACATACAAGCTTGGAAATCTTCCAGCTGGAGTACAGTCAGTGACTATAAAGCCTCTCTGCCAGAATCATCAGATGCATGTGCGGACTCTTAATTTCAAAGAGGGATCTATAACAAAATCCATTTCTCTTCACAAAGGTCCTCGCTGCTAGTAGACGCAAGGTTATGTTCCCTTCCGTTCAGTTTCTTGATGAGAGATAATATAAGGAGATATCGGTCAATGCTGGCAGATGATAACTTTCTATGATATTGGGCTTCTTCGAGTGTCTGCATAAAGATCAAGTGGTTATAGAAATAACTTTCGTATCTAGAGTGAACACTATATCATCGGTTTTTGTAGAGGTGCTGTGGAATTTGTATCTATCTTTGAATTCTGCTTTGTATATTATGTATTTGGATTATTATACCGAAAGCCACGGATTAGTTTGTAAATAATTCATTGTTATTGTCATCTGTCTATCTATTTATCTATACAACCATCCATAAACCATCATTACTACTTCTAAATCATATCGTGCATCGAATAATATCCATATATCTAGAAAGTTCAGACCTGTTAGCATATTCAATGAGCAATCTAAGGATGATCATCTCCATCAGCTATATTTGACCTGAAAGATCTCAAGGTTGCCATTGAAAGCTGGTATCTTTTACACAACTTAATATAACAGAATTCATATTCCGCTTCATGTTGGCGTCACCATGAATCATATAGTACATACTGACTGAGACATTTCCATCATACGTTCTGCAACCCTAATGCTAATATCCATGTACTCAACTACCCATTGAGAGAAGCCTCCAAGAAAAGAAGTAATAATTCTACAATTCCATCTTAAATCTCTCAACGAACCCATTTTCATTGCCGCTGCTCATCCTCGCATTGTCATCGCACACATTGCACACTAGTAAACAAACATAATAATTACTCAATTCCCACTCCCCCACTTCTTCCAACAAAATCGACTCACAATTCCGAACTAACATGCTTGATTTCTCTATCTTTCCTTGAAAGTTTCTCACGAAATAGTGGATTCATTCGCATGCCTTGATACTTGGGATAGATGAGTTTATATATAGCCCTTGTGATGAAGGTCTTTTTTCAAGGTTGGGAGGAGAAGGGAGATAAATGGTAAGATTGCTTCGCATTACTTAATTATTTGTCCCTTTAGCTATCCTAATTGAGAGGTTGGCAGTCAACCATTAGCCAGCAGAAGAAAGACGCTGTTGTGCATGATCATCGTGGCAGTTTGTCACGATTCACCATTAGGATCAGTGTCCTGAGGCAAATATGGATCACGTGATGGATAGACTGGATAGCCCGGGTAGACCAGTCTATCCAGGTTATCCAATAGTATTCAGAAGTATATAGTCAGAGTAGTTTCATAGTATAGGAGCTTCGTGCTCAACTTAGTTATCAATTAGTTTACCTACATTCTACTTGATCTAGTAACGACTTCACTTCCAAGTGAATACCAGTGATAAAGCCTTAACCTACAACTACCAACCGACGAACCTTAGGCGGCCGCTGCCTCCAGTACAGTATCGTTACAGAGGGGTGGCCTAAAAATGGTGTACTAGACTTAATATCTAGGTATAACACCGAATACCAATTATAATCACAACAATAAAACAAACACTTCTTCTTATTCTCATTCCTGTTCACATTCTTATTCCTATTCTCATCTTATACCTAATAATACAAAAACACACCCCCTAATCATAAAATCCATCCCCTTCCATACCTATATAACCCTGCAGTCGCAGTCCCAGTCGCATTCTCAGTCCCAAGCTCAAGCTCAAGCTCAAGTACATCCGACCTATAGCTACCTATCCATCCCAATAACACATACATAGCTTCCTCACCCCGTGGTATCATACCCATTCCCATTCCCATCCCCATCCCCATGCCCATCCCCATACAATCGAACCCTAAAAATAACACCTTCCCCAAGAATATACATACAAGCAAGCACCTCTTTTTTCTTTCCCAGCTGTACAAATACTATACACCACGAGCCTAACCATAATACTCTTTTTGAACTCCCAACGCTAACCCATCCAGAAGTACATCTAATCCGCATTCCCTTGGAAAAATATTTCCTAGCTCAAAAACATGAGATGTTTTCCCCAAGCCTAGTACCTTCTACCATTCCCTTGCTCCCCTAAAAGTTATCAAAAGAAAAAAAAAAAGAAAGTAACATCAGGATTGATAAAAAGTCGAATCCAGTATGAAAAAAACCACAATAAAGTATACAAACTCTTAACACATACGCTCATCACACAATACAACCTGTTGAAATAACCAACCCACCGAGACCGTGAAAAAAGTCGACATGACCTTGAAACCATCATAAAAATCTCACGCAACTTTTCCTTCAAAGAAAAGCAATACCACGTGGACTAGCATCACCCATGGCTTGGGAAATTCTCTTAGCCTTCTGTCTTTCTGCCCACTCTCTACTGGCCTGTCTACCCTTTTCCGCAGCTTCCTCTCTAGAACGTTTAGCAGCTGCCTCACGATCCTTCTTCTCCTTTTCAATTTCTGCCGTATATTGCGCATCTCTATTATAAAGTTCCTTTGCACGTTGACGTTGCAACTCTTGGTCTGAATCCGAGACCGTACGTTGCATGGTCACACGAGGATTATGAGGGTGAGAAGATGGTTTCCGTGTAAGAGGTGCAGGTGGGGCTTTAGTGCGTGGAGATGAGCTGGTTACATTGACTTTTTGCATGTCAAGAATTGAGGGACGATGTGCGCCGACTATAGATCCACGCTTACCTACAGTAAGACCACTGCTATCGGTACTTTCACCACCTGTTTTGCTTTGACGGGCACGACTGGCGGCTGTATCGCGAGGAAGAGTGCGAGAAGCAACAAATTTACTCATGGGTCTAGCCTTGAATTCACGTCTTTTGCGATCTTCTTCTTCTTGAGCTTTGACTCTTGCCTCGTGTGCTTCCCGCTTACGTCTAGAGTATGCTTCGCCAGGAAGCTCGAATTGTGAGGATTTGGTGGGTGGTTTTGTTGACTTGATCCTGCCTGGGGTAGTTTTAACAATAGTCATCTCAGATGACTCTCGCTGCGCGATACGTGCTTCTCTTTGTTCCTTCAACCGCTTAGCGACAGCATCACCTGGAAGCTCAAAGATTGGTTTGGTAGGTGGCTTCGTAGACTTTGTTGGTGACTTCGGAGGAAGGAGACTAGTTGGGCGTGGTACTTTGCTTGGAGATACCGTTGTTTGTTTTTCTGGACTGACAACGGGTCTTGAACTTTCGAAAGTCATAGACTTAGCCTTTTTGAGGGTTGGTTCTTTGGTTGCTGTAGGCTTGACACGAACTGTTGCGTAGGTGGATTTTGGTCTTTGTGAAGATGCTAGAGTACCACGCACACGTACGCGCAATCCGGTGGCAGGAATTTCCTCAATGAATCCTCGTCTGAGCGATTCTCTCGAATCACTGTCAGAGGAAACTTCGGTTGGAATATTGACCTTCTTGGTTGAAGTAGCAACAAATTTCTCCACGGTGGTAGCTTCATCGAGTGCATCAATGGCATCCTCCAGATTGTCAAGCTCCTCCAAGGAGTCTTCGATACGAGAAACCGGCTTAGCTGGCGATCGACTTATTATGATGTCAATGAAGGAGTCCTCTTCAATTTGAGCTGAAGAAGAATGACGAGCAGGAGTTGCTACCTCCTTAGCTTCACAAGCTCTTTCGATTTGCTCCAGTGTTTTGATTTGCTTTGTCAAAGGGTACTTGACAGAAATAGCTGGACGATCGTTCTCATTCGAGATTGATCGAAGTTTTTCTGCTGTTAAAGGCTCGATATTTTTTGTCTCTGTTTTGACATTATTCTTCATCGCTAAAGCATAATATGGATTAGTGTTATGTTCATGTCTCTGTTGAATGAGGTTTCCAGTCCGCAAAAGAAAGTGAGGACCAGGGAAAGAAGATGGACTATAACTGGAGGCTTGAGGTGATCTCCAGAAAACATCTCCAGTGTCGGCCGCTCTAGGAAATGAAATACCTCCATCATACTGACCTGCTTGTTGTCTCGCAACTTGACCTCGAGTGGTTCTTCCTGACTGTGGTAATTGATGAAACATAGCTTGTTCCATGATTTGAAGTGGCTGTACGGATCTCAATTGATCAGTAAGGATCCTCGGAGGCTCGGAATTTGACATAGATATTTCAGAACGGACACCAGATGGGTTTGCAATAATTCCTGAAAAGGCTCCTGTATTTGTGATGGCTTGAATAGACTGTGAATGATCGACGATACTCTCACTGTTCTCGAGCTCTTGGATAGTACCCTTGGTATGTTCTATCTCACTCGAATATTCTTGCTTTCCCCTGGTCTTATTCTTGTTGTGCTTTTTTCCTTTCTTTGTGATGCCGAGAGCACTTCGATATGCAGCTTTAAGGTTTTTCATATGTTGTGCGAGGTCTATGTCCTCGCTGTCATGAAGCGCCATGGTATTTAATCCGTGTGCGTTTGAAGTAGCCAATACCTTTGAAGCAGGTGTCAACGGGAGTGGAATTTGGGCAGCAATGGAAGCAGTATTATCCTCAGCGATATTGATCTTGATTGAGTTTGTGACTCGAGACATCTTGACTGTTAAATGTCACTGATGACCTATGAAGACGAGGAGGTTAGAATGTGAAGATCGTCGTCGTGTCTCGGAAATTAGTTGTGATTGGAATATTGGCAAGTGATGAGTTTGCAAGGATTGGTGGAAATTGCGATCTATTTGAGGGACGGTCGTATTCTGTATTCGTATCGTGGAGTCAATAGAAATGTAGGACCAAGTGTGATGAGGTTTTTTTATTTTATTTTTTCCAAAATCCGAGGTATCTTATTGATTTTGTGAATTGTCAAGTGAATAAGATTGTCCATGTTGATGAAGAAAGATATTCGTTTGCTTGCCATAATCTACAATGTGACTTCCCCGGTCATATATTTGGGAGTTTACATCATCACCACAGCAACAAGGTAGAGTAGAGTAAAGCTGAGGGAAGGCGCGACCGTGGGGCCGAGATGGTCAATGATCAATGTTAATGCTATTTTTGGACGAACGTTGTGCCGAATAAATTGTTACAGATTAATTACCCGTTCCACGCTAGTACTGTATTGTTACCTCAGGCATCAAGAAAGTCACTCGAAGCTCTTCATCTAAAAAACAACATATAAGATCTTACAAATCAATTCAACCATGAACACAAATCCAAAACAGAGAGACTAAAACATCCGCATTCATCCATAAACCTACATTCCTGCATACAGAAACCTATCCCAATCTCTAATCTCTAATCTCTAATCTCCAATCTCCAATCTCCAATCTCCAATCTCCAATCTCCAATCTCCAATCTCCAATCTCCAATCTCCAATCTCCAATCTCCAATCTCCAATTTCCAGTCCTTCATCTCCAACCTCATCCCCAATCCCCAATCACCAAACTCAATCTGCAATCTCTAATCTTTTTAACCTCCAATCTCCAATCCCCAATCCCCGAACCTCAATCTCCAAACGCCCCTCTCCCCTTCCTTATACAGATTGACGCTTCATACAAAGCAGAGCTAGAAATTAATAAAGTATAATAACGGTCATAGTCGGGTACTTGGAAGGCCGGCTACTTCATAGTCGCGGAAAGCGAATATCTCCGGAAAGAGAATTATCCCTTCTGTTTTCCAATGTCAAAAGCTCATATTCAACAGGTATTATAAGGTTGAAGCGGGATAATTCGCTTTCCCCGTCTACGAAGTAGTCGGCCTTTCATTCCAAGTAGCCGGTCCTTATAGCTTTGTTATTATATACTTTTTTTTTTTTTGAAAGAAACTAATCACCATGAATAACCAATCTATATATTTTACGATTTAATATCCACTTTAAGAAAAAGTCCCATCATCGTTCCATCCTTTTATTTCTCCCCTCAAAATACAATCAAACCTCAAATACAAATACTCAAATAATATACTAACATATACCAGCACCACTTCGAGCGCCAGCATTGCGATTGCAATTGTATCTATCATGGCGATCATGACTATCGTACCGCATCCTCGAGCTCTGCTAGAATTTAACCCCAGTGGTTGTTCTCCCCTTCCCTATCGAAGAGTGTCAAACTTTATTTTCCTCATTTTTTGCTACTTTTACATATCTAATTTGACATTTTGGTCTACATTTTGCAATCTTCATTTGTAATTTTTCATTCCTTTTTTTAATCTACTTTAAGCAACAGGAACTTCATTTTGTAGGAAAGAAGTACTTTTTTACAGTAATGTAATAGTAGCCCCTCGCTTATACGGAGTAAGTTCCTCCTCATCTGGTGAAGCAGCGGAATGAGACGAGACGAGAGAAAACAAGAAAAAACAATAGAATAATGAAATATTGAACTTCGATTCACTCTATCTTTATATTCACATTCACATTCACCTTCACCCTCAATTCACCCTCACATTCACAGTCCTTGATTCTTGTTCCCGATATATCCCGAGAATAAACATAACAAGTGCCTAGGTGGGTATATATTGTATTTTCAAATATGAGTGAGTGATTGTATTTTCTTGTCAAGCAACACGATATCAGAAACTTTGTTAATTTCTCTTTATATAAAGAATCAAACAAGCAAGCAAGAAGTCTTCCCATCAAAATTTCAATCCACGTATAACCTACAAATAACAATCCTCTGCACAACACAATCCATCTATTTCGCGGCCCTTAGAAAAAGATACTTCCTTCTCCTACTCCTTCTCCTCCTCCTCCTCCTTCTCCTCCTCCTTGCAACAACACTAGCAAACTCGAGCTCTAGCGGCAAAACCCACCTCACCATGCCCCCTCCCATCCCTCCAACACCTCTAAAATCCTCACCCCCCAAGATAAAAATAATCTTCATCCTCGGCCCTCCCGGCATCGGAAAAGGAACACAATGCACACTTCTCACACAAACACCTTTCCCTCCCACCCCCTCCAAAACCCCCTCCCCCACCATCCACCATCTAAGCATCGGCGAAATCCTCCGCACCGAGCTCTCAAACCCCCATAGTAAATGGGCCCCTATAATCCGCACGAACATGGCATCGGGACGGACCGGACCTCCAGAGATGACGGTCTCGATGTTGAAGTCTGTGATGGATGGGAAGATGAAGATGAAGATGGAAAGTGGAGAGGGTGGAGAGGGAGAGGGAGAGATAGGAGAGATAGTGTTTTTAATCGATGGTCAGTTACCTAGCTACTTATTTGTTATGATTATCCCCTAGCGGGAGAATAATCCCCTCATATGCATTATCCAATATCCATCCATCCATCCCCTCACTCATCCCTCCAAATCCAAATCCACTAACCCAACCCAACCCCTCCAGGATTCCCCCGCAGCACCGACCGAATCGCCCTCTTCGAATCCACCATCTCCCCCCCAACACTAGTAATCTCCCTTACAAGTCCCCTCCACATTCTCCAATCGCGACTCCTATATCGAGCTAAAACATCTACTCGCATTGATGATGGAAATACAATTATGCAAAAAAGATTCGAACAGCATGTTTATGCTACTGAACCTGTGATTGCTCATTATAGGGAACGAGGTTTGCTGGTTGAGATTGATGGGAGTGGGAGTGTGGAGGTTGTTCAGGAGGAAATGCGGAGGGTAGTGGGGAGGGTTTTGGGGTTGTGAGGATTATATTAATGTGATTAGTGCTGGGGGATAAGGGTGGGGGGTTGGATGATGAGGGGTTTGCGAGATTTTGATGGGTGGTACGGTGAAGTGAAGTGAAGTGGAGGAAATGGAGATAGATCTAGATAGAGCGGTACGGCGAAGATTTATTATGGATGATACCATACCAGTCTAAGATAGTCATTAACGTCCGCATAGTTCGAAATATCGACTATCAGTATCAATAATCTTTGAAACTTTGATAGAAAAACTTAATACTTACAATAAATACCCCGAATATCAACTCTTTAGCTTTCCATACTTACCTCGTTTAGCAATCAGTGGTAAACTTACCACTTTTGATCCCAATTGCAAATATTATTTAAATCTAGATCTATAATTAAATAAATAGAGTTATGAATAACGCTACAGAAGCATATCACTTATTATATCATATTACATCATCTTATCACCACCCACCATATGATTACTCCGCGCATAAGGTTAACAATTTCCCAATTTCAATCCCTTAATATTTCTCACCCTTGAGGCCTTTAGACTGTGCAAGTCGCTACAACAACAATACACATAACTAAACCAATAACCATAAGCTTATCAAATCAAAAGTAGTTTTCTTTTCTGGCAGCTAGTAACTCCTTTCCATATAATTACATATACATATACAGCCACACATCTCATCCCATCTCATCCCATCCCATCACTACAAAACCTCCAACAATAATATAAAATTACCATTTCCCATCTCCCATTTCCCATATAAGATCTTAATCATACATTAAAACTAAGACCAGATATAAACAACAATCCCAAGCCCAAACGAAAAATACAAACAAAATACAAAATACAAAATACAAAATACAAAATACAAAATACAAAATACAAAATACAAAATACAAAATACAAAATACAAAATACAAAATACAAAATACAAAATACAAACACATTAAATTCTATTCTACTCACAAACACAACCCAGGCCTGAACATGGACCGGAATCGGACAATATTAACCTTACGTCATAGCCACATCTGCAGCTATAGCCATGATTTTTGTACGTAAAGGAGCATATATATATATACCTACCATAGCAACTTCGCAACTTTTGCGAATTATGAAATTATGGGATAGATACTTATACTTATACTTATAATTATTATAAACAATAATCGAAGTAGTTACAAAATGAACCTAATATAATATAAGTGCTCTTAGGTTAGCCATGCCTTAAGTAATTATATATAAGATTACCTATTAAGCGAAGCGACGGATATCTCACAGGCTTCGGATACATGTATAACGATTCATCCATTTAACTAGTATTGTATTGCGATAACCCTGACATGGAATCCTTATATATGGATAGTTTATATAGATTTAGCTCGCGCTGAGCACATTGCGGATAACGAAATCATTGCATCATCACCACCACACCACTAAAACTAAACGCAAAAACATGCACCTCAAATCCAGCGCGAGACAACCCTAGCCATGCTTCCAGTCGACTCCATTCAGCCATCTACAACCTTCCCGTTCTGTTATCCGCAGACGCCTTCAAAATCATGTCCAGGCTGTTGGACTGAATAACTTCAAACAATCCCCCTCGACCAGCAGCCCGGAGTTTCTCATCCTCCCTCCTGAAGAATTCTTCAGCAGTCTTAATTCTATTTGGATGAATCCTATCCAACAGCGCGTAGTCTCTCTTGATAACACCCTTATTTCCTCCTGAATTAGCCCACATAGTCCAAAACCCAGAAAAATTTTCTTGGAAGCTCATAGTTGCGGGATCATTTGGATCGGCGTTATATCCGGCCGGTGCGTCGTCGGGAAGTGGTATGTACTTGAAATAGACATCTTTTGGGACATCAATGTAGCGGGCTGGTTTGCCGGTTACTTTTTCGAATGCTGTGACCAGATCTTTGTAGTGGATATGATCAATGGAGACTTCTAGGTCCATCCCGTCGGACTCCTCAGGGTGATCAAATAACCAGCGGACGTAGTGCTCGCAATCATCGAGGGCCACGTGTGGAACCGCGCCTTCGCCAAGCGGAACTCTCCAAATGACAACCCCGTCCTCGAACTGCGGGGTCATGGCACTCTTCGCCGTGATCGTCATCTCAATGTACGGACCCGTAGTGAAAATGGAGACCCCCATGTTGTTGTCCTTTCTCTGCTGTAACATCCACTCCGCAAGACGGCCTTTGCCATCATAGTGTCCAACGCGAAATTCCGGCTTGTAGCCGCTCTTCTTGTAGACATAGTCAAGGTTACCAAACACGAAAAACTTGATACCGAGCTCGACCGCTAGCTCATAAGAGCGGATTGTCCAGTAGGTCTCAGTTTTTTCGCCGCAGTTGAACCCATCGATGTTGATGAAGGCTCCCCAGCACCCTGTAAGCCCCTTGCGGAGATCTCCTTCACTGGCAAAGGTTCCCTCGACGAACTCGACATCTCCAAGCTTAGCAAGCTCTTGTGCCCGAGATGATGTAGAGTCCCGCGTCAGGACGCGCAAGCTGTATCCACCGTCCTTTGCGAGCCCACGGCATACAGGTAAACCTTGGGCGCCAGTAGCACCAACCACGAAAATGCGGCGTTGGGTCATATTTGATTTCGAAGCTGAATTTGTAAGAATGTTGCTGATGTTTTGATGATTATGAAGAAAATGGGCCTTTATATGCAATTGACGCGAGTAGAAGTGGGTGCTTGACATTGGTAAAATTGTCGTGATTAATAATCTTATGAATCATTAGTGGGCTACATCTCAGAGAGTCTTTGATCAAATCCTGCTTGCAAACCTTAGATCCTTTCAGCCGGCCTAACATTCGTACCGGTAGCAATCTAATCAACATGATCTGTATAGAACTGCAAACTAAAGAGCAGTTATCTAAGCTGATCCATGTCTAAAGGATATATTCATCCGAGTCGAGATTGATAGATGTAACCTGAGTGACAGCTGGTGGTCACGAAGCATTGGCTGAAACAACTCCCAGAGCATGTATTGTAATCAGTCCGATACAGTAGGCTTACAAAGCCTGTGAGTAGGTAGCATCGGCGATAGGCCCTAATATTCGCAGCAGTATGATCAGTAATCCCAAAAGGGCATACACAGCCGCTATGACCAAAACGAAGAAGTTTGTCATAAAAGTTGAGTGTAAAAAGGTGTGTTCACTAATCAATGATCTTGACTCGAGATGCCCCATAACTATGAATAGGGCTAGTACTCTACTTTTGGGCCACCCCACATTTAGGACCACTTTCTGTATTAAAAGTATTAATAGTCAATCTTAATAATTTCCTTATTTATATATATATATTTAAGAAAATCTAAAAAATCTAAAAAATATTTTAAAAATAATTATAAAATTTTATTTAAATATTATATAAAAGATTAAGATTTTAAATTTTAAATTATTTAAAAAAATTATTTATTGAAAATTTATAATATTTTAATTAAATATATATATATATTTTTCAAAAAAATCAATTTATTTAATAAATCATAATATTGTATAGATATTTTTAAAAAAATAATTTTTAATTTTTAAATTATTTCAAAGTTTATATTAAACTTTATTTATATAAATTTAAAATCACAATTTCAAGTTTTTAATATTTTAATTAATGAAAATTTAAAAATTTAAAAATTTAATTATTATATATAATTAATTCATTTATATTTAAAATTTTAAAAATTATATTTATAGATATTATATTTTTATTATTTTTGATAAAGAAAAATAAAATAAATGAAAAATATTTTAAAATAGAATATTAAACTTTTTAAATTATTTAAAATCTATATATAAATATTATTTATATTAAAAGATTGGGTGGAAGAGGCCTCTATATTGACTATATTACTACGTCTGTAGGCATATTAAGATCTCCTCTTGGTATCCTCGGAGGGGACCAATATGCCTGCTTATGGTTCGTCTAATCTAGCCTGTTTAGGTAACCGTATTACTAATCACGACACGTGATTAGTACCGGTAACTTCTATTCCTTTTAACACTCCCCCATAGGAGTTACCACCTTCGATCTCCCCAATCCTCCGCATCTCTATTGTCTCAATCCTAACATCTCTTTGAACCTTTCGAATGCTACTCTTGCTAGGGGTTTGGTCATCCCGTCTGCTACCATATCTGACGTATTGATATAGCTAGTCACTACCTTTTCTTTTTCAGTAAGATCCCTGATAAAGTGGTAGCATATATCAATATGCTTTGATCGCTCATGCAGGTGCGGGTTCTTGGTTAGAGCTATTGCTCCTTGATTGTCGCCTAGTATCTGAACAGTGTCTCCGTGTGTAGATACGTATTCCGCCTTTCCAAGGTCTTTGAGCATTTGAGCTAACCATCTCCCTTGCTTGGTGAACATCGCCATTGATATGTATTCGGACTCAGCACTTGACGTTGCTACTGAATTCTGCTTCTTGCTAGCCCACGATATCGGTCCTCCATAAAACATAGCAACTCCCCCAGAAATACTTTTCCGATCATATCGATCACTTGCCCAATCTGCGTCAGTGAAGACTTTTATAGTATCTGCTGATAGGTTGTATTCCTTTGCGATTTGGTACTGTACTCCCTCAGGTCCATATTTGAGTTTCTGAGTGATCGTAGCTCTCAGGTATCGCATTAGGTTCTTTACTCCTATCCCATGGCATTTTGCTGGCTTTGCCATGTACTGTGATAGCCGGCCTAGTACGAAGGAGATGTCTGGTCTTGTGTATACCATTGGGTGAATAAGACTACCTATGGCTTGTTGATATTCAGTAACATCAATCAGTTCGTCATCTTCAGTAGCGGGTCGTAAACATGAGTAGTCGGCAGCGGGTATCTTCTTAGCATGGTGCTGAGCGTGCGAGATTCCGAATTTGGTTAGCATAGCTTCCAGATACTCTTCTTGGTCCAATGTGAGTGATCTGTTTGCTCGATCTCTTATAACTCTAATGCCTAGAATCTTACTAATCTCCCCCAGGTTCTTGGCATTGAAGCGCGAGGAGAGTATTACAGAGAACCAATCGAGTTGATTCTTTGAAGTCGAGGAGGCAATTATATCATCAACATATACTAGCAAATTGAGTTGGCGAGCGGCGAATGTATAGAGACATGGGTCAGCGAGACTCTGAGTGAAGCCCCAATTGATCAATTCGGACTTTAGAAGTTGACTCCAATCTCGTCCCGCTTGCTTAAGGCCATATAAACTTCTCAATGCGCGTAAAACGTACCCATTTGATACATTGACTCCTTGAGGTGGCGCGAGGTATATTTCTTCCTTGAGATGAGATTCTGTAAAAGCGTTCTTTATATCGAAGTGCCAGCATTCCAAGTTCTCTTTCGCAACGATCGCTAAGAACAAACGGAGTGTATCGAGTCGTACTGTAGGAGCGAAGGTCTCATTGTAGTCTTTTCCGAGAACTTGACTAAACCCTCTTGCTACCAGCCGTGCTTTGAATCTCTCGACCTTGTTGTCCTTCGTCTTTATTGTGAATACCCATTTTGTTGAAACAAGATTCCCTCCTTTCGGCAGAATATACTCTTCCCAGGTACCATTTGCAATCAATGAGCTGATTTCCTCTTCGATAGCTCGCTTCCATTTTTCACCATATTCAGGGTCCGAGACTGCCTGATTATATGTGTTAGGAATAGGGATTCCTAGAATCTGTTCTGCGGGGAAAGCTGTATCCTCGTCTGTAGAGCTCCCTAAGATCACTTGAAGGTTTTCGGATAGTTTTGTTTTAACGCTCGGGTCGATCCTAGATGTAAGGGGTATGGAGATCATAGCATGTTCGATAGCACTTCCATCAGGGTCTGCTGAGAGTATCGCTATCATTGCTCTTATCAGTTTCTGGACATGCTCATCTGGCTCACTATCGTCTCGCTTGCGTTTCCGAAAAGAGTATCTTTCAGGGGTGTCTATATCCATAGGTGTAGTTGAGGTTTCGGTTGAGGATTGATTGGTTACAGGTGCAGTATCTAGTATGTCTATCTCTTTTGTTCCTGGAGATAGTATTGGGTCTGTGGATGGATCGATTTCGATGATATTCCCTTCACTGTCTTCGTTGAATTGCTGGATATTGTCTACTTTAGATGCGCTGGGAATTACTACTTTCGGGGGTTCAGGGGTAGCAGTATCTTGTAAGGATTCGAGTGGGGATTCTTGTACTTCTTGTACCTTGTGAGGTCTACCTCTGGGTCTCCTATCAGGGATGATATTTTTTGTACCTTGGGGTCCTGATACAGAGTTTCTTATTCTTAGGTCTAAGTCTCCGCCCTTTTTGGATTCGTCTATAGTCACTCGGCTTGCTCGTACAGTGTAGCCTAGCTCTGGCGAGTACACCTTAACATGCTTATTGGTCGTGTGCGAGTATCCCATAAAGATGCCTACTCGAGCTGTATCTCGTAATTTGTCGTGCCGTTGGTCCTTCGGGATTGTCTTTGGATTGATATATGCATAACACTTGCTCCCCCAGACTCTACAATGGGTGATGTCGGGGGTTGATCCAGTAAACGCTTCGATTGGGCTTACAACGCTGTCGTCAATGATCGGTCCAGTGTTCGTTCTATTCCTGCAGTGTGCATCATATTCAACAGCTTCGTCCCAGAATTCCAATGGCAATCCAGCTTCCTTTAGCATAGCTCTCATATCGGCTTCGGCAGTGCCGATGTTTCTTTCAGCAGTTCCATTTTGATGAGATGATGCTACGGTAGTCAGTTCTGATCGGGTCCCAGAGTTCCACTCCTTAACGGCTTGGATTAGCTCTGGTGCATTATCAGTTCGAGCGGCTACTATCTCATCACCAATGCCAAGTTCTAATTCGGTTTTCCATTTCTTCAATCTCGGTATAGCTTCATCTTTTGTCTTCAAGGTCAAAATCCAATTCACTCTTGTCCAGCTGTCTATGATCAATAGGAAATAGCGGTTTCCTCGTAAAGACCTTGGGAATGGGCCAGCGATATCAAAATGAATAAGCTCTAATCTTTTCGTCTTGTGAGGACTGAGTTGTTTTGGGATTAGATTCTTCATCTTGGTGAGCGCACACACTTCGCATACAGGGATTTTGGATGGGACTTTGATCGGCTTTCCCAGTGTAGTAACTTTATGGAGATTCCGTATTTTCTCTGGGCCAAGATGGTTAAATCGTCTGTGCCATAGTAGATAAGTTTCTAGATCCTTTTTGTTCTTGTCTAAGGAGGTGTCTAGAGTGATCTCGTTCGATTCAATATCACTAATAATCTCTGTGCTCTGTAGAGCGACATCTTCATATCCTTTCGCGATATCCGAGATCATATAAATTCCTCTATCCATTTTTGCTTTGATGATATTTATTCCATTCTTTCGAAAGTACATACGATCTGAATTGAACCTGCCCTTGAGTCCAGCTTCACAGATCTTCTTGCCGGAGAGGAGATTGACTCCTAATCCCGGTACATACAACGTCTTTGAGAGTAAAACCATACCACCATTTCCTAGCTCCATTGCAGCAGTACCTATCCGATCACAGTACATAACTCCCCCACCAACTTTTATCGTCTTTCTCTTTATCTTCTTGATATCTCTAAAGAGTGAAAGTTGATCAGACATGTGTGAGGAAGCGCCGGTATCTGCGTACCAACGAGAAGGGGTGGTCTTACGAATGAGTTCTTTAGAGACATGGCACTCTTCGTCATCAGACTCTTCTTCGCTTTCTGATGAATCGAGATCAACTAAAAGACTTTCGCCATCTGCAAGATGAGCTTGATTACTTCTTTTCTTAGGAAATGACACTTTGGTTGTCTTTCTAAGTGTTGCTTTCCGTTGCTGGGCTTTATAGTGTTTGCGGATCAGAGCTTGTGCGAGTGTGAGATCTTTGCAATCACGTAGAAAGTGCCCTTCGTGCTCACACAGGTGGCAAACATAGGTTTTGGCTTCATCGTCTTGTTCTTGCTTTGCAAATGGGCTTGATCCTCTGCGTTCTCCTCGTCGATTTGGGATTACGTACTTTCCGCTAGCAGTATGGGCTTGTTCTGTCTCTTGAATGCTGAGTTCTTTAGCTGTGAGATATTTGATCTTGTCTTCCACTGCTAGCGTGCTTTGAACGCTCATAGCATCGATTGTTGTTTGGTATTCGCTTGGTAGGCTTCTAGTCAGAACTAAAAATAGAGCTTCGTCTCTGTATGAATCCTTGAATGCGGGGTTGGCAGCACCAAGCTTGCGTCGGTATTCTTTCAGTTTATCCCAGGCTTCAATAACGGTCATCTCTGGATGGCTAGTAGGCTTGAAGGTAAATGTTTGGATCATTGTTAAGTACGAATTGGCTGTGATATCACTAGTTCTTGAGTACTTTGACTTCAGGTAGTTCCATAATGTTCGTGCTGTATCGTACTCATCAACAAGCGCTTCATCGTCGTCACTGAGTGATCTGCACATGTACGATAGTGCACTAGCTTCATCTTTCAAATATTTGGCCTTCTTATCGAGGTTAAGCCTGATGTTCACGACTTTGCTTCCTTCGAGGATCGGGAAAACTTCGGTACCATCGACTTCCATCCCAACTCCTCCAACCTTAGCATGCTCTTGCAATGTAGACTCAATCGTATAGAACCAATCCTTTCCTTTCAATTGTATTTTCATTTGTCGAAACCATCGATCGTGGGTCTCTTGGGTGAGGTTCGGGATGCTTTTCGTTTGCTCTTTGATTTCGTCCATCTTGGTATCTATGCAGAGAATTTGCAAGGTTTTTCTTCCCCTTTTTCTGTATAGATAAATCCACACAGATTGTAAATATAAGTATAATTTGCACCGCGTGTTTTCTGTCGTACCGCGTACGTTTTATTCGTAAGTAGCACCGCGTGCTCTTTCAACTCCGCGAGTTGATGGTAGTAGTGATCACAGCACCGCGTGCTGATCGTAAGGTAGTGCCGCGCACTCTTCAACTCCGCGAGTTGGATTGTGATAATGATCGCGTCAATTATGTCCAGAGGCCATGCTAACCGGGCTCATAACCTATTAAAAGATTGGGTGGAAGAGGCCTCTATATTGACTATATTACTACGTCTGTAGGCATATTAAGATCTCCTCTTGGTATCCTCGGAGGGGACCAATATGCCTGCTTATGGTTCGTCTAATCTAGCCTGTTTAGGTAACCGTATTACTAATCACGACACGTGATTAGTACCGGTAACTTCTATTCCTTTTAACAATTTATATAAATTCTAAAATCAAAAGTTCAATTTTCAATATCTTAATTAATCATTATTTATAATTTGTATTTTAAAAATAATTTTATAATTAAATCTTTATAATAATATTATATAAATAAATAAATATTTAATTTATAATATATTATAATAATAACAAAAGTTCTTTTCTAAAAAATAAATTTATTATTAAAAGATTATTTAAAATTTCAATATAAGTTTTTACAAAAATTAAAAACCTAAAATTCAATTATTAATATCCTAATTGATAAAAATTGTAAAAAAATTTAAAACATTCAAAATCTACTTATATATATTTATACAATAAATTTTAAATAAATTTTAAATAAATAAATAAATAAATAAATAAATAAATAAATAAATAAATAAATAAATAAATAAATAAATAAATAAATAAATAAATAAATAAATAAATAAATAAATAAATAAATCTATTTAAATAATCTTTAACATATAAAAACTTTTTAATATAAACAACTTTTAATACAAACACTTTACAACATAAAAAGATAATACCCAACACTTATAAAAGATACCCCAAGAAAGGAAACATCCCAAAAGTAAAGCAGAGTACAACTATACAACTATACTAGATTCAACTTGATCTACAGAGATGCAAGCAATATTGCACATACCTATGCATACCTATGCAGTTCTTTGGTAAGGAAAGGTAAGGTAAGGTAAGGTAAGGCAAGGTAAGGTAAGGTAAGGTAAGGCAAGGTAAGGAAGGTCTCGTCTTACTCATCATGGTATTGTTGCTGTAGATGCTTGTTGTAATTGCTTATAGTATACAGTATTTGCTTTTAGTAAATGGATACAGGAAATGGAAATGGATACAATAGATGCTTGCAGTAAATGCTTGTAGTAGATGCTTACAATATACAGTATATACACACAGCAAGAAACACAAGACCAAAACGAATATATAAACAACAGACACACCCATCTCATCTCATCACATCTCATCACAACAAGAGACAGCAAAACACACACACACAGCTTTCAAGCAATCCAATCTTCAAAACTTCCAAAAATTTCAACAAATCCTCCAGTCTAGTCCAGTCAACTTTGACATACACACAATGGCAGCATTAAAAGAAATCCTCGTTATCGGCGGCACAGGTGCCCAAGGTATTCCTGTAGTAAAAGGTAAGTACCATAGCACATAGCACATAGACCCCATAAACCAGTCCCAATCCCAATCCCACCCACTAACATAAAAAAATAAAAATATAGCCCTCGCCCAAAGCGGCCGCTACACCGTGCGAATCCTAACCCGAGACACCAACTCACCCCGCGCAAAAGAACTCATCGCACTCGGAAACGTGACTCTAATCCAAGGCCACCAGGACAACCAAAAAGACCTCCACCGAGCTTTCCGCGGTGTATATGGTGCCTGGGTTAATACAGACGGGTTCACGCTCGGCGAGAAAGACGAGCTCTTTTACGGTTTTAGGGCCTATGAGATCGCCCGAGGCGAAGGGGTACAGCATTATGTTTGGGCGAATATTGAGTATGGTCTTAAGCTTGCTAAGTGGAATGAGGATTATCATTGTGGTCATATGACTAGCAAGGGAAGAATTGGGGAGTTTATTCTTGCGCAGGGACAAGAGGGCATGAAGACGTCGCTCTTTACCACTGGGCCGTATATGGATATGCTCCTAGGTGGCTTGCTCGTACCCATCGAAGAATCGGATGGGACTTTTGTTTGGAAAAATCCCTCAAGTAAGCACTTCAAGCCCCCTAAAATGTTTCTAGCGTATATTGAGGCTAATTTAATCCCAGAGGATGGCAAAATCCCTTTCATTGCCCTTCAAGATGTTGGGGTCTACAACCTCTGGATTTTTGACAATCCATCCGAATCTGCTGGTTTTGACCTGTCAGTTGTAACGGATACTGTCAGCTTTGCCGAGGTCGCGAAGATCTTCACCAAGGTCACGGGCAAGAAAGGTGTGCACGAGTATTTGACCCACGAGGACTATAGGAAATTTGCTGAGCCGTATCCCAATGCCTATGTCAACTGGAGTCTTGGCCCAGATGTACACCGAGATGAGTCTGTCATGCTCTGGGCGGATAATTTCGCGGCGTGGTGGCGCTATTGGGGCGAGGGCGTTACGCCCAAACGAGACCTTGCTATCCTGGATCGCATCCATCCTAATCGCATCAAGAGTTTGGAGGAGTGGATGAAATTGGTTAAATACGATGGGAAGCGTAGAAATGTGCTAAAGATGGTTGAAGACTGGGAAGTGAAGTCGGGTGCTCCTTTCGAGCCCGAGAAGACCGCGGCTTAGTGAAAGAGCTTATGGTTTGGTTCCACAAGGAGTTGTGTGGAAGTGATTGATCATAGATAGTCTGTCAATTTTGTGGAGTTTTAGGCCGGAAATGTCTCTCTCGCGTGTCGTAGTGCTAGCCGAGCATGGGGGGCAGTATCAAAGTTTGGCCCACTCATAGGTCCATACCACGCGGGGGAGATCTTCATCACTCTCGTTATCTAATCTATACTCTATAGCATAAGCTTTTCTAGCATAAGGATACGACTTTTGATTTAGAGCAATGATGTGAGGGACCAAAATGTGCAACAATTAGGACAAATCACTGCCTTTCATTATTCTCAAACCCTGATTCCGTTCTTCGCGGAAGAAAGGGAACATGAAGAATCATAAACACGTGATTCCCCGGCCAAGGAGTCGGTGTATGGCCGCGTCGAGTGGTGGCTGGACTATATACCACACCATATTTGGCAGGTATTTCTCCCAGCACAAGCAGGCAAACAAACGACAAGAATTGAATACCCCTAAAGCCAACCTGTTCTTCGGCTTTCGATCTAATATATTATTGAAAGGTTGTGTATCAAATTGTAGTAATTTGAAACATAGAAAGGTTTAAGCTTTAGCGATTCGTGTAACGTTTCAGGAAAAAAAAGCTGCCATACCCCGATTGCCAACAGTTGTTAAACGAGGTATTGAAAGTTAAAAGGTTGCTACTCGGGTATTTACTCTAATATTTATTGCGAGTATTGAACCACAATCTTTTGTTCAGCCGCCGAAGGTTCGGTGTTCGTCGTCGTCTTGCTGGGTTTTTCGATGTCCTCCGCAGCTTCACAGTGGAATGAGAATTCAAATCAAGACAAAACAAAGCAACCACGCCACTATATTTCCTCCTCATCGCACCATATGAATTTCAACAACGACAAAGTCAACTTCCAAGCTATTCGAGACTTTGGGGACATAGCGATGCGATCACGTGAACTTTCACCCCCAAGCCATCAAAATGATGTTAACCACAAGAATTCGAACGCGCGAGAAGCTAGGATAATAGGTAGTTTTAGCTGTCATTTGCAGGTTTCCATTTACGAAAATGACCTCTCCTAATGACCTCCACCACTGGAAAACAAACTCGGCACTATTCGAGTTTCTCAAGCCAAATAATGGACGGCAGTGCGGGAAGCAAACCCCTTTCATCTTTGAAGTAAATCAGTAAAACTGGTGAATGAATTAAAATATAAAGAAACAGAGTGCTAATCCATGGCATTATATAGAGAATGCATTCACGTCTTACCTGAGACATAAAATGGAAAGCGAATCAACGCTCGAACGGATCTCGTCTGAAGGCACTGAAAATGGAGTATGGACACGTGTCTAGCGTCAAAATAGGCACTCACACTCAAATAAACCCGGCCACTGACCGAAGTTTGTAATGAATCACCTGCGCACATCATCGTCGTCGGGTGAATTCACCTATAAAATTATATAAACAGAGCCATCTCCCCAGTTACCACAGAATGTTGCAACTTCTTACAAACAGCCAAACAATTCAAACATTTCATCGATTTTTGCGCGCGCAAATTTGACAATCTTCCACATCACGCAACGGATAAACAAATAAATAAACAAACGACGAAATAAAACGAGATCTACTGCACTTTTTACCAAGATGGAAATGGACTTGGAGATATCGCCACATGCCGGGAGATCAGAGGTTCAAAGTCAAGTTCCTACTTCGCCCCACTTTCAAAACCCCATGCAATACCTTCATGGCGCATGCAGCCACTGCTACCGCGATGATGGTAGGGATATTAGAGACAAACAATTAGTTTCCTGTTACCAAGATGGCGAACTGGATCCATTCACCCTTTTCTTGCTAACTCCTAGATGGTGTGTAGATTGTTTGGCTCAGAGAGAAATGGCGATTAGGGCTTCTTATTGTGATCGTTTGATAGAGATGGAGACGGTAGAATTTCCGGTTGGTACGGTGGAGGAGGCCTATATTCGTGGTGTAAGTTGATGGTTGTATGCTCGGTGTCCAGGTGAATCTGGGTATAGGTGGTTAATTCTTTGATCAAGTTATTAACATCTTTTAGGTACACGATGGACGGATCAATGCCCTATCTCAATCATTTGAGGATTGTGGAGTACGGCCAGGGGAGCATAACAGCAGTTCTATCGTTGATGATATCGACGAAATTTTAAGGAAGTTGACAAACATGGGACTTGGCACTGCTAAATCCAACGAGGATAACAAGATTGATGAAATTGTCCGTGATTTCAACGATCAGATGATGTTAGAAGACGACGAACTGAAGTACGAAGTTTATTGGCACTTGGCATACATGGAAGGAACGAAAGATGGTTCCTACATGCAAGCACAGATTGAATACAAAGCACTTACGATGGACGATCCGGAACGAAGTGAAATGCTCAGGAGAGCTGTGCTGTGAGGAAATAGACCAAGTGGTTATGGAAATCGAGAAGGACTCGGCAGTTGTCTTGCGGGGTATCCTGTATTTTGAGTTGGGTCTGATCTCGGAGTTAAACTGGAACTGAGCATTTTGTATTTGGGGAAAATGCCTTGTGCACTGACTTTTATGGTCGATTTTGGTCGATAGAGTCATGGACGATGTCCGTGGCATGAATGAATCGACAAGACTATTGAGGACAATGAAGTTAACTTATTATGCGATGTTACGCAAGCTGAGTTCAAGAATCTTGAGGTTATCCTGGAATTGGAACTTTTTTGGATTCCCTTGAACACGAGAATCTACCAATATCAACCCAAGGAAGTACCGGTCCAAGTGTTGACTGGGAATCTAGACCTTTGTCATGGCGATCGGTGAGTTGGAGGAATGTCTGCCTTGCGAGTGAGAGTGAGAGTGAGATTTGTGTTACTTGACATTTCTTCAAACAATCCTGAAAGTGTCACTCAGGTAGAGTAAAGTAGGGGTGTGCATATGTAATCGGTGGGAAACTGTGCCCCGAGATTGCTGACTCTTCTTGCAGACACGGGATGAGACGGAGATGAGAAGGGTAGAGGTAATGTATGTAGTCTGATATATGCAGATGCGAATAATCAACGATGGCGTAGTAAGCTTTGTTATCGATTTACCATTGGGCAGTATGGAATTTATGGTTGAGTTGCAATGTTGCTTGGGTTCCACGTGTGTGACGTGAATTTTGGTAGGTTGATGAACTTTTCTAGAAGACGGCCACAGTGGTCCGACCCCATTTGGCGCTATGCTACTGTCGGAGCTTTAAGCATATGGCGTAAAGATATAAATGGAAACATGCTCTGTATCAAAACTGAATGTTACGGTAGTATCTCCTTAGCCTAGACTTGAATCCTTGTGGTTTATAATAGTTTTCTCTTTTTACGCCCTCCAACACTTCCTTTTTAAATATATTTTTTTTTAAACCGGCTTTCTTTTTCTAAAGTTCGTTGTTAAAAGGCTTGCTATTTGGATGGATGGTTGGTGCTGGAACACCGCTAAGAAATCTTATCCCTGTTGGACTTCGTAGCCCCATACAAGTCATCAACTTTTGTTCTTACGGCTGCTGACTTGCATAATCCCAAAAAGCAACTTGAGGAAAATTCCCGTGTGGGAGGTAAACGGGTCCGATCTTAGAAGAAAAGAAAGTCAGCACACTAATAAGCTTTCAGTTGAAATTTGTTTCATAATTGCCCAGTGATTTCCAACTGATCGTTTTACCAAGACTCTTAATTTTTTGGATCAAGACTCAAGAGCGAGCATTGAAAATATTGAAACCTGGAAATGTGCATGATGAATCATGATAAAGCGTTACGACCCGCGGAGTCAATCAGAGATGCTGCAGTGATAAGGAAAAGGTGGAGAGGATGCTGCATGGAATATGCAGGTGCAAAAGGTATTTTTTTTTCATCCAAGCTACTGCAACATCATGGAGGTTCTTCGCAAACGAAGTCATTTTCGTACAACCTCATTGAGCTGATCTCTCTTGAAACAGCACATTGCAGCCTTCGAAAAGCCCCCATGATACCACCTGTAATATAGACATGGCTTAATCAATTATATTAAGAGCTCTATATGTGATAGTCTCGATGCGACAATGATCAATCAGTAATAAGTATGAGTGAGTACAAGGAATAACCCGAGTAGAATCTACATCGTCGTCATCAAATTTCAAGGCTGTTGAAGTCTCGGAAAGTTTTAATTGAAGATCGTTTCTATAATGGCATAATTACCAAGGACGAACTAAACTTCAAGCAAAGTGGGGAAGAAGCGAGCCACGAAGCTTTAAACTTCAAGACATTTACGAAGGATTCTACATCCAGCTATATCATGTATGTCATAAGTTATAATTTGAAGCTTCGCTCCTAACAAGGAAGGTACTAGGTATGTATGTGAAAAGGAGTCAAGTGTATTTCCTTCTTGAGTAACGACTGAGACAGTAGTGGCCGAATCCAGTGGTATGCGTGTGAAGGAAGAACCACAGAGTAGTCCATATCACTATCACGTAAATACGAATACTCCGCACCTTCTTTTTACGCCCAACAATGGCCCATCTTTTAAGGTCTATGGATTGCCGGATATTACTAAAATAAATGATAGATAATAAGGTACTGACGTCTCCAATATCAAAGTTAGAATACTACTGTAGAGGTATGCTCTGCTACCTACAAAAATAAGCCTTGCACCAATTGACTACTCAAAACTTATAAATACTCAGATCACAGATATGGTTGACTAGACTGAATCGTATTCTAGTAGCACAGAGTAGCTTTTATTTCTAGGCTACGCTACTCGGGATATCTTCGTCTACGACTATAGCAGCCTTGGCACCAGCCTCAACGGGTGTCTGTTATTTGGTGGTTTTGCCATCCGATCCTTGGTTGATGGTTAGATGTGTTTTCCTAGCTTCAGTTTTCGTGTAAACAAGTCGTCGATGGGTATTTCGAGGATCAAATCTGGTCAATCAAACAATCTTATTACAACTACCTACTACGTACCATCCTCCTACAAAGACATTGCCCATTATGAACATTATTACGTTGTATTGCACAAGATACTACTAAGCCTTCCCCAGGAATCCTTTTAATCAACCGTCAGCTTCAGCTATGACAACTTGGGCCTTCAACACACATAATCACAGTCATAAATAGATAATCTCTACCCTCCATTACTCATATATGTATCAGCAGTCATGTACCCTCGGAAATGCTTTCGGAGATCGGATCATCATCCTACATAGTCTTACGGTATTATAGCAATGATAGAAGCATTCCGAACACGGATCATCAGTAGTGGGTATACTGGAGTAGCAACTGCCAAAAGCTAGTAGTAAAATATTTTTATATCAAATCGTATCACTCCGTCATATTCTAGTCCAGTCGCTTCTCATCAGTGTCATCACCCATTTGATCTAAACGATTCAAGACAAGCCGCCAATAACCCGGTACTTCGGTAATTGACCTTTTCATCCCATCCTCCGCCTCCAGACGTCCCTTTCATTCTCCACCTTGTACTGTACCGCGCCTCAAATGAAAAGCATGTACCCCCTGAATGTTTGACATTCGCACACTTTACCCAAAAGAATACTGTCGCTTCAGGGTCTTTTGTTAGCGCAGTGCTATTTCTCGCAGGGAAAGTTCACAGATCCTAGACTTTTCTAGTTCCTCCCGCTGGTTCCTCCGCTGAAAAAAAAGTATGCATCTATCTGACACCTTAATGCAACTCAACCTATTTGGGGTCCTGATTCTGTTTACACTCTTTTCCTAGACTTTTCAATCATCCATCTCCATCATCCGTCATCCTCTTCGGGATGAAGGTCTCTTCTTTCAACAAACACACCACAAGCAATTTTATCTCTACCTCTCTATAATTAATATCATATCAAAAAAAAAAAGTCATTAACCTTAAAAAATAGTTTTGGGTCCAGATATCCTTCCTTCCTATTGGCTATTTCCGCCCTCGGAACATTGGATCTCTTTGGATCTTGGTAACCAGGTACGCTCAAAAAATTGTTCCATCTCATCACCACCAATCTTCCTTTTTGTGGGTATTCATTTTGGGAAGCTGTGTCTAGATATGCTTGACTTTTCCTCACAAATCACAAGTTTTGTTTCTCCATTTGACAAGCTTATACCTTTTCTTTTGGAATACTCTCCAATCATCACAGTCTCCAGCTTTTAATTTGTATATGATTCAAGGCGCTATCACCACATGAATTACCTTACCTCGAGTCAGTTCCTGTGCATTGACTGCCTACACGAGCCCTCTTCCAGATAAACTTATACAGTCCTACCAATTCACATACCTATATCATACGTTTTTGTCTTGTTGATATATATAATTGCCTATACTGATTTGCACTGAAAGCTGTTAATACAGGGGATTACTCAGATCTGAGCACTTTTTCTCAATGTCCCATTTGACCTGATCAACTCATCCAAAACAGTCGTTCGACATCACCCTAATTGACGACTTTCATTCGCTCCTACTTTTTGCTGGTCATAAATAAGTCAATTTGGAGGATCAATTTGGGAGGATCAACGATAACCATTCAGCCTAATCCAATATTAATTATGCATACTTCACAATCGGCGCAACAATCCGCACGGATGGCGAACTCTAGTCGGCGAGTTGGTAGATCTCGCAGCATTTCGAGCGATGGACCTTCGACGGCTAGCACTTCCACGGGTTTACTCTCTCCGCCTCTCTCAATCTCACCAGAGCCAGTTTACATTGCCTCTTCAGCGGCTTCACAAATCGTTACGAATGACCATGATAGCACAGCGGATGCTTGGCTTGATCAACATGGAATTAAGCCCTCGGGAGAAACTGCATTAGTATCAACCGCTGCTCTCAAACTTGTCAATACATTTCTTGACCAACTTGTACTAAATTTCCTCTCGGCATCGAAATCAACTTCACTGGTATCATTACGCCCAGCTGTTACTGAGGTTCTGAAGCCGAGACTTGCAAGAGACGCCGTTAGAGGAGCCGATAGTGAGCTTCGAGAATATTTGGGTGGAAGTGGAGATGATGAATTATTGTCATCCGAGAGGGAAGGCCAATCAAGCCGAGATTGGGACCTCGAACTGGTGTGGAAGCGTACGAGATTGAGGTGTATGGTTTATTCATCATTGGGGGATATGGAAGAAGAAGACGAGGATCGATATACAGCGCAAGAGCATCTCAATGGTTCCTTAGAATCTGGGGATCGTGAGAATGAAACCGGAATCGTCTCTCCAGCTGTTGCTATCTTCTTAACGTCTATATTGGAATTCATGGGTGAACAGATACTTATTGTAGCAGGACAGGCGGCCTATACCCGACTTCGCATGAAATATGAGCAAGAGGAGCGCGATGGCACTATTAGACAAACTGATATCGCGGAACGTGTAGTCGTAGAGGATATTGATATGGAGCGAGTCGGATCGGATCGAATATTGGGAAAACTTTGGAAAGACTGGAAAAAGCGCGTCCGTTCCTCAACAAATTCAGAGTCCATGAGTCATTCACATTCTTCGAGAGAAATTACGGGCAATTCAGCACGGCCTATCTCGGAGCCAGCCCAAGCGGCCAGTATCTCTTCAAGTGATGACGGGGAACTACGAGAAACATCGTTCGACGCTTTGGCTAAGCACGAACAAGCTGCTATGGTTCCATTGCCAATGACTGTGGACGATGTTAGAGAGATTGAAATACCAGGACTAGTCCCACAAAGTGATAATGAAGAAGAAGATGATGCTTCAGAGACAGAATATTTACCCTTTTCTCGGCGACCGAAGAGTATGGTGATTTTCACGAATGCATCGCACAATCTTCCTACACCTAATTCTTCCCAACCACCAACCCCGATTTTCGCCGCTAGCCCTTCAAAGTCGAGAAAACGTGCAAACTCGTTACCGCCTCCCATCCCATCTGCAGTTACGTCACTTTTCTCCCGAGATACCAAGGAAGCAGTTTCGCGCGAGGAGGACTCGATGAGCCCACCCCAAATTGGAGCCGCGGTCATGAATGGCACGATCACTCCCGCAGAATCTGAGAAAGATGTAGGGGAAGAAGATGAAGAAGTTTTAAGTAAAGGAAAGAGTGCTGTACCGGAATCGAAGCATGAGCTCGCGGATGACACCACGGAATTTGATGACACGAGTAAGGATATGGATTCCGATTTCGAATTTGTTGAGGAACCGCAAATCATGACTTCCTCACGTATCTCTTTTGGTGGTCGAGTTTCTCCCGATGATAGAGATTCCTCTTCACGTTCCAGCCTACACTCTAATGCTCAATCACCAAGTATTCATTCACTGCGTTTGATTGATGTTAACACAGCGAAGAGTCCTACAACAAGGTCACGCCAAGACCCCTTTGATGCGACAGATTTCATTCCTGGGCGAGGTGCCTCGATGTCTCGTCCTACTAGTATCCATTCACCTATTATAACAGAACTTTCTTCTCGAGGAACAAGCCCGCACTTTAGGAGCTCGAATAGTTCTCCATTAGCTCGAACTGGCTCCAACTTAAGCTCAATGCCTGTCAAGACAACTACCGACTCGATATCCGAGGTGGATGAAAGGGAATTAGCTGGAGATGACTCTCCATTGACAGCTGTACCATCAGAGCTTGCAGCTGCAATGCAGGGAGTTGACGTAGATCCTAGTCCTATGTCTCAGAACTATCCTTCCTTTAAACCCGCGGCCTTTATATCGACACCATTTGTGCTCGCCGCCCCTCCAACCCCACAGAATTACCGAGAAAACATGAAAGGAGCCGCCAGGCAACAAGCTAATAAGAGCCAATCACTGAGTGGCTTCTCGAACTCGAATATTCGAGGAATTGAGCAAGATGGTCAAATGACACATCAGGGTGCAAAGAACTCATTTGAGCCACCTCCAAGGTCGGTCTCTCGTACAATGGCCAATTCTGTGAATGAAAATCCAACAGTTCTGCCAATTGTAAAAGAGAGCAGTTCTCCGGGGATGTTCAAGAGTATCCCTCGTTCATCTTCAGTGCGTCGTACTTCATCTCCGCGCTCTGTGGGTGAGGAAGTATCACGCAAGGCCATACTTGAAACCCAGCACAAAGCCCATCAACCCTCTTGCACATCCAGTGTCATTTCCTCTTCTACTCCTCGTGACAGACAACGACGAGTATCTCAAGAAAGTGGTGTTTCGGCGATGAGCAGTGTTGGCGATTCAAAGTCGTTTGAAGAATTAATTCGAGGAGGCGAGACCATTCAATACACATTAACACCACAAAACATGCGTGCTATTGAAAGTCCAGATTCCCCATTGAGTTTGACAGCCATTCCCGTCCCCCGATCTGCTTCCGGACGCACACATTCACCATCAGTGAGCAAGCACACTGGATTGCACTCCCATCCTCCTAGTGGCTCCTTAAAAGGTCCTAATGTCGCACCAAGAGATGCAAGAACTGATCAAGATTCACTGGGAGATTTCTCTGATTTCATTCGATCCACAGGTCCCGCAATTCCTTTGAAGAGGGAAGGAATTCACTCACGATCAAGTTCAAGCGCCGCGAGTGATATTGCTCGACCGCTAATAACCAGTAATCTCCACAAAGGAACCAATGGGACCCCGAGAAACGTTAGTGGCTCAATACCTCGTGTGGGTCCCGTTGCCGCTCTTCCCGCACGAGCGGCATCATCTGCTGGTCGATCGGGCAGACCAAATAAATTACAACCTCGTGATGCCACCGTAGGCAAAGATTCTATCACCGATCTTATCGACTTTGTAAGGGCCGGTCCTGATGAAGTTGGCGGTCATCGTATACCACGTACTGTTGCTCCGTTTAGATCTACAATGGACTCTGATCAAATGTCTGGTTTTGCCGGTGGTAAGGCTATAGATGCATCTCTACCTGATGCTAGATACAGCCAATCATCTACCTACGCACCCACAAATCATTCCTCGGTTACTTCACAGACAGGACTCCTAAACAGCTCTAATAAGGCGAACAAGCCCATGCCCACGCAAGGTGGTATGAATTTCGACGACGATGAAGATATGATGCCGAAACGAAAGACACGAAGAGTGAGGGATCCATATGCTATTGACTTCAGTGATGAAGAAGATAGTGAATTCGAACATTCCTCTAGACCGGCACCCATACAAGAAGAATCCTTGGCCGACTTCCTACGAAATGTACCTCCACCACCTTCACCGAAGATGACTTCTGTCTTTGCAGAAGCTCAAAAGCCGCCTAAGAAAAAGCCCAGCTTTTCTTCGCGTTTCACTAGAAGTGGCTCTATTTCTCAGGTTCAGCAACACAAAACATCACATTCAATGTCATCCCGTACGACATCCACGAAACATACACCTTCTGCTTCAATTAATCATCAATTTAATGCTCCTGCTGGTGGCAGTACTCATGAAAATTATTCCCAACAATCCGAAGTTCCGAGAGCAACTTCAAACTCCAATGTCATTAGGAAACCTTATGAATCTCGCGAACCTGTTCCAGTGAAATTCAGATCTCAAACAAGTGATCTGGCAGACTTTTTACGAAACTCGGAACCACCTCCATCCGTAGAACCTAAACCTTTTGTTCACGCAAAGGAGGAAAGTACATTCGCAAGTCGATTCTTTGGAAGACGTAAGAAGAGCACTGCTGGATTTTAATACTTCTTTGAATACTCCGAATATTTATTCTACGTCAAAACGTTTCTCATCCATTACTTTGAACAAAACTACTTTTACGATATTTGTTTCTTGCTCGTTGGAGATGGATGTATATTTGCTTTATGCAATGAGATTTTTTATAATTCTTACTAGGGTTCTCTTTTGAGAAATATTTTACATATTGAAATACATTATTCATCTCCAAATACTTTTTGGGGGGGGGGGGGGGGGTTGCGGTTGCGTTTGCATGGTTTTAGTTTTACTTTTATTTTTTGATACCACGTTGGGAATGAATATATGGTTGGAATTTCCGTCTGAGAGGGATGAGAGGAGAGGAGAGGAGGAGAAGGGAAGAGAGTTTATGTTTGATTGATCGTGAATATATAAGTCTTACATTTAGCGAAGGGAAAGTCATTTTACTACTTGCATGAGAATGTATGTGATTCTTTTTATGGGGTTGGATGTTTTCAGGTTGGGTGGTTTGGAGATTGTTTCGAGGAGGGGAATGGGATATGTGGATGTATGGATATATGGATTGGGAATGATGGATAGGTAGATGGACGGGTGGATGTTTGATGGGGGTTTGAAAAATTGAGTAGTCGTAAGAGGAGAGGGGTGGGGTGTGTTTGATTGATTAGTTGGTTATGAATGTGTTTGGGTTAGTGTTTATATCAGTGGCATAGCGTATAGTGCAGTTTGTGGATAGATAGATACTTATACTTATATATACTTAGGTATATATATATATATACATGCATATGCATATGCATAGCGAATGAAATGATGGAAAGTTTTAGATTTTAGATTTAGATGACTGCTACAACTGGTATTATCTATTGATTGATTGATTGGTATAGAATGTTTTGTTACTCGAGTATTGTGAGTGTAGTAGTAAGTATATGTGTAGAAGGGGGTAGAGTAATCAATCGAGAGGGAGAAATCTGGATTTTGTAATTTAATATCACTTTGTGTGGGATGTTTATGTGTATGATGATAATGGTGATGATAATACTGGAAGTAATATAATATCCTATTCTATCCTTCCTTCACTATAAATTCTACAATCAAATAAACATCTAACGCATCCACCCCCTCACTTCCCCTCCCCACCCCATCTCTCACTTCCCTTCCCCCTCTCCCCCTCCTCTCCCTTCCTAACTCCATCAACACCTCACTCCCCAACCCAAGCACTCCTCTCCCACCCCACAGCCCCCCTCATCCTATACCAACCTGCTCCCGCCACAGCCTCACTCTCAATACACTCAACCACATATTTCGAACTCATGGTCTGAAGCACATGTTCCGGGAAGGAGATATAGCCTTCTTCTTCGAGGGTACGGAGGGTATGGAGAGTCCAGATTTGTGTTGATATATTTGGGGGTGTTTGTTTTCCATCTTGTGTTGTTGAGGTGAGGAGATGGGAATCTGGGGTTTTGGATTGTGAGGGAGGGTTTGGGTTTGAGTTTGAATTTGAGTTTGAGTGTGAAGAGGAGGAATCAGAATCCGAGGAAATACTTAATTCTAAACATTCCAGTTGGGTTTCGAGACCTAGGACGGCGAGGCGAGAGGAGAGTGCTGGGTAGAGAATACTGTCTATAGGGGATAGTTTGAGGATGAAGAGGAGCGTGGGGATGAATTTTGAGAGTTGGGAGAGGGGGAGCGTGTGCGATTGGTAGGTCCAGGGTCCGGTGGGGTTGGTTATGTGGACTAGATTTTGGGGGCGGGGTGTTACTTAAGAGGGCCTTTTGAGGGGGGAGGGGGTGGTTTGGGGTGGCTTGGAGTGAGGGGAGGGAAAGGGAAATGGGTGAGGGTAGAAAGAAGGGGGAAAGAAGCGAGAAAAGAGAAAGAAAGGACGTACATATAGTACCAGTCACAGGAGCAAGAAACGGGGTACTAGTAGGCGGGGGTGGAGGCGAAGTAAGAAGATATCCCCAATGAACTAGATGATGAAAATGAAAAATTAGTATTTATATTGATGTATATATCTGTGTTCTATGACTTTGAATAAAACAAAGTAAAATTTACGAGATTAATGAAATTGAAATTCAAGGAAAAAGATAGAAAAACATTACATAAAAAGTCACCAACTAGTAACCAATCAGCTGACAAAACATCAGATAAATGATCCAAAACCCACTGTCCCCCAAAAAACCAAAATCTACTCACAAAGCGATTCATGACCAATATCCGCAAGGAAAATATACAAAGTAGACGGTGCAAAAACGACATTAGGGGGAAGAGATCGAGGTTGAGATCGAGATCCAGAAACGAATGTTGAAGATGGAGATGAGGATCGAGATGGCATTGTAGTGGTGGTGGCGGTGGTGGTGGTGGTGGTGGTGCACGTGGTGTTTGGGATCTCGGTTGGAGGTTTGGGAGTTGAGTTTGGAGTTAAGTTGACGTTGGGAATTGGTGTTGATGTTGATGTTGATGTTGGTGGTTGTGGTTGTGGTTGTGGTGTCATGGTTTCATGGTTGGGGTTGGAGTTTGGGTTGGAGTTTGGGTTTGATGGGATGGGATGGGATGGGATGGCTGGCTGGATGGGACGGGATGGGATGGAGAAATATCCCGAGTTATGATGGTGATTTGTTTGGGGTATGGTGGTGGTGTGGTATGATGTAGCGTAATATGGTGAGTTTAGGAAACGAGAGAATGGAGCTTTTGATATAGATATCGATATTGCTGTGGAGTTGAAGTTTGATCTCGGAGTTGAAGAGGTCTGGTGGAAGTGGTGGGGGTTAGCTGGTGGAACAAGTATGAGAGGTAGGAAATTGATATCTGGTATTTCCATCACATCATCGAACACACTTGAAGTTGATATATGGGGTTGTAATGCACGGGCCACATGAAGAAATTAAAGTTATCAGGACACTGAGGCTCTCGGGAGCTCACCGGGAGTATAAAAACTCAAGATCCTTCTTGAAACTTTCTACATTCGAGTGTGAATATCTTATATGATGATAGAAGTATGCAAAAATACCATTAATATGAATCACGACATTTGATAAGTCTAGATTTGACTATAATAACAAATCTATCCTTACATTCCCCTATCCCTCAATCTCCTGTACTTCCCTGCATCCTTCACACTCGCCTTAATCTTCCCTAATGCAACCTCCCAATCAGCTCCACTAATCTTCAAATCATCTTCTATGGTTGCTTGTCCCTGTGCTACCATACTCATCTCCCTCTTCAACGCTGCTACTGCAGCAGCTTGATGCAAATTACCCAAATCCGCTCCACTGTAGCCATTGCATCTCTCATCTCTTCCTACTGGACCCAGTGCCTCGATTTCTTGTGCACTAGCGAATGGTAATGCTTTTCTGTATAGAGCCTTGAGAATCTCCACACGTTCGTCTGGAGATGGAAGGTCGACAAAGACTGAGGTACCAAGACGGCCTGGACGTAACATAGCGGGATCAATCATGTCAGGTCGATTAGTGGCACCTACAACGTAAATTCCAGCTCTGTTGCTTAGACCATCAAGTTCGGTAAGGAGTGTATTGACAACTTTGCTACTAGCTTCTGACAAAGAGTCCTCACGTTTGGGAACCAATGCATCTAGTTCATCGAAGAATAGAATACAAGGTACAGATGATCTGGCACGCTCAAAGACTTGTCTAACAGCCCTTTCTGATTCTCCCACATACTTGTTAAGAAGTTCAGGACCCTTGATAGAAATGAAATTGGCCTTTGATTCATTTGCGACGGCTTTTGCAAGAAGTGTTTTACCACATCCAGGTGGTCCCCATAATAAAACTCCTGTTGGCGCTGTAATACCAACTCGAGCAAAAGATTCTGGTCGTTTGATAGGTTCAACAATGGCCATTTCAAGTTGCTCTCGTACCTCATGTAAAGCACCAACATGAGCCCATGTAGTATCTGGAATCGTTGCAAAACCTTCTCGTTTAGCTGATGGCTGAACTTTAGGTATGGCTGCAAGGAAATCGGTATATTTAATAGAAAAATCTCCATCAGGAGCGGAACCACCTGCATTAGCGACTAGAGACCTTAAAACAAGAAGGGCTTCTGAAGTGCTATCCTTCAATACTGGAGTATCTAATTCCATGGATGTAGCACTTTGTACCGGAGTATCGAGCTCCATGGTAGAAACAGTTTGTTGTTTTAAAACTGCCATCATACGCTTCATGGCTTCTGTACCTGCAACAGACACAACATCATTCAGATCAGCTCCCACAAATCCAGGAGTCATCTTTGCTAAAGCATGAAAGTTAAAATCATCGGGTAAGGCAAGTTTTTGAGTAAGAGCGCGGAGAATCTTCTCCCGAGCAGCTTCGTTCGGGACCCCCAGATTAATCTCCTTATTAAAACGACCTGCTCTTCGAAGAGCCGGATCAAGACTATCAGGTCGATTTGTGGCAGCAATAATAATGACAGGTTTACCGCCCGTTTTTTCCAAAGCCATATCATCCATGGATGTGAGCATTTGAGCAACGATTCGTTTTTCCATCTCTCTCTGAGCACTCTCACGTTTCCCCATTATGACATCAATCTCATCGATGAAAACGAGACAAGGTGCCATGCGCTTTGCTTCGTCAAAGACATCCCTAATCTTCTTTTCTGATTCTCCCGACATACCAGCCACTAAAGATGGTGCAGAAATCGGTATGAATGACACACCTATTTCTGCAGCAAAAGCGTTTGCGATCATTGTTTTACCACAACCAGGTGGTCCATGGAGTAGAACACCTCGAGGCGGTTGAATTCCCGTCCTTATATATGTTTCCGGATATAACATTGGCATCGCCACAAGCTCATTCAATTCTTCAATTACATTATCCACTCCTCCAAGATTCTCCAGTGAAATATCCGTGGGTGGTGCTCTATCCGCATCTTTCCTGACTTCTCGTTCTGCCTTCCGACGTTTCGATTTTGGTTCACCGTTGGCTTGTCGATCTGATTTCAAAGGTGATTCGATTTCCCCATTGCCGTTGGCACTGGTTTGTATTGAAGTAATGGGTGTGGCGACCCCACTGACAGAAGGAGTACCGTTCATAGGACTTATTGTTGGTATCGATGCTGGTTTTGCCCAATTTTTGGTAATATTTCTATTCATTATGTTATGTTCCTAGAAGAAATATTGTTAGTATATGTACAATAACAGCCTGCATTTATATACCTTCAACGGTGGTGCCGCGTCCTCTAATCCTTCGAAATCCCCATCTACGGAATCACTTTCATCTTGTTCTTCCTTCAATACCAACAGCACTCTGTCGATTGAGTCTTCAAGTAGTTTTTTTGATCTTCTTTTTAGACTTGAATTCGAATTTTTAATGCTATCATAGACAATTGAAATCGTAAGACGCTTCGGTCCCTTCTGGCTCTGTGCCTGTTCATCTGCCAATTTCCTTACAATTTGATATATCTGCATACACTCTTAGTAAAGAAGTCTCGATTCGAGATTATCTTTGCGCCGATGACAATGCATACCTCCTTGTCCAATCCTTGGCTCAAAGTTGGCCTTCCACCTCTGGATATCATAACGAACCTTTCAAATATTCTTAAGTAAAGCGCGTACTCTTAATTATTCGAATTTTCCAAGTCGGTTGAATGTGTGAGATAAAAAAAAATTGTTATGCTCTTCCAAAAACGGTAAGTCCCGTGCGGAATAATTCTTATCGCTTATCAGCGCCGACCGCCATGACGCCGTTTACAAGCATCTAAACCTCAGATGGAGTATATCACGGAATGCATCTCTCTAGCTGCAATCAAGTATTTCAAACATATCAACAATGGGGAACAATCCCAGTACTCATAAGATATCTGCGCAGGATAAGTAAGGGGCTCTTCAGCTGTTCCTCATGTCTCCATCAACTAACTCATCAACTGCAGAGCTATTCTGGACATGAAGAACCAGCGGGACAAGCTCCACCAATATCAACGACGCATAACTGTACTCACCGATCGCGAAACCGCTATTGCCAAAGAGATGTTAGCGAAAGGCGACAAGAAACGAGCTCTCCTAGCCCTGCGACGAAAAAAATATCAAGAATCTCTGCTGGCAAAGACGGATGCGCAACTCGAGCAATTGGAGAAACTGACTAGTAGTGTCGAGTTCGCATTGGTACAAAAGGATGTTGTATTTGGTTTACAACAAGGCACGAACGTGCTGAACCAGATCCATAAGGAAATGGGAGGACTAGATCATGTGGAGAAATTGATGGGAGAGACGGCGGATGCTATTGCTTATCAACAGGCAAGTATTATACCTATCGTGGAATGATTTGTTACTCTACTGACTTTATATTTGTAGGAGGTGAGCGATATGTTGGGTGGGATGATGTCGAATCAGGACGAAGATGAGGTAGAGGATGAATTGGCTGCTCTGGAAGCGGAAGTTACAGGTGTTCCACTACCTGAAGTTCCTACGCCGGGTTTGCCATTGAAAGAATCCTTACCTGATGTGCCAAGGTCAGAACTTTCGAGTAAAGATCGGGCAAAAGCAAGACAACGTGAGCGCGATGAACAGCAAGTCGCAATGTTGGCTTAGGCGTTTTAATTTGTTAGGCATTTTAAGGAGTTATGCGAGCATTGCTGGTTGGATACCCGATTCATATTTTTACACTCTTTAAGCATCATCAATTGTAGATATGGATTAGTATTTTACTGAGAACCGTTGTGGAAGAAGCAATACATTTGTCTTTGTATATACATTATGATGCTAATTACAATAGATTTTCCTAAAATGAATCAGTATTGCCAACAAGTCCGTAAGCAGACCTTGTATCTGCCATTGGTGACGCCGTCCAATGCAAGTAGTTGAATCCTTGATGTAAATCCCATACTCCGCGCTTATGCATATCCATGTAACCGACAATGCAAAATAGTAACAACATATGGTCCTTCCATCTCCCAGATACCAAATTATCCACTGATGAATGGGTCGAGCGTTGCACCAGTTCTTCAAAGCAAAACTCACAGAGTTAAAAGAAAACAATTAATTGAGGTTTCAAAAGCGCGGCTACTTCCACCCGATACATCCCATCTCTCGTAAGATCACTTTAAAACAATAACCTGACGCCTGGGTTGTATAACTCGTGTGTATGTCGGAGCATTAGCATCACGCGGTACCGAAACTCGCATTGGATGGTGTGGCATATATTGCTCAGTAGTATACGGATCCCGTCTCTCGTAGTGCACTTGTAGACCAGATCTTTCGTCAGATATTCTAAAGTAAAGAAAGTCAGTGATTTCTACGTCATCCATTTATTCTTCAAGCCTACTCACTCTGGCCTATCTAAATATCGTACTGGAGATCTTGCTTGAACAGGGCGCATGACTGTAAATGACCTAGCTGCTTGACCTAGCTCGCCGCCTTGATGATGAACATTTGGAGGGAATCTCTGATAAGAAACGGGACCATCTTGTGGTCGAGGAATGGAAGGTTCAAGCCCAGATTGAGAGAAACGTTGAATGAAAGCTTGGTCTGCAGGACCATCCACATTTTGGAAATGAGAAAATCTTCTGGAACCATGTAGATCAGGTGACGCTGGTCTTTGAAAGTAATATCTCTGACCTGGTTCAACCTGTTCTCGTCGTACAAACCGATCACGCTCAACCACTCTCATGTTATCACTAGCCACTCGTTGAGGATTGTAAGTCTCATCAAAATTTGTCAAATAGGGACGCGGTGCAGCTATTTCTCGCCCTGAATGCAGTAAAGGCTGCTGGTAAGAGAGCCTCTCATCTTCTCGCCTGGATGGATTTGAATGCATTTCATGTGGTCTGGAATCAGGCACATCATAAATAGGCAGTCTTTCTGCAAACACAGGTCGTGAAGATGCTAATGGTACATTTGTTGACAAACCTTCAGTATGTCTGGGCAATGCAATGGGACGACGATCAGCTTCCCTGGAATGAAAAATTGGGGTGGTATGGCCATGCTGTTCCCGGGAAGGATAAGGCCTAAATCGTCCATGACCATCCTCAATCACACGACGGCGTTTAGAATAAGAATTATCATCATCACCATCATCAAGAACAATGACTTCTCGGAGCCTAGGTGAAATTCTATCCCTTTCAGCCACACGTCGTGGATATGACGTTTGGTGGTCATTTAATTCGCCAACAGCATTTCGATTCAAACGAGGTGAAATGTTCATACTATCATTTTGTGTTTCAATGGATAAAGCAAGCATGTCTTGAAATCCAGATCTTGTTGAGGAGGCCCCGGCTACTACTTGAGGCCTTGGCTCTCTGTTCACTTGTGGTGCAGTATTAAACTGTGGAGGATGGAAGACTAGGCGTTCATGCAAGGGTCTTACTGTTACCTCATCTCTGCGAATCAATGTCCTTGAAGATGGCCTTTCCTGTGTGTAATAATGACGAATCTATAAATGTTAGCTGTGAAACTTGTCTATCTCTTTCGTCAAAACTGGACGTACTTGTTGTTCAGGTGGGATGCTATGCCGAGGTTCTGCATCACGAAAGAGGTACTCTGGCCCCTGCTGTCGAGGTATTTCTTGGTAATGTGATGAGCCATTACGGTGAGTAGGTCTCAAACTTGCCTCATATCCTTGGGTACTTGGCCCATTAGATTCATGAGCCATATTTTGACGGCGACTCAAAGCCTCATCCCAAGCAGCTTGATATCGCTTGAAGCGAGGCTGGGGTTTCCTTGCTGCCTCATTTAGCCTTGTTCGAGACCTTGTGTGAAAAGAAATGGGGTCTGAGGGGCCAGCAACATTCCCATGTGAATTTTGGTCAGCTCCCAAAGGTTGCTGCCTTTGTGAATCATTTTGATTGACTAGGGCGGCGGGTTCCGGGAATGTCTCATCCTCTTCCTCGTCCTCGTCCGAATCATCGTCTTCATCGGAGTCGTCCTCGTCTTCATCGTCCGAATCGGTAATAATGACAACTTCCCGTAAGATCTCATCCATTTGGTCGCGGCCAGTTTCCTCGTCTCCTCGCCATTTCACAAGGACGTCTAAGCATACAGGTTCAACTACCTTTCGTGCATTTATCCAACTGGTTTCCCTGAGTAACTTATCATATCTTGTGTGTGTATGACGAATGTGGGCAAGAACAGCAAGTTGGACTCGACGTGCCAAAGGAAGATCTGCTTGAAGGCCGACCGTAGGCTCCCCGTGAAATTTCACACCCTTTTGAAAAGCATGCTCGATGATTCGTTGTCGGTCAGTGTTGGGGATTCTTGGGAAAAGATCTCGTATCGCATCGTCGGCTTGTCTGTTTATTTCTTCTTGTGATTCTGGTATTGGCTCAATCGAGCCATGAGTAGTGTTAGAGATAACCGTGTCGCCGACAATTTTACGTGCTTCATCCACGATGACTTCTCGAAAGTGATATCCGGTTCGAAAAACATGCTCTGAAATCTTCGAGTTGTCCTCTTTCGAGCGCTGCGGAAGGCATGAAGTCAGTAGGGGTAGCCTTGTATCTGGTACGGACAGACCTGTCAGTCAACCTTACCGAAACAATAAAGATCATAGCATTTTGTTCTCGCGATAGTTCTTTACAAGCATTCGTCAAAGTCGGATCCCCAATAGGCACGTAGGCAAACCCTGGTGGAGGATTGGGATCATTGGTGACCTAACCCATAAGTCAATATGGCAAAGACACGTCGCAAATCTAAATACCTGAAACTCCAGCTTCTTCTTCTTTTCCTTATTCTCCGCAAATTCGAAATACGACTGATACTTAGAACTATGCTTAGGAAGATCTAACTTTGCAATCAAATGATCTGGGGCAGGTTCTGCCCAATCTTGTGCAGTATATGATTTCTTCTCTTTCTTCCGACGTTCCAATTTTTTGGCACGACGCTCTTCCTTACCAGCTCGAGCCGATCGACTCTTCTGAGCCTTTTGGGTCTTTTGAGCTTCTTGAGCTTCCCTCTGCGCATTTTTATGAACAGCTCCCTTTGCCTGAAGGGCTTTTTTTCTTCTACCCACCATATCGAGTACTATCCTCGACTTACCATAAGGAATTGATGACCTATTGAAAGAAATTAGTGCACCAAAAAGCGCTTGCAAGGCACGATAACAATTCTCAAAGTAATACCAGCAGCTTATTGCGTGATAAGAAAAATAGAGAATCACAATACGTCCTAACAATCAATATAATCCAGTATTCCAGTGTTGGAAATAGGAAAGAGTTTTTTGTGTTGTGTCAATGAAATGATTTGAGATGGAAGAATGAACGTCTTGTGTTGCGAAAAGATGAGCCAGCAGCAAAATGGGACCCGAGGTGGTGTGTAGGTGTGTAAGTAGTTTTATTTAGCGTGTGCCAAGCGAAAAAATAATCTAAGTCTTTTACTGTGGTGTGGTTGTCTGTCATGTGAATACTATGTCTGATAAATGCCTCAATTCACCTCTGAACGATTTTTTATATTTGCTATATGTTTTATATTTCTTGATCAGTCACTTCATGGGTTACGATACTCTCTAGTGCTTGTATCTATCTGATTTACCCTCACTCTCATGATCACAATATTCGCCGACGTCTTCCAGATATGGAATGACGTTGTTTGCTCTATCTCGCGGGTTATAGGATGAGTACATGAGATTTTACTTATTACTCTCCCACCATTAATTAGGTACGATCGAATGTTTGAGTAGCGACTGTAGCTCATGCTAATCCGTGCCAATCATATATTGATGATGACCAGTGACAAGGAAGGACAGTGTTGCTCAGCCCAAATCTTACAACAAGTGTTGCATAAAGGTTTTATATACTCCGTAACAGGATATTTGATTCTGTTAAATGGTATTGCTATTTTTGCTAAAGAAAAGACAGCTCCAAGAGTTGTTGCACTCGGCTCCTATGGCGCTATTAATGGGGGTTTTTGTAGCACTGCTTTGAGTTTGTACTCAATTCACGCTCCTACGAGCAGCTTCTTCTGAGCAAAACTTGGGCTTGCAATGTAATCGTTGCTTGCTTTCCCATCACCAAAAGTTCGAGCCAAGCTACAGTTTTCTATCTGGCTTCTTCGTCTCGGCACTAAACACCCACATAATGCCTTCCGAAGGCAACTCCATAGGCACCACAATGGTCTTCTCTGGTGGTTTATTGTCACCCGCAAGACACCATACAAGACGGTCAAAACTCCGAAGTTCCACAGGCTCTCCATTGAAAGCTTCACCGGCAACCTCAGAGCATTGTACTAGCTCATGCGTCTCTTCATTTATCATAGCCTCAATACAGCACATACATGCATTGACTATATTTTCCGCATAGACGGAATCGAATTTACCGGTACCGTTTCCGAGCTGGACGCGGAACGATCCTTGTTCTAAAGCATTTGATAGCGACCTGTACGTCTCTCTCGCCGAGAATCCCACGCTGTCTCAGCACTGCGGCACGTAATTGTGGGGGCAATTTGAGGCGAGCATCATGGCATCAGCAGTGGCTTCAGCCATAATATAAGAGTCATGATGAGAAGACCCGAGGTTTCAATAGCGTCGCGTCAGACTTTGTGATGAATGAGAATGGCACACCAGTAACAGTGGGTGCTTGAGATGTAGATTCAGTGCTTTACTGAGGGACACTTAGCCGCGCATGTGAGTGAGTTCTCCGTGCAACCAATAGTCGTCGCATTTGAAGTCTTGAGACCTGCTAAAGGTGGGCTAGATGCTGCTTTGATGATGATAGTTGTTTGGATGCGGCTCAATAGTGCCTCTAGGTCTGTCATGGAGCAGATATCGCAGGCGTGGTAGCTGACTCCCTTCTGCAAATTGCATGGTGAGCGACTAAGTAATGGCGCAACATATCTCGACGAGTGTGCTTGCAAAGCATCAATGATGTGGGATCCCAGAAACCCATACCCACCAATAACCAATACGTGATATAGTACAATGGCATTCTTACTTGCATTTTCAGTATATTATTTGCTTTCTATCAGGTTTCCTTCAGATCTCATAAGGTTGTGATTATTATCAGCTTAACAAAGTAGAATGAGAATAAGGCCTTGATTAAAAATATAGGTAATGATCAATCCATATGAATGCACAAGCCATTCTTGGGTTCATCACAAGCAATGAATCTGTTTGGAGGCAGCTGTAGACACGTATGTGTTGGAGTTCAACATTACCAATAACGACTGCACAAGCCCATTTTATCAAATGTTAACAATAACAACCTGTGCAATCACGGTAAGATCGTGGCGATTGGTCGAGCTGTAAGATGGAAAGACAGGACAGATGACCAGTATCTAGAAATTTACAAGTCATACTTTTTAATAATCGAATAGCTCGCACCGAGCGCCGTGAAGGTACATCCCATCCCGTGTGTACGCCCGAAATCGACATATATCGCATGCTCAACCAGAAACACATCATTTATCAGTAATATGTTTTCTGCTCTCCCCGAACTTCCGCAAAATCGAAGAAGTAGGAAAAGCGCTCCAGATCCGAGGTTATCTTCTGAGTATCCAGCCATTCAATTCTACAAAAAACACATTACCTGGTACCAGACCTTCTAGAACTCAGTCTGCTACTGCCCACAGTTCCCTCCAGAGGGCCCGCAGCATGTGGACCTATTAAAACAACATGTTTTGTTAGCTAAACTACAAAAACAGTCAAAGAACTTCAAACATGAACAGACGAAGACTATTTTAAAATTATCCAAAAACCTAAGCTCTCCCATCAACACCAACAGTCACAGCAAGCACACATCATAGAGATTCCAATACGTATTTTAACTCTTGAGACTTTTAGGTTAGTCGCGCCATCACCCTAATCTTACAATATTCTATGTGTACAAAGTCCACACACCCATCAACCACCACCACCATATTCATCCCATCTAACAAGAAACTCACCCCCCCCCCAAAATAATAATAATAACAATGCGAAATTTATGAAAACGCGACTTTGCGCTGAGCGTCTATCTATCTGAACAATACGTATACATTAGCATGTACGCGAACAAGCGCTGCACTCAATGTCTGTCTCTGCAACTGAACTAGACGATGCGCTGCGCATACTTCGGGACGAGAGTAATGCACCAGGTAGTGAGATCAGAGGTACAGCGCAGGTAGCAGGCAAATGATGGAGAGAGAAAGAGGGTAAAGGAGATGCAAAGAATGCGATATTCAATATAGCTTATCAGAAATTCGATAAATCTTGGACAAAAAAAGGGCAATTCTACCCGAAACCGCGGTGTGAATGCAAGAATCTTTCATCCACCTAAATTTCAAAATGAATTTTATATTCATTGAGAAGGATCTACCTATGACTAGATGAATGCATAAGCCTCATTCGATCTCCCACAATTGCCATCCATTTATGTAGCAAACTTTATCCATCTCAAATACCTTCATATCAGACTCAAATTCGTATGATCCTCCCAAGTCCATGTAGATTAAAACATAGCCTATATGCTCCTATAAAACTCCATTTCCCTAATGTTCGTGCATTGCCAAATTTCATACAAAAATGAATATTTACAAAAAACCTTACCTCCAACATCCAGATCATATATCACTCCGGAAGGGCATTTATATTCTTCTTGATGACTATATGTTGTTAATTTTGAACGCATCGAGTAAATAAGTTCCACTTACATTCGAACGCCGAAAAGAATATTGAGTTTACAACGCATGATCGACCCATGGACACACCCAAACCTCGGTACATTTTCTTATCGAAAAATTTGATCTTTGGTGCCTTTTGAACCGTCTCGCCCTTACAGCAAGTCAAACAATTCCGTTGATAAATGCTTTTCGCGGAGTCGATTGGGTACTATCCAGAGTCAGTTGCTTAGCCCGAAGATCACAATGTTATATCTCTCTACGCACAATCAATGCCCAGCTTGCTATGCCACAGAAACCACCAGCAATAACGACAGCGAATGGACTTGTTTTCCCTTGTTGCCCTGTGTATGTAGTCAAAAGTTGCTTGCAACTTTCGTAAGTCATGAAGTAAATAGCGGTTCCTAGTGTATCCCGTACTATTCAGGTGAGATTAGTATATGACAATAATGTTGAGTTGACAAATCTACTCACGTAGATGAAGATTAAATCCAGAATAGAGTCCCGATACCCCACGATTCTTGACAATGTTCATGGCAGTTTTAAATGTCCCCTTGTTCTTGTAGCTTGCTGCAGTCGCGTTTTGCATAGGTGAATCTCTCACAGGGTCGGAAATACTCGATTGTCGTTTGGCAGCCATCAAAACCGATACTTGAGCACTAAGTTTTGTCAATTCGAAGGGACCTGAAAAATGTCAGAAGTCTGAAGAGAAGACAAGAACTGAGCTGGTCCACCCACAAGCTACAAGCGTTATGAACGATCCAGCTGTGGCGCCAGCAGCTCCAAAACATGCAACAGTAGAAAGGTTAGGATAAGTTCCAAATGTGTTGATATGTACCAATGGATCAAAGTCGAAATTTCTTTTGAACCAAGCTGCGTATGTGTACTTCGACCGCTGATAGACCGAGAAAGATATAGTTCGAACCAAAGTTACTGAAGCTAAAGGTGCTGCAACTCCACGAAAGAACCCTCGTAATTTCTCCGTCTGATATGTGTGTCTTACGCAATCCGTAAAGTTATTGTATTTGTAGGTCTGCATTCGCGTCTTCACCGAGTCCAAAGGAAACTACAATTTAAGTGAGAAATTGCAAACTTGAGGATAAACACGCAAGAACTTACTGCGCAGAAAGTAGAACAGACGCTGCTGACAGACGCAGCAACTTCTGTTCGATACTGTTTCAACCATCTCTTCTGTGCTTTCGATCTCTCTTGAGGATAAAGTAGTAAGTGTTGTTGGTTGATCACATCATGTTGACCAGGCTTAACAGGCATAATGGCAAGATATTGTTTGTAGCGGGCGCAGGAAGACAGTGGTCAAGTCGACCAGAGTCCTCAACGCGATCGCGATAAGGGCAGACGCCAATGATCGTCCATGAGTCTTCTGTCGATTAAAAAATCGAGCGGAAGAATTCACCTGCGTAGTTGCAGCCGAAAAAAAGATGGATGGTCTGGGGAAGGTGAGTTATGAGAAGGCGGGGTTGTGAGATATATACGGAGTATTGAAGTAATATATGGAGAATCGAGATACGGATATCACGAAAGGAGGGTTCGGAGCCAACCAAAGGGGTTACAATTATTCATTCAAGTGGGCGGGCTTGGAAGTTGGCTTTTAGTTTGGCGCAAATCACTGCTTGATTAGTGAAGTCTATAAATCTCATGTTTTTGGAGAGAAGGTTCGCTAAAAGTGGATCCACTTTGCAGTTACAGTACATACTGTATGTATAATTACAAGTTATGGTCCGGAGTACGAAGTACAAGCTACCTACCTGCCTGTCTATAGTAATAATGGCTCACAGCAAAACTACATCGATTCTGCACCTGCTACTAGGTGTTTACTACGCACCACTCTGCTGCCATAAATATGATTAAGTGCTAGATCAAGAAAGGAAATTTATCACGATGGTGAAGGTTGTTTTAGTTTCTAAACAAAAGAAATATTAAATCCCCGCTTGACGTATCATTATTAATTGAAAGGAAGAATGCACCAGTGCTGAGATGGGCAGCTATGGATTGAATTGGATAAGCCCCGCATTAGTATCGTTTTCGATAAAGGGGGAGGGGGACCCGAGAACATCACCACCAGGGCGTTCGCAGGCGTGGGGATCATACACCAGCCACTTTATACAGTAGGGTTCGGAGACTACCTTTTGAGCACTTATTATTAGAGTATGGTATCTTTCTATGGTCGTTATCAAACACGGCATTTCGGTAGCTATCGGTTAAAGTAGGCCGGCATCGGGTGGAACTACTGAGGTGCTACTCTCTTAGACAATCAGGCTATTGATGGTAGTCATCTGAAATGATCTCATCAGTATCATTCGTCATGGACTCTAGCTATAAGATAAGTGTGAGAGGCTGTGTACCATTCCAAATATCAGCTACCCCTCAGATCTAGCTTGCCGCTCCATCCACAGGTACCATCTCCCAACCATCCGTAGGACTAAACAGGTGGTACGGCAATCATCCCCATACGACTACCTAGGTAGGCCATGCATACCTCTGATCCTCCATGTCATTTATAACTCAAGTTGCCGGAATTTGAGATATATAATAAACATTCATCGGATGACCTTCCACTTTAACAGCATCGAGAATATACGTGTTTCGACAGAAAGAATGGTCTTCTGCAAACAATCAACTACTATTCTGAGATGATGTTAGGCGTGAAGCCAGACAGTCGATAACATGACTTATTCCCTCTGTTTGGAACGCCTCAACGTAGACACAGACCCATACTTTCGTTGAGCATTTCAATAGTTTTGTCATAATGTGTCATGGTGTTCTGCCTCAAATGCTTCTGCATAGGAGTCTTTTCCCTGAGTTGCCTGCTAGAGATTTAGCAGTGCAATATCGATACTAATACGGGTTAAAGGTGGCTTTACGTTTTCCATTGAACCCCCCGCTCATACTGTACCCTAAGCAGATTTTTGACTAACTTGTGCTCCAGACCAGTTTCTTTGGCTGCAAGTTTTAGAAATTTGATGGTATTGTCAATTCGTATTTGATCAAAGGTTTCCGGATTTCCTTTGCGAAACTCGTCTCTCAACATGTTTCTTCCCATGTAGCGTGCTGGTTTTGCATATTGTACAGCATGCAATAGAGCTCGGTAGAGACCTCGGTATGCGTATACATATTGCTTTGGTGTAGGTAGCATTTTCGTTTTATAGTGACGGTGTAATTTAGAACACTCGTAGAAATAAATAATTAACACAAAGTTGAAACCCACTCGGTTGGCACGCATGTGAAAATCTCACGTCTCGGATGCTTCCGAGGTAGCGCGTCATTCGGACTTGCCTCTGAAGTCAGACTAGACAGTTTGATAATATCAATCATGATACTACCCAAATTTGGACATACGACTTCTTGAAATCGATATTGATATGAACAGAATTATATAATACATTTTCACATGAAGCAAATGTCACTAAATGACCTCTCTTGTCTCCGAGTTTTTGATTAATCCAGTTCTGAGACAGGCCAGACGGTTTTCACGATCCGACGCTGTCCATACACACGACTCGAATAATTCGTTAACTCCGCAATCCGTCCTAGAAAGTAGTAATGAGGTCGATGAAGTCGTTGTAGAAGATGTGACGGAAGAGGGAAGAGATATGGGTCTGCCAGATGTAAGGGAACATGCAGGCGTCGATGGCAGAATTGGGAGTCCGTCGAGTCAATCTCCAACTCACGAAGGGAATTCGCTAGCGGATGTTTATAGTCTTCGACATGAGGTTGATCGAAATGAAACTGATCCGTTGATAACCTCTCATATACAGTCGAATATGAGTCGAATTGATAGCGGTGTGACTGGTAATCCTCCTGTCAGCATAGCATCGCAGACTCAGGACAACGTTAGAGATGGAACGTCTAGCAGTGCGGCTCTTAATTTACATATGAGTTCCGCCGAAGGTCTGTCCCAACACTTAAGTCAAGATACGACTTCGGCTTCAATAGGTCTTGACACTGGGAGTTGTGCTCTTCCTGCGGACGATGGCATGGGCCCTCTTCGACAACGCATCAAATATATACAGGCTATGGATATACCTACAGAACAAAAGGCATTGTTGATGCATCAACTCTTGACCCAAAGTTACAATGAAGCTCACGAAATATTCAATGCGAAGAATTGTGTACCAAGTACGACGGCAGAAAAGATGATTAGTCAGGAGAGGCCTGCGACTCCAGGTTCATTAAGCTCTTTCATTTGGCAGATGAATGGTGCTCTAGATCCAGCACCTGTAACTGAAAGTCATACTTTCCACCTCTCGCCAGATGACTTGGAGAGGACTTATGCTCCCCTCGATCCTGTCGAGGTTGATGATGGGAGCGAAGAAACTGAAAATACCGAAGATTCTATCCCCATGCTTGGTTGTAAACATTATAAGAGGAATGTTAAATTACAGTGCTCTACCTGTGATCGATGGTATACATGCCGGCTGTGTCATGACGAAGTTGAGGATCATATCTTAATTCGCCACGAAACCAAAAACATGCTGTGCATGGTCTGTGGTTGTGCTCAGCGAGCTGGCGAATTTTGTGTCGAGTGTGGAGAGAGGGCTGCTTGGTACTATTGTGGAGTGTGTAAGCTGTGGGACAACGATCCTAATAAAAGCATTTATCATTGCAATGATTGTGGGATATGCAGAAAGGGCCGTGGTCTGGGCAAAGACTTCTTTCATTGCAAGGTAAAGTCCATTTAGGCTAATCAGCCAACGTCCATTATGCTTACAATATTAACAGACTTGCGGCGTGTGTATGTCTATGTCTCTTATGGACGACCACAAATGCATCGAGAGAGTATCTGACTGCGATTGTCCGATTTGTGGAGACTACATGTTTACCTCACCAAAACCCGTTGTCTTCATGATTTGTGGTCACAGCATTCACTCAGCTTGTTATATCGAGCATATGCAAACCTCGTATAAGTGCCCGATATGTAGCAGGAGTGTGGTTGGTATGGAGACACAATTCCGAAATCTCGATCGAGCCATCGATAATCAACCAATGCCGCCCCAATTCCGAAACACTTTGGCGATGGTTTCGTGTAATGACTGTTATGCCAAAAGTGCTGTCAAATACCACTGGTTGGGACTGAAATGTGCGATTTGTGATTCGTACAATACAGCTCAATTGTCAATATTAAGTGATCCAGAAGTCGGAGCTTCGGAAACAGGAGTAGGAGATGCACAGACCGATGCACAAACTGGTCAGGAACCACGAGAAATGCTTGCGTCTACACATTTGATACCTGGTGTTCCTAGGAATCGTAGACATTCTTCCCACATACCTTCCTCCTCATCACAAGGAGAATCCGGTGGATTCCCTCCTTATACTGTTCCCTCTCGGCTAGGTAGATCAGTGTCGCCTGCTCGAGGGGTAGGATTATTTAGTAGTCAATCCGCGGCTGGCGGCGAGAGTGACGATTCTGGTGATGAGGATGACCTAGATTTCTGGGGGAGAGACGAGCCACGAAGCTCAAGAAGATTACGAGCGACGCTTGACGCAGGCGTGGATGCACAAGATGATAACGACATTGAATATGAAGATGATTCCAGTGACTCGGAATCTGGGAATGATGACGACGATGATGACGGTGAGGAGGAACCATTTGCCATTTTTGGACATCGTTGATACTTGCATGAATTGGTAATGGGAAAAATTGCATTTTTAAGGCGTCGATTATAGCGCTGCAGCATTATGAGGCCACTGGAGGGTACAGAGGCGCACTGGATATTGTTTGGGCATGGGTAGGTAGGGAAGAAGGTTTATACATGTATCACTCTTGTAGTTATCTGGAAGTAGTGAAAATACCATTCTTTTGATTGTTCATTCTTGGTTTTGATATTCTAGTGACTCTCGTTCCCAAGCTTGGAGGGTTGCGTCCGATGCTCGTCGAGTTTTGCTCTCTGGACTAATCTACAGGATAATAATGTAATGCCATACATAGACCCCTTGCAACAACTCTTAGACCGAAGTCAAACACCAATAGAAGTATTATCCATTTCATCCCCAGTAACGCCTCGGTATATCCTCCCAACGCCGTATATCAAAACCACACATTAAATGACCCTTCAGTAACTGGTATCTTATTATGCACTCTTCATTGCTAAAAGCCCATCCCCGTCCCCATCCCCATCCCCATTATCAGGCCATTTATTCGCCATCCTGGACAACCCCCTGAGCAATCTGTCTTCTTACTTCATCTGCGTCTTTTCTCAGTTCCCTGACGACTGTCTATTTGGCGAGGTATTCGTTAGCTTTTATCTTTTTTGTATCTTGTTTTTTTTTTTCATCTTAGTCCAGCTTCTCTATCTTCCCAACTCCACCTTCTTCCGTCTCTCCCTCTCTTTTCCCACACCCTTCCCACAGTATCCAAAATCCTAAACACGAAACCCTTTGCAAAAGGAATAAATACTCACAGCGAGCGCTTCCGGATTAACCCCATTCTCAATAAGACTTATACAAATACTCAAGGTTCCACGATCGAGTTCTGCATTCTATGTTGCGCGTTAGCATTCCTTTCTCTATCCTCTCCTCATATATTCTCCTCCCTTGTTCCCCCCTTTTCTCATTTCCTCACTTCCTCCCCCTCCCTTTCTCCCTCTATTTCTCACCCTATCCCTCCCTCCATCTCCCCACACCCTCAAAAGGGAGAAAACCCAAAAAAACCAAAAGACTAAACAAAATAAAATAAAACCTACAAGTAACGTAGAAATCTCATGAAAAACATCAATAACCTGACGAGCTTGCGCTGCACTAGTAGCTTTATCGGGCTTTTGAGACGTGTCTGCCATTTTGATGTGTGAAGTTGTGTTTGTTAATAATAAAATAGTGGGAGGTGAGGTTGCGCGCGTTTATTTTGGTGGATGTTGATTGCGGGGGGGTTTTGAGATAAGGAAAATGGATCTTTTTGGGGGATGGGATTGGGATTGGATTTGATTGAGTTGGACGGGGGTTTATGTGTTTACGTAGGTATATACGGAGGAGGAAACTTTGAAATGTTTTCTCTTTTGAAAGTCATATTGTCGTAAGTTGTTGGGATGATTTTGGTCATTTCGTAAACAATCAATTTTATTGCATAATAAAAAGTAAATAAACAGCATTCATGGCCAAAATTCATCATCATTAGCATATTCTCAATAATTCATGATATCTTTTCCCAACTTTACACCTCGTAGCCTCAATTCTTAATAGCTTCGACAAAGAGTTCTCTCATACCCTTTAACAACACCCGCAAATCTCGGGTTTCATTCAACTTATCCACCACTCTTTCAATATGCTCCTTCTCCAATTTCGGCTTGCAATATGGAATGTCATAATCCCGCTTCGATGTATCAAGCTCGAACCAAGCCTCTCTATCATAGTCATTATCATCAATATTCATGAAAATAAACTTCAGTCGGTCGTTTTGTCCTGCTCCCTCTATCATGAGACCCAAATTCGAAATCCAGAAGTCGAGTTCAGGTACATTGAATCGAGCTTGTTTGTCGATATACTGAGCGTGAGATTTCTGCGCGGCAACTCGTGCGTTTATAGCTTTTTGTGTCTCGGCGATTTGACTCTTTAAGGCTTCTCTCGTTGCAAGTTGTGCGTCTCTTTGGGCAGTCAATGATGCGATTGCTACTTGCATTTCGGCGGTTTCTGCGGCTTCCTTTGCGAGGGTCTGTTGATGGGTACTGGCTTTGGATGACAGGACTTCGATATCTCTTTTTTTCATACGTTGATCCTCTACTATGTATTAGTTGAATGCGCATCACTTTAGATGAATTGAACACAAACCATGTAATTCAGTTACATTCATTCGGAATTGGTTTCTCTCCTCTAAAACGCGCTTCCTTCCTTGCTCTATAAATGCATCAAATTTGACCGTAAATTTTGCCATTCTATCGCGCAATTCATCGAAACCAAAGTTTATACTTGGAAGAGTGTCTGCCATTGACGGGGCATCCGCCGAAGACAAAGGTGGACGCATCATGCTGCTGGACATGCTCGTAGAGAGCGAAGGCTCAAACATTGTACTCATTGTGATGTTGTCGCGGATATTCTAGGGAATTGTGGTATATGCTGTATTGAAGTCGGAATGAAAAATTGACTGCTGGTGGGTTGAGTGTTTATGCACTTATATGACTTGTGGCTTGACAAGAAATGTAAGATCTTGATTTGCACCAACAATGTTCCATTCCCGATAAGCGGGTTGTCAAGGAAACCAATATTTTAAAGGTCCCGCACGAGTTCTAGTGGAGCCCTTAGAGTCGCGGTCTCAAAAAAAAAAGAACAATTTATTTTACCTGATCAACTTTTCGTTTTGCTTTTTCACCTTTATGACAGAAACTCTCACTCATCTCACACTTCACTTTGACTTTGATTCTGATTCTACGATATATACTTCTCAATAAACCAGCGAGAGCTCCGAAATGATTGGAAGGGATTATTGTGCAAACAGAACCCCTCCAAAACCCAATGACTGACCACAGGGCGACTGACCTGGTACATGGTCATTTTGGTGAATTTTCTTACGACATCAATGAAGAGCAGTGGCTGTTTTCACAAGATGTGAATAGAGGTAGGACTGATTTTTGTCTGTACTTTTGAATTCATCCTTACCGTTTTCCCAGTTCATCGATTTCAACAACTTCTTCCGTTCGCGCAATGCATTCCTCCCTCGATTCGAGATATACCTGGAAATGGTAAATTGATAGCGCGAACCCAACAAAGATGGCTCACGAAGAAGCGACCCGAAACGTTCCCGGGAGGGAGCCTTACCGCAAACTTTTCCAAAGATACCCGCGATGCGACATTGAACCGTTTCAAGACTAGTACACTGATGGCAATCGGAGGCGCTGCGGATTACAATCATACCTCTGGTACCAAAATTGCACTCATAGTAGCGATTCCATGTGGTGAAGCTGGCCATGTCCTGAAATTAGTCAAACCTCGCCCCGAAAGGCTTGGATGGGACTCTCAGAATGGAGTTCGATTGTCAATGGGTTCTACCAATGTGGATGAAGGACATTGGTTCGGAACCGGTGGGACTATTTTGCAGATTGCGTCTGTCGATGATGGAAACGAGCTTAGTACCTGGTTTGCCGTTAGACAGGCGGCCATGATTACAATTTTCAGACCCATATTTCGAAAAGCCCCCAAACCTTTCATACCTCCCGCTGGACACATTGCGACCTATCCTCCATCCTGTCTAGACGCCAATCCTGTCGCAACTTTAACACGCCAAGAATCTGGATTAAAGGAACATGTGGATGTCAGTTTTAACCCCTGGTACGGTCGACAATTTGCGGTCGTGGACCGCGCAGGTCAGTGGAGTAGTTGGGATATTGAAGGTCGACAGAAGAGACGCTCCGCTTACAATATTGTACCGGGGAAGATGGGCCAGATATATGACGACTTTGGCGAAAATTCTGCTATTCCAGGGTACAAGTTACCTGGAGATGTTGGCGAGTGGCACCGGATCCTCTGGGCAGGTAGCGTAAGCACTATGATAGTCGCGAATAGGAGACATCTTGCTATTTTTGAAACAAAATCTAAGCCAATACGGCTACCTTCTCACTCATTTAACACTTCACTACTAAAAGATTGGATATTGGATATTAAGCGCAGCACTGTTGATCTTTCACATTTGTTTGTTTTAACTACGACTCGAATTTTTTGGCTAAAGGTCACACCGACTGGCGAGGATGGTCCGAACGTGGAGTCTGGAGTCAAGGTCATTCTTTCGCATCGCCATTACAGGACTGCAACCGACGATTCGATGAAGTTGACAATGTCTAAGGACGAGAATGGAACAGACTTGACAGTATTTATCTCATCCAGTGAAAATTCGAGATTGAATACATATACCTTTTTTATGGATGGGAAAATCGCGAGAACTTTCCAGGGAACATTCAGGCTTTCCCCTGTGATAAGCGAGGAAAAAGAACTTAGAGCAGAAAGTCTTTCTATATGTTCTGCGCCTTATCTGATGCCAAAAGACTCGGCTGGCGGTACGGGACTAGAATATATGGAAGCTGGAGTGAAATTTTACCAAGCATGGATGCTCACGACAAACCTCGAGCTAGTCTCTTGTCTATGGGCATCTGAAATTCTCAGCTCACAACAGAAGTGGACTTCACAGCTCAGTCTAGTTGCACCAACAAACAGAGTTATGGATAACTCTATTCGCCTGACAGCCAGACGACTTACAGATGATTTTATCGTCTCTGACGAGAATGATGAAGATGCTTTTGTGGACCAGATGAGCTCTTTAACAACCAAAAATGACAGGTCTTCAATAGGCATCAACAAAGCCTCTAAGGATCTGCTTCTAAGGATCAATATGAAGCCCGTGTTCGACCGAATATTCAATAAGACGACGTCGAATGATTCGGAAACTGATATGGAGATGGCATTTCGTGATATATCAATTCAGATGCAAAACGACAAGCAAATGGATAGAATGTCGTTGAAAACTTGTCTAGAGCTATCGAATAATGCATCACCTTCAGGTGATCTCGATGAGGCAGCCAAGACTGTAACTGAATTTCTGGATTTCATGAACACATTCGATGAGGATGAAAAGGATGCATCATCAAAATTCTACCTTTCGAAATTGATATCTTGTCCAGGCATGTTTTTTGACGATCTTTCATCCAACGCTATCTATCCTGATTTACTGCAAATATATGATCAACTTATCAATGTTTGGGTGACAAACCTTCCTCGAAAGACTCCTGGGCCAGTTCGGTTGGCAAAAGCGAGACTTATCCGAAAAATTGCTATGGAATTATGGTTGAGTTCGGTTGGTATTTCGCTACGTAACAAGCTCCTAGAGCCAAGACCTCCACCAATAGTTGAAGATGAAACATCATTGCCAATACTTAAGGACATTGATGAAGTCTCGAGGGCAAGTTCACCTCCATTCTTCAGTTCACAGATTCATTCCAGAGCAATGGAGAATCCTCAGTTTAGCCTACCCACTCCCGCTCCTTCAGTCATAACGGCCGCTACAGTCATTGAGGATCCTACCATTGCCCGACTTCGCCAATACGCGGTTAGGCTCGAGCCAAAAACTGAATTCGGTCCAGCAAAAACTTCATTGACTTCCCAATGGCCATCTGTTCCGGGTGCAGATCCGGCCAAATATTCTTGGGAGGCCGTTCAAAGAGCTGCAGCTGCAGAAGAGAGTGGTGACGATGATTACCGTAGCCGACGAGAAAATGCTCGGCGCAAACGACGAGCAGAAAGGTTCTTGAGCCGAGACCGTGCCAATGCAGCTGCTTCTTCATCTCAAGCTCTTGCTCAACCTTATGGCAGTCAACCAGCGATGCACAACACTTATAGTTCGCAACTTGTTAATGAACTACCAATGACACAACCAAGCAATGGAGCTTTTGGTAGCAGAATTGCTGCTCCTGCTACTCCTGGAAAGAAAAAAGCGAAAAGACGCAGGGCTGCAGGATTTTAGAGATAGAAAGATTGGCTGCATGTTTTGGTATCTAAGTCACCTTTTTTATTAGGCTTGTGTTTGGCGTAAGCATTGTTCGATCTGTAATGCGATGTTTGGTAGCCGTTTTAGAGACCCATTATGTATTGAGTCTATGATGATGTAAAGTAGCTTATGTCAGGGTTACCCGTACTCCGTATATCAAACGCGATTGTCCAGGCCTGGTTTAATATCATGAGAGCAACGTAATCAATTCATGGTGGCTCTATGTTGCCATCCATCGATGGAACTTTTCCAAGCAACATTAGCAAATTGAAACAAAAATAAAAATATAATGATTGGTGAATCTTTCCCTCTGTCATTTGTTCATCGGTGACCAAAAAGAGCAAATAACCTTTTCCAACTCGAAATAAATTCTTCCCAATTCTCCAAATTTTCAGCATAACACTGAAAGCCGCGGAAATCATGTCGAGTCACTGTCATGATGAGCATGACCATGGTCATGGAGGCCATTCTCACGAAGGGCACGATCATTCCGACGATATCACCCCCGCGCTTCAATACTCACTCTATCAACACATCAATTTTGACGACATAACCACACTCAACGAAGCCTCCTCCGGATCCGGAAAAGCCATCGTAAAGAAAACATGGGATGAGCGAATGAACGAACAACCAGAACTCGAAAGCGATGCTGACGAGCAACTTCTGATGCACATTCCGTTTGTTTACCCCGCCTTTTTACCCCTCCAAACCAGCTCTTACAGCAACCCATAGCTAACATATCCATACCAACCCAATAGCTTCACAGGCCAAGTAAAACTCCACTCTATTCTCCTCCGCACATCGAATTCAGATTCCGCACCCAGGACTCTCAAAGTCTTCATCAACCGCGATGATCTTGATTTCAGCACCGCGTCGGATCTGCAACCCACGCAGGAATTCCAGTTGAGTCAGACGTCGGAGATACAGGATATAGGGGTTAAGAGGGCGTTGTTTGGGAAAGTACAGAATTTGACGCTGTTTGTGGAGGATAATTATGGAGAGGATGTGAGTCGCATTTGTTATCTGGGCTTGAAGGGAGATTGGATGCAGTTGGGTAAGGCGCCTACGAATATTTTGTATGAGGCGGCTGCAAATCCGAGTGATCATAAGGTTAAGGGTACAAGTGCGAATCAGATGGGTAGTAATATTGGACAGTGAAGTGGGCAGGGTGATGCCAGGCTGTATGGGAGTGTGTATCTCTGTATCAGGTTTGGTGTGCGGTGGAGGTGGGAAAGTAGAAGAGAAGCTTGGTTCAAGACAACAGAATTGGGAATTTCTATGGACACAGGTTTCAAAGGCCCAAAAGAAGGTATCTAAAGTATGGGAAATGGAAAGTCCGTTTTCTGTCAAAATTTATGTCACTAGGAGGTTGGAAATACCTCCTCCATCAGACGGCCTTAAATCCTTAATGATATCCATTACAACAAACTACATGAAATCATCCAAGAAATCCTCTCCTCTATCTTGATTATTTGCCTCTTCATCATCATCCTGAACAAATAAATCATCATATGCATGATCCTTCTGCCACTTCTTTTCCTTATACTCCTGAGCCTGTCTCGCCTCTTGTTTCCTCTGATTCCAAATTAGTAAAGTCTAAATCTCTGAAGACACAAATTACATACCCGTTCCAACAGAGCAGCTTGATCCTTCTTTCTCGCAGCTTTCAACTTCTCTTCCTTCTCCATTGCCAAATCTGGGAACTTTTCAACCTTGGTCTTGTTCAAACGGTTGACGATTGGATTTTCCCTCGCAGTAACCATAATCCTCTTAACCTGACATCAAAACATCTCAATATCACATAAAATAATACATTAAATCAAGGAATCGGATGAACTACTCACCGTTTTCTGATTCTTAAAACTAACTTGTCCAACCGCCATGCTCCCATCCTTCTTCAAATTCGACCATGGCGTATAGATAATCGTAATATTATCCTTCTTATTACCTATCTCAAAATCATCAATCCACATATCCTCACTACACATTCCACCGCTCTTCCCCAAATCTTCATCCTCACCTACCTTCTATAGAATTGGCTTTGGTAAGTTGCGCACAATCCATCAATAATTCCTCCGGAATAGTTTCCCATGATTCTCCCTCATTCAGTCGAAGATAGATATGCGCACTAGACAACTTGTCTACGTGAAACCATACATCTTCTTCTAATCCATGCTTGATGAGATCTTCATCTGTGGGGTACCGGTACGTTAACATGTTGATTCTTTGGATTTGGGCCAACTGTATTATTTCTTACTTTCAAATTTGTCTTTTCCAGCATAGATATATGCTGCTGGGGAAACAGTATTAGAGGTGTAATAATACACCATTTTGTTATATCGTAAATCTTTCCATAAAGTTGTGACTCGTCTACAATGTGAACTTAAAGTCTAGTTGTGTCGTTTGATATTGACCGCACTGCAAGCATATCCCGGCCACCGTATAAAGATTTTCTCCCCTCTCCCGATCCATCACCAAATCTCCAATTAAGCTTCCACCCCAACCCAAACAGCATGGCACCCAAACTCCCCACCAGCTGGGCGCAAATCCCACCCTCGTTTCTCCTCCCCGAATCTCTCCTCCCCCTCATAACCAAGCGCGGTGTAAAATATGGCTGGACGACAGCCCCTCCCCGCTCCCACCCCGAACGCTTCAACCAGCAAAGTGCCGGTTTACCCATCCTCTCCGCCTCATCAACGGCTGCTCTCGCCCGCAAAGATTTCACCCTCCCCCTACGCACCGGTGCCCTCGGTATCAAAAAAGGAATGACCGCGCTCTACGATCCTGAAACCGGTGTCCGCACACCATGTACCGTTGTGCAACTCGATCGCGTACAAGTCGTTGCGCATAAGACCCGCGAAAAGAACGGGTATTACGCGGTACAAGTTGGAGCTGGGTGGAAACATCCTAGCAATGTTTCAAGGCCCGAATTGGGACATTTTGAAGCGAGTGAAGTAGCGCCGAAGAGACATATGGCTGAATTTCGTGTGAAGAATGAGGGGGGATTACTAGAGGTTGGGAGGAGTATTGGAGCGGAGTGGTTTATAGAGGGACAGTTTGTGGATGCGAGGGCGAATAGTAGGGGAATGGGATTTGCAGGAGGAATGAAGAAATGGGGTTGGAGTGGTCAGCCGGCTAGTCATGGTAATTCGAAGAATCATAGGACGATGGGTAGTGCAGGTGCAAGTCAGGGGAGTGGTTCGAGAGTTCATCCGGGAAAGAGGATGGCGGGACGTATGGGAAACCATCAGGTTACGATTCAAAATGTAAAGGTGCTGAAGGTGGATGCTGAGAAGGGTTTGGTGATCTTGAATGGGTGTATTGCGGGCCCGGATGGATGTGTTGTGAAGATCCAAGATGCCATTAAGAAGCCATGGCCAAAGGTACCATCGATGCCTGCTCTGTTAGAAGGAACCAAAGAGCCAGCGAAGATAGCTGCTACTGCATGAGTTGAATGTTTTACTTTGTAATATTTGTATGAATACATGGCATATACAGGCGTTTTAGAGCAGAAACCCTTGAACGCCAATCCAATGACCTTTTCCTGCAACCATTTAAGTCAACTATCGTCATCTTGACACATTTACATGTGCTTATCCATGCGCCCCAGTCATGGGTGGTATCCATCATCGCCATTGTGTAACCTACCCGGCTGATAATATTTCAGTTGACTTGTGCAGCCAATGCCTCGACCACATTCACCAACACGTCTAGCCTCTCACAACACACCTTCCCAATGTGCCCCATAGTCCAACACTCTACCCAGACAAATTGGGCGCATAACTTCCTCTACCTGGCTCCGCCGTCCTCTCCTCCACATCTTCAATTCCCTTAAACGGATCCTCCCCATCCAACAAATCAATCTTGACCTTCTCATCCCCCTCCCCTCCCTCTAAGCTCCACTCCGTCGTCTCAAACATTCCCTGTCTCGTAGGTCTAAAACTTGTAAACCTCATTGTCCCACTCCTCTTCGTCCCTTTAACCTCAAACTGTATATCGATCCTGCCATGCAATTGGTTCATCTCTCCCCAAATCCAAGGCATTTTATGCGCAAAATATATCTCATCACCGAGGAATTCGCGCGCTTTGGGCGATGTGCGTAGCGCGTAGAGTGTGGATGATACGACGGAAGATGAGGATTTTTGGTAATTGAAAATAGCGAGGGTGCTAGAGATTAAGACGGCGAGGAATATGGGAATTGAGCGAACCCATTTCATGCCATTTTCGGGAAGCTCTTGAGTCCTTATTAGTATGTTCCTTATCATGATCTCAAGCCTCCATTATTGAGGGCAGGAAAGAAAAATTACCAGGTAATTCCCGATCTCCCCTCCTCTCCATCAAGGGACCATCTCCAGCTTTTGGTGCCGCAATTAGCGTTCTTCTCTGAACGAGATTCCTCGCATTGTTTACATAGTTTATTCTCAATCTAGGCAACACCCTCGAGCTTCGTAGTAATCGTGGTAGCATTTTGTTGTATGATATATGGCTTCAACAATTGCAAGCAAAGGTTACAGAATGGAGGGGGGCTAGAATTGATCATTCGACGTGACCCGCTAAAAAGTTTCCATAAAGTGTGGCGCACATGCGAGGCTGACAGCTCTGTGCAAGGCTCGAGCTCCAGCTCCAGCTTCATGTTTCAATTCTATGGTTTAATTGTTGGTCAAGATATTATGCATATTTGGGTTATAGCAAGTTTTGAAAATGGAACAAACTACCGCTCGTCTACGCAAGACATTTCGCTATCCTACAGATAGTGATTCCGATGACTCGTTGCCAGAAGCTCTTGATGAAGAAGGTACATCTGAACCCCGCTATCCATTTCCATCACATCATTCCAAAACTAACCCTTTCTCCCTCTAGAACAAGACAAGCTAATTCAACACCTCGCCGTCCTCCACACAAAATACAACACCGTCTACGCTCGACTTCTCCTCTGCCTTCCCCTCATAAGCATCATTCCCTACCTCCTCACCCTCTTCTCCCCAGCAACCTCTCTCCTCAGTATCCTCTCCATTACCTCACTCCTGTCCACCGCCTTCCTCGTTTACTCCTTACCTCCTGAAAAAACATCGATAACTATCCTGGACAACTTCAATCAACCATCCCAAGATGCTCCTCTATCAAAAACAGGAGGGGTGCTAGGAGTTAACCGGGTCGACGACGGACCTCTTCTAACCTACCTTCCAACTCTCAATCTCCTTCTCAGTTTCATCCTCGGTGTTCTAGGAACTATCGTCAAATCTAAACACAGATCAAGTTCTAGAATCACCGATGTGGAGACAGATATTTGGTGGACCGGATTCGAATGGTTACCTTTTGGGATCTACGCCGTGGTATTGCTAGCAAAAACCGTAATGGGGAGTGTAAATCCCGAAGAGGAGTTGGGGGGTTTGAGGTATAGATATAAGGGAGCATGAAGAGTGTTACACCTACACTAGTAAATCTAAAAGCTTGGAATATCCTTTTGAATTGTGAGGTCAGATTTGAACATTTCTTACTATCATCTAATCTCTTTTACTCTTAATGTTTAGTCTTTTGTCGCACCTCTAGAACCATTTCCTGAGGATTTCATATAAAAGCTCTTGTAGTCCCCAGTTCTGAATATCTGCTCTTTATGCCTCTATCCCTTCCCTGGTATAACAATCCAACATTGTATAGCTACAAAAATGCCACTAATAGACTAGACGAAAAATCAACGATGTTGATCCTAAAGTTGAAGATCATATACCCATCTACTCTCATCACCTCATATCATTCACACCCTCCATTCTACCCTTTCAAGTCTCCTGAACTATGTCTATAGTTTCCAACCTATAGACCAAAGACATCAACGAAGAGAAGCACAATTAAATGCCTAGAAATGCTAAAACTTCCAATTTCACTACAACATCCTCACTTGAAAGTTTATAAGGTTACATCTATCAATCATTTTATTTATCCCTCGAGACAAAACCCAAAACCCAACCAACATCCAAGAAAAAAAGAGAAGAAAAAAGAAACATGACGAGTAAACCACACCAAAAACTCCTCCATATCATGAAAATAGCTCTCCCCCTCCCACTCAACTTTAGCGAGGAGTAAATCTAAACGAACAGGGTATGTACAGTAATTACCTAGGTGGTGGATGTATTACCCCTTGTACGGTGAATCTCTATCTTTCCCCGCAGGATATTATACTAAGATCTCGCATGGAGTTTGTTAAGATTTATTGAATAACATATAAGATAGGATAGGATAGGATAGAGCTTCGCGGGAAGGAAGGGAATTCAAATGAAATAGTACCTACTACCTAGGTGATTTGACAAAACGAGTGAAAGTTGATGGGGGAAATAGTTTGATGGAAACGAAGCTTGAGTGGGAGGGATGAGGGATGGGGGAAGGTTTTGGATTGAGAGACAGATGGAGGAATAAATGAGTTAATGAAAGGATGAAAGGATGAAAGGATGAGTGGGAGAGTGGAAGAATAAATAAATGAATGAAGTGCTGTATTGAGAGAGGAGGTGGGTGAGACTGATGCTAGGAATAGGATGATTGTCTTTAGAACTTCTTACATATTACCTCCTCCTTATCCTCCCTACCTATTTGTTTAAAGCTCTTGACATACATTCGCAGCACCTACGACATCAACACAAACACAAAATAATGACATCACAGCCCAATGTTTCAAAAAAAAACTTTTTTTTTTATTCTGACATCTGGATTGCTCCCATTAGAACTAAATTCCCACCCATAAAGCCCAGCAATCCCATGATCTAAGCTATTACTATACCCGGTTATCTACATATCAATACTTTCATTGAACCTTAAGACGCCATTTGCCTTCAAAACCCCATCGATGCCATCCGGTAATCGTGGGAACGGATCATTATAGGATCTTTTCTCATCTGCCGGCTCTGCGGATTTGTCAATCACTAGTACGAGTCCTTGTGATTTGATTGCTTCGATTAATGCTGGTACCATATCCTATTATTTGTTAGTCAGTGAATCCAAATTTTATTGATAAAGCAAAGAAAGGCAGATAGTGAGATATGACGGATGTCTCAGGTTGCTGAGATGACTTACCAAAAGTCTAGAAGAACAAATCAAACCCATGAAATTGTTATTCTTCGCAACCCTAACCGATTCTTTAATAGAAGTGGTTCTCCTTCCACTAGTTTCCACTCCCATATGCTGACTCGGCTCCCCTTCACGGCCTAGATCATTGCACAAAAACACGGGGTAGTTGGGTTGTTTCCAATTGAGGGTTGTGCAGATGGTAGGGTTGTATGAACTAAAAACGATTGACCTCATTGCATCCGGGGATCTTTCTCGGAGAGTTCTTGCATGGTCAAAAACTACTGTGAGAATGGAGTCACCAAACGCGTTGACGTTTACGGTGGGCCTTAATTGCATGCGTTTTTCTTCTTCCAAAGTTGGGTACAAGATTTGAAGGTTAGCATGCATGCCTTTTGGGAGTAAGGAAAGTGCATCCTCGAGAGATACAGCAGATTCTGCGAGTATGGCATGAATCTCAGTAATATTTTCCAGTGGCATCCCAGGTAAAGCAGAGAGATCCTTAGCTAATCTACTTTGATTTGATCCAGCACTTATGAATTGAGCATAAGTTAGACGACAAACTGGAAATTCAATATTGTTGTAGATAATATTCCAACGTGGCCAAAGAACTGGTACTCCATCACACGTGTGTTGGACAAAAAGTTGGATGTAGTCTCCAGACAGACTTGATCCAGTAATAAAAGCACTCGGTCTAGAGTCAAATTGACTCGTAGCTTTCCAATAGGTTTCGAAATCTGTGATTTCCAGTGGTTTGCCTTGAAATGGTTTGATTACTTGGAAATTGAAGGTAATTTGTCCGATAGCTCTTAAGCGTGGATCGAATAAGGGTAAGCAACAACGACCGGAACTGCTTTCTAGTGCTCGAAAGGTACTAGGTAATGCGACAGTCTTTGCAATGACTTTAGCACCGTATGTGGGAAAGACATCGAAATCGATGGCGAAAGATTCTAAATTATCAATTTGAAATGAAACAAGTCGGGTATCTTCTTGAAATGGGAGTAAAATATTCTTGGGGATCAAGTCCGAAAGTTTGGAAGAAATGGTGAGGCGCGCTGCAGGATATTTGCTGTCATGGAAGAAGATCATCGGTTGCTCTCCATTTTCTTCGACAAAACTGATTTGAATGAAAGTTTTTGTATCAAGGAAATTATGACCGTATCGTCGTAATGGAATAATGGGAGGTGGTAATTCCAAGTCCGGGATACCATCAGCATCAATGCTCATTGGCATATGAGCACTGCTTCCCATTGTAGGTGCAATAATTGGGACTGAAATAGCCTTTTCATCTCTGGACGACTGTGGAATTAAGGACAAGAGTCTCATACACTCCAGATATCCTTCCCATGCCGCATAATACATAGCAGAAAGATCCTTTTCGTCACGAATATGGGTCTCAACTCCAACATCCAATAAAGTTTGCATACATGGTACGTTTCCTTCACTGGCTGCGTGGAAGAGCGGTGTCCATGAGTAAAGTTTGTCGATTTGATTGAGATCTGCGCCATAACTTTTCAAAAGAAGAAGTAGCTGTGGCGTCTGACCAGATCGTGCAACGAGATGTTGAGGATATAGTCCTTCGGCATCTGGAAGGATTTTGGCGCCGTGTTGAAGAAGAAGTTCAACAATTGCGACAGAGCCATGTTCACAGGCCAAATTTAGAGGGACATGATCTGCATCGGATATCGGGTCAATCCTGGCAGATCGGTCAAGTAACCTCTGAGCACATTCTATATGACCGTGAATGATTGCATGGATAAGAGGAGTGTAGTTGTCGTGATCTATCAGATCAATTGTAGAATGATCGGCTAGCGGAGCGAAGCTCATTAGCATCCACAAATGAAGCAGTTAAGGTGAAAACATACCGTTCAGCAATTCTTCCATCATATCAAGTCGGCCATGCATACACGCATAATGCAATGGTACACGTCCATATACGTCAGTTCGGCTGACCGTTACTCCCTTAGAAAGTCCAACGCTCAATACAAAACTGTTACCATAAATCGTAGCTTGATGAAGACAATTGCGCTCATTTATATCATCTTCAGACTGTACATCAACCAAGGCAGTATCCAAGAGTAGCTGCAATGACTGCTTGTGGCCTTCACTGACAGCTGCAAGGAATGTTCGAGTGATTCTTTCCATTAAAGCGATATCCATGGTACCACTAGGATCCGTCGCGATCTTCATTCGTTGAAGGAGATCTTTCAAAGAGTCTAGATTTCCGGAAATGACAGCTTCCAATAGTAAGGTGTCGGCATCACCTTCATCAGTACCTAGTAAGTGTTGACTGCTCACGACATGTTCTTGGCTTCTGTCAAAGCTAACATTGTCGCCCTCAGACCATGCCCCAAGCTCTTGTAAGCTCATAGTGGCCTGGTCGGATAATTCACTGATAGCAGTCGCATCGAAGAATGGTTGTACCTCAACGGCTCTTGAAAGATACAGCTCCTTCGTTTTTGATTTGGAAGTTTTGTCCCATTTTTTTAGGATCTTGGAGAATGCAATACCATTTACCTCGACAAATTGTTGAAGCTTATTCAAATCATTACCAAACTGTTGAAAACCTTCTTCCAGTGTGGTGAATTTCGCAGATCTTCTTGAAGTAGTTTGACTACGGGTCTGGAGGACTTTCTTCTTGTCTAGTAAAGTCTTCAGACGGATTTTAAGCTATATTCCATCAGCAGGTGAGTTTTTGGTCGAGTTTGTGGGAATAAAATACCTCAGCTTCTTTCTGAAGGTAGAAGGCATTGACTTTCTCAAGTTCACGTTCCTGTGAGATGATCAGCAAAACATGTATTTCCAAAGGAAAAAGAGTAATTCACCAGTTGAAAGAAGAAGGTAGCTTTGTTTGCTTGCAATGCGGCTTGGGAATCAAGGACTGGTGTCGAACGCTGAATTTCATTTTGCGCGAGAATTATGGGCGTAGCAGAAAGCTTTTTGATGAGCTATTATGAAGTTAGTAAATTGTAAATGTTACCCCTTCATCAAGCTACCGCAAGATTCGAAACTTGAAGCTCGTTGCTTAGGTATCTAGTTGCAGATTGAAAAATAGTTGAGACGAACCTTCTTCAGGGCTTTATAATTAACGAAACTAGCTGCATACTCGGGCACTTCGAGCTGCCTTTTCTGGATTTGCTTTCCAAACTTCCTGTGCAAGGATAGTTTAGTAATTATGGCTTCAAAAGAGGGCGAATTGGCTTGAAGTAGGGGTGAAACGTACATGATAGACTGCTTACAGTCTTCAACCCCAGGGGTAATGAATAACAGAACCGATAAATGGAGGAAGTATGATCTTTTTGGATGAAGGCTTGCGGGTGGTGGATCTATCAGATCACATGCAAATCATGACTATAAATTATGCAAATGCTACATCCATAAGCCAACAGGAGTATGACGTCGAGAAGTTGGAAGAGTTCGTTTATGAGGTGTGAGGTATGAGGTATGAAGACGCCCAAAAGCAGATGTTCTGTTGTGTGATACACGTGGACCTGCACGAAGCTGTGGTGATCACTTGTATCCGTATTATCGCTACCTTGATACGAAAGTAGAGGCTGATCAGATGAGAAGGAGGAATCTTAGTGGGTGAAGAGAGTAAGCAGTGAAAGAAAGGACACAAGTACCATCAATCTATGAAGTTAATGCAACGGAAACACTCTTGGGTATTAAATAAATTGGAAATTGACGATGTTCAACTATTTTTTTTTCGTGGGTTTGCTCTAGAGCTCTCGAACGAAGAGGTTTGGCCGAAAGAGGACTAGTGAGGGGCAATCGCAACGCCAGCAGCAAATGGTTGTGGTTGATTTCTAGACCTGATACCTACTAGGTAGTACTTTCCTAGTAAGATTACCTTTGTGACGTTTCGATGAATTTGTGTTACTTTATCTAGTAGATTTTTGCGAATAAATCAAAAACGGTTTGACCCAGCTACTTTCAAGCAAATTGACCAAAGTGACCGTTGTCGCTTCTTGCCAGCTTCCTCTTGCCTCTTGCTTGCCCGCGGGGACCCAGTAAGGAGATAGGCGGGTTAAGGTTTTCATGCAGCATTCGTGCCTTCCACAGCTATTCCTGGCAAATCATTACCCCACGTGCTAAAACACGAGGCTAACAAGGCTGAGCTGCTTGATAAAGGTGGGGTGGGGTTCATGGGACATTCAGACGTTCAGATGTTCAGATGTTTCCAAGGTTGTTGTTTTTACATGTTCATAAGGACAGTTTACAAGTCATTTATCAGTGACGTTCATCGACCCATCATCATAGAAACTTCAAAAGTGGGAGGTAGAAATTGATTAGGTAAAATGTGTAATGGGTTTTTGCATTGAAAGAGTGTAGTCACCATTGAGATTGGTCCGTTTAGAATTTCATGACCGTACTTCTCAATAAAGTGTGGCTGGCATATGCTATCTATCAATTATCGAAAGAGGGTTTGTAGATTTAGACATCGATGCGATCAGTAACCCATTCTCGATGGTAATGACTCCTGACGAGCCATATTAGGTCCTACCTCAAGTTCGTAGTAGAATCAATTTGGATATCATGAAAAAGTACAAACAAGCTTATCCAGCGCCCCTTTGCAAAAAAAAAAAAAAAAGCGATCCAGAATTGTGATTATGTATGGATTCCTCGACACTCAAGACTTGGTAGCCAGCTCCGCTGCGACTTTGTCCTTGGTACCAGACGTCTCAGCTGGTTCAGGCTTCTTCGCCGGCTCCCCGATATTTTCGGACATTGCTTCGGCGGCTGCTTTCTTGAGCCTTTCCGCATCATCGGTACGAATTTCTTTACCACCAACTCGGTCTTTAGATTCCTTTTCGTCCTCGCTATCTCCAAGGCTGAATGGATCATGGTCGTTATCGGCGTCACCAATCGGACTTGGCTCCATGGTACTCAACGGTTGCCATTTACTCTGTTTGGTAGATGGAGCGTTTTCTTTTCCGCCAAGCTTTGGTGAAGTGCGATACATGTCATCTTCCACTGTAGCATTTTGGAATGATACCTTTCGGCCTTCAGGTTTTGGAGCAGTAGTGGCTGGTTTGAACAGGTCAGGGTTTGCAAGTGGGCGTGTGGATCGACGGGCTGCAGGCGCAGGTGAGTGGTATGTATTTGCAGAATGACTTGCACGAGAGTCACTACCTTCATGTCTACTGCCATCCACGTTAAGCTGGATCCCAGCGAAATCATCGCCGAGAACCTGGGGATCGGCATCATATCGGTTGTAATCTCCACTCTGCCTGCCTTCTCCGCTTCTTCGAGAACGATATTGTGTGTGTTGATTAGAATTGTATCCCTGAGTGGAAGATTCCTCATCTGTGTCGTCTCCATCGAGTTTCTTCTTCAAATTGGTAATCCAACTGTTGACCTTACTCTGTGTCTCAAGGAAACCCTTTCTGAGATTTTCCTTGATGACCGGGAGATCGTCGTCGAGGAAACTGCGTTCCTCCTCCTCTTCATACATTTCATTTGGCTTCAAGCCCATTTGTTTCCGACCCTGGGGATATGCAGCCCTGGAACCACCTCTAGGTGCATGCGGTCCATACGATGATGATCCTTCATAGTGCTCTGCAAGCTGACGTGCATATTGTTCATCGGATTCGAGTTGTGATCGTGGAGTAGAGCCTACTCTTTGCGCTTGTGGACGTGGGGGTTGCGGAGGAGGAACTTCGATAGCGGCACTTGGATCTGACATGCCTATTCAAAATGAATATTAGGAATGTGATCTTATGCGAAAGGGATACAGACTTACCTAAGAGAGCATTGAAAGCAGGTTCAACGCGACCTCCACTAGCAATCAAAACTGCTTTGACGACCGCTGCATCAATGCTTGGGAAGGCTTCTTTCAAAGTATTTTCTGCTTGCTGTTGGGGGCTCAAAGGGCGCGGAGGCTTTTGCGGAGGTTGCTCATCTGCGATCTTATTCGATGCCGGTACATCACCACTGGTAATACCTTCTTGTACATCGTCGTCGTCCATATCAAACGGCGCTACAGTCGTTGGCGATTCTGGAGGAGGACTCCTATTCTGGAAAAGGAGGTCAGTTAGCAATTAATTCTTTCGTAATCCACGTTGAAATAACGCATAAAGTTGTGGAATCAAGGAATGCAACAACTTACGAGGCTTTCCGAGGGTTTTGTTGGTGTAGACATATTGGCAGTGTCTTTACCTTTGATATATGATTGTAGATATGATCAAGTGTAACGGTGATAGATGAGTTTATGGGAATGTGATTAGGGATGATAGATGGGTGGATTCTTATTATTCTAGAAGCTGTCGTCACCCCACATGTGAGGTGTGGCACTGTCTCCGCTTTGTGGCTGAGCTGGTTACACGTGATTTTCTTCGAGCCTCCCAATGAGCGTGAGCTTTTGATCGACACATAGTAGGTATATCAAGGGCATTGCTGTTGGCTTTGCTATCAGACTGAGCATTGTAATAAAAGTCTACCATTGTTGATACTAAAATATTCCTCATTCAATTTCAACATCAGGTCAACTGACTAAAGATACAGAACACTAAATATATTTTTTGTCTTTCGACTGTTCCAGCCTTCAACAGCTTTGACATCCCAATCGAGATTTCACGATGATTATAGGGCAGCTTAGCAGCCGCTGAAATTAGCCTACCTAGTACCTGAAATGGTATGAGTGATCATGTATCTCTAATTATCTCTTGCGAGGGAAGCAATACGATCCTGGTAACAAGCTCTCCTGCCCCGATATCTGTCCGCAAGTCCATCCATTTGTGGCCAGATGCCCGGCAGCACAACACTGTACTTCGTTGTGTATTTGGCATATGAGATAACCTGGGCAATGTCAGTAATGTGATGTCTGAGCTGCCATATCTATTCTATGGAAAGTCAAGATTCATGTGTAAGATTGATAAGTAGCCGTGTGCACACCCATTGGATGATAAATAGCTGACTTACCATTGCTCGACACCAAATAGGACATTATAACAAAGTCCAGGTGCAAATTGTCCACATTCGCTTCATTACACATCACTAGTCGAAGTTTGTCCCAAACATTGAATTGAACAGACATCAAATGATAGGCATAATTGCCGTTCATGGATGCCGGACCATGTTGCACGCATGCGATGAACCGGATTTTACCTATAAATTCTGTCCAACTCAAATTGACCTGATGTGTAACTATGTGAAATCGCGAATATAGAAAGCCCGTCACACATAGCTTTATCGATGTCAAAACTATTTGACAGACCCAGAACCACAAATCTCACCCATGATTGAAAAGTGATCTTCGAGCTGAGCATCCCAAAAGGAAAATACTCGTTGAAGCATCAAACAAAATATCATCCTTCGTGGTTGCTGCAAGTTAACGGCGTGTCATCATAACTTCATTGGTCGATTCAGAAAGTTCCCCGTGGACACATCCGTTGAGAGTGGACAAATTGCAAAGTTTTCTTGGTTTCAGGTGTGGGCGGCAGATTTTGAATTTGAAAACACAAATCATCGTCTTAATTTTCATGTGACTTGAGGGATGAAAAAGGGTGCATGCATCGGGGGGTGATGTTGATGATCCGATAAAAATAATTGACCAGCCATTACAGTTCGATATCCAATATCCAGAAGGAGAAAAGGGGTCACCCTCGTAATATCTTCGTCCAATGTCTGAAGATTAGTGGGTGTGATAATATACATGCACATCAAATTGGTTGTTCTCGGAAGATTCGTTGTATTGCAACACTCGTCTATTGTTGGTGAAAAGGCTGAGTCGGGTTTCGAACATCGGCGCCGCTCTGTTTGCGTAGATATGCTAATGATCAAGAGAAAGAGGGGTAGAAATACTTGACTGAAGTTAAATGTCAATAAGAAATGTAAAGTTAGTTACATTTAGTTTCACACTTATTGAATCGGCCACCTTTTAAAGGTCCTTCCTATTAACGGCGTCTTTCTCATGACGCGATATCGGTTCCTATGGTGAGGGGAATGACTAGCAGACGGGTCCGGTGTACTTGGATGATTGACACGAAGGGTGAGTGAAAAGATTAAAGATTTGATCATTACCAAGTATCTGGAGTGACTAGCAGACTGGTCGAGTTGAAAACTTTGATCATCATCCGTGTTTCCAAACCATTCGACGCCAGGGATTACGGAAGGAACAATAAGGAGATTGATATTGAAAAGGTCTTACTGGAAATGGATGATAACGATAAAATGATACAGGACTCAAGGTCAGGTAATCTCATGTACAGATGTTCATTCATTCAATCGGCCATGATGAAAGTAGAGCGTAGGAAATAGAAAGTAAAAATTGATCCTCTATTGAAAGAAATGAATTTTTAAATAAAGAAAAAACAAAAGAAAAATTAGAAGAAGAATGGCAAAAGGAAATAAAAAAATAGTAATGCCGATTTTCTTTACTACCAAAAAAAACCACTTCGCGTACCAAAATTACTAGGTAAAGCAATCTTCAACTTGATCTAATAATAATGTAATAAAGTGAAAGAAGCACCGCACCAACATTCTCAGCCTTCACTCAACGCGTATAGTAAAAAAACGAGACAAGTCCATTTGCTCTTAATCATGGTTTTCCATACTACCCCCATAACCTTTCCTTCCAACTTATTTATTACTTTCCGTTCAAAAGAAATTATACTCACTCAACACCATAAAATATTTTCGAATCATGTTGAATATCATCAACTTTTGACCACCCAAATCAACCCTTCGCCGATACCATACTATTGATTGAGGGAACAATCAAATCATTCTATCATTCCTGACAAATTCAAGAACTCACCAACCCAATTTTGCGACCGACAGTTTAGAGTCCTCCACGTCTCACTGCCTCAACGACACCTTCACGATGGCTTCCGCAAGCAAACCTACCTCTACTACCTCTGCACCACGGCGAAAGTCGTCGGGTCCAAAAGAGAAGAATACTATGATCATCACCCTCAAATTATCTCCTGAGAAGTTAAGGAGTGTTGGTCAACCTTTGATCAAAGAAGACACTCCATCAAAGGATTCTACATCAACAATTCCAACTACTATACCCGTCGCAACGAGTCAAAATGGTGATGCCCCCGCCGAGTCAAATTCAAATACTCCTGCACCGAATGGCACTGCTACACCCGCTCCATCATCCATGCCTCCTCCTACGGAAGCGATCAAGAAGAAAGGTGGTGTGAAGAGAAGTTCTACTGCCGCCTTAGGATCTGATACAACTCCTAGAGTTAGAGGCAAGCCAGGTCCAAAGAAGAAAGCAAGATTGTAAGTACATTTCACCCCTTCCCTATCATGGATCTTCAATGTGATAGCTTTCCTCAGTCGCCCTTGGGGCTTTTATTTGAGAGACGTCTACATATCCGTCGTTCTGACCAATTACATAAACTAACTTTAATAAAGAGATGATGGCACAATCGATCCGACAGGCAATACTCCAAGAGCACCCAATGGAAATGGCACTTCTCATAGGCTTGGACCCAAGGCAAACCAAGGCGCAATCAATGCTGGTTTACGTGCACTCGATCGTTCTGGCAAACCCTGTCGCAAGTGGGAGAAGCGTTCTTTCATCATAAAGACATTCACGGGCATCCCTATCGAAATACCCCGATGGAGAGCCCCCCCTAAAGTAGCCATCAATCACAGCACTGAAGGTTCATCAACTGGTGATAGCAGCAAGGAGAACAAAGAGAATAGCCAGGTTGAAAGTGAGAAGAGCAACAGCGCGATGGATATTGATGCTACCCACCTCGCTAGCTCTCCTGCTCCTGCTCCTGCTCCTGCTCCTGCCCTTACGCCCGCTCTTGCCCCCGCTCCTCAAGCTGAAGCAAAAGCTCAGGCTCAAGAGCAGCCCTCTGCGGTTATCACTGCCTCCGCCTAGAACGTTCCACTTCTTTTAATCTTTTATCCTTTTGTATTAGAAGCCAGGTCCTGCCCGGCGGACCTCCTTTCCTCTTTAGTGGGCGATATCTTCATGGAGTCGAGTTTCAGAGGGACCCTACTGCTTCATCACTACAGCAGTATATTGTATAAGAATTTATTTTGCCCCAATCTGGTGGAACTAGGAAAATTGGTGGGGGAGTTGAGGACGGCATAGGATGGAATGGAAATAAATCCCGCTTAGGGCAATGGTGTTTTCGGCGTTTCCTTGAAGAGGAGGGGGGTTCAATGTAGCATATTGTGGCCTGTGGGCTCACGTAGCATTGCCCAAACAATTCAAGACCATTAGTACTTTCTGATTTCACTATCCGTTCAAAGTCATCAAACTTCGATCTCTACGTTTTCTATCATTACTTCCCAACCAGTTCAGAGTTGTTCCGATCGTGAAAATCTGCCGCCATAGTCTACTTGATCTCAGTACACTGATATACATCCTTTTACCTGCTGTTCAAGTCCCGTCAGTGTACTGCATGTGCTTTTCAAATCACACCGATACTGCCTTTGTTGATCATCGGTTCTTCGGAGAATGATGTTCGAAAACACTTGAAAGCATTTGACTTTGTAAAGTACCAGGTATTTATCTTTCTCTGTGCTTCCCCAAGATCCAAGCTCGAACAAGTATGTAGTTTATATATGGGAATTGAGGTGATTTGAGATGTGATTTATTAGAGTTCAACAGATATGGTAATTCCGATCTGATACCGTGTCCACCTAGTATATTCTTGTCCAATTCGACTTTGACTTCGATTGAGTGATGTGTATGTGATTGAAACCGAGACTTTAATCTAATATCGTTCTAATCATAACTCTAAGAGGGAGTTAATGGAAGGAAAGGAAGGGTATCATTAAGTCATGAACTCAGCCAAACACAATCACCTGGCTTGATAGTTCTCGCATTATTTCATCCGTATCTACTATCTATAAGCTGGATTACCACTTTCTTTCATGGTAAATCAATGATAATTATTATATGATGTTCATAATAAATGTCTCTCCTCGTGACGTTCACCACACCCCGGTTATCGGGGATTGTGCCATAACGGGGTTAGCCTACGTATGATGAAATCCGCATATGGCAACTTTCGCTCCTCACTCAGTTACCATAGATTTATCGATGTATTTTGAAGTTTCGAAAGTTTTGATAACAGCTTATTTATTCGTGTAAATCACAAACCGAACATTCACAGAAATAGAACTTGTTACAATATGTACTTGACTCGTACCCAACCGTATCAACACATATAAGCTAGGATTATTCAACTTCGCTACCTACCTCCTAGTCATGAAACGATCCAACTATCGGTACATAACGATTACACTTCGTCTCCACCTTCGTCCAGTCCGTTATTCACTGAATTGAAAGCTGTACGGAGGTAAATAACAAGTACGACTTCTGCGCCTAGCAAGCTCGAGAACAAATCAAATCACATCAAACCAAATCAAGCCAGATCAAACCAACTTTCATACCCTAACCTCCCTCGACTTACTTTTATATTTACAAACAACAACGGGTCTCTAGCTCCTTACTTTTAATACTACCTACACACTTTCGAAAATGACAAGTTCATATCCTTCAGGCTCACCGGGGGTACCGGAGTCTAGCATGCCTACTGGAGCTCCCGGCTTTATGCCTAGAAGATCTTCATATGCATCTGTTGTCTCTGGCATAGCTGCAGGTAGTTCTCAACAATTTGGTCAACCTCCAAGATCTGGCGCTTTCGCAAATCTCCTAAATTCGAATACACACATGTTAAATCAACAACATGATTCCATTTACTACGATCCAAATTATAATTATGCCACTGGACGATATGGATATGGGGGCTTTCTTGGTTTTGATGAGGAAAATGGCAATGGCGGGGTCAATCATGGACGATCAGCATCATGGGGCAGAGGAGGACAGCTTCCAAGCTTCTCAAGTGCTTTTGGTTCACTAGTAAATGGCCATGGGCACAATGGAATCGCTGGGCATGCGGACCATTTCTTTGTGCCGTCGTATCTGAAGAGGTCGAAATATGTACAAAAGCTAGAGGAAGCGCACAGGGCAAAGGTCCTGGCGCATAGAGATGGGTCGTCGGCTCCACCATCACAACCGAATTCCCTTTCAACTAGTGCTAGCAGTGGCAATGTACATGCAAAGATGGTACCTTCGCATCGAGGTAGACCTTATGATCTTATCGAAAAATCCCCCCTCGTCGAAGACGAAACCTTATCGCCGTTACCAAGTAAATGGAGTACAAGTGATAAATTTGGAGCGCTAGATGTGTTGAGTGATGGGTTGGAAGTCAAATTGACAGGTCCGAAATCAATGAATGATCGAGATAATGAAGCGTCGGCCATTAGAACCGATCACCCTATGCCCCCTCAATGTGGAATTTATTACTTTGAGGTGACAATTTTGTCGCGGAAGCGAGAGGAGTACATTTTCCAATCGATTTCTACAACTGAAGACTGTCTAACCTTCTCTTTAGTAGCTCTATTGGTATTGGATTTTCTACTAAGCAAGTATCCATATCAAGATTACCGGGATGGGAACCTGATTCTTGGGCATATCACGGTGATGATGGTCATGGATATGCTGGTCAAAATACTGGGAAACCTTATGGACCATCATTTACTACAGATGATACGATAGGATGTGGTGTAAACTTCTCAACTGGTTCAGCCTTTTTTACAAAGAATGGAGATCATCTAGGTCAGTATTTTTGAATCCTTTCTGATCATGATTTGTTTCTATACCATGGAAATGTAGTCGATTTTTTTTGGAATAATCACTGAAATTTTTCAAGGTATCGCCTTCCGAGATATAAAGGGGAAGCTCTTTCCCTCTGTTGGTATGAAAAAACCTGGCGAGCATGTTAGAGTAAATTTTGGGCAGAGTCCATTTGTCTACGACATAGATGGCATGATTTCGGTCAGTAAATACATTTTCACATTCTAATGATCCGCAATTTATTCTAGCGGGCGCGTGGTCGACAACGGTGGAGAGCATCCACAACCATAAATACTAGGCGACCTAAAGCACAGAATTCCGATGCGAAGAGCTCGCAACAACCTCTACCACCTTTAACCCGTGTTTTTCTCATGCTAACTGTTGATACAGAAAGAGGAAAGGCAAATCAAAAAGGAAATAGCATCAACCAGGTACTTGAACACAATCTTGTGACTTATTCATATGCTAAGACCTCACTTAGTACTTCAAAGCTTCACCCACCTTTAAGTGAAACGGAATTAATTCAAGCTTTGGTATTTAAGACTCTCAACAAGTTCCACAATTTAATAGCTGATTATGAATAGGTTTTACAATTTCTAACACATGATGGCTATGTCGAAACGGCAAGAGCATTTGCGGATGAAGTTCATTCTGAGAAGAAAGCTTTGAATATGGATCCAAACGTTACAATACCAGGATTTGATATCAAGGACGATGAAGATGCTGCTCATAGGCAACGTAAGTTTTCCCTGGTGAATGAGAGGCTTTTATACTGATATTATACAGGGATACGCACAGCAATATTAGAAGGAGACATTGACCAGGCTCTTAAACATACTAACGCATACTATCCTCAAGTTCTCAAAGATAACGAACACGTTTATTTTCGATTAAGATGTCGAAAATTCATCGAAATGGTTAGACAAATGGCAGAAATGCACAACACCAATTCCACCAATGGATCGCAGAAGAATACGGCGCATAACGGAGATTGGTATGATGATATTATAAATCATGATATGGAATTGGATGATCATCAAGCTCAAGCCAACAATTGGGATAGGATGGAAACTGATGGAGTAAATTTTGAAACGGAATATCAAAATTTACTTTCGGAGACTTTATCATATGGACAAGTTCTTCAAGCAGAATTTAAGGATGATCCAAGAAGAGAGGTTAGCAAAGCTTTGGAAGATGCTTTCTCATTGATTGCATATAAAGATCCTATTAACGAGAAAACTGTCTCACATCTTTTGGATCCAAGTGGAAGGGTTGCTGTGGCTGAGGAATTGAACTCTGCTATTCTTCGTAAGTTTTCCGTTACTTGTATTTGAAGATCAGTGGTCATCTTTTCTGTGTGCATGAATGATTACTAACTACATACAAAAGTCTCCCTTGGCAAATCATCCTCAGCGGCTCTCGAAAAAGTTTACCAACAAACCACAATACTTTTAGAAGATTTAAGGGAATCGGGTGGTCCAGGAGCTTTTGTTAATATTGATGATTACACGAGACCAAAGATGGCATGATGGTGCAAATGGAATTCATTCATAGTCTAGGTTGAGGCGGAATTGTGGGTGTTTGTGTTTGTATTGTATCATTGAGATGCTTGGGAAGGGAAGGGAAGGGAAGGGAAATTTGAAAAATTCGCAAGGCTGAAGTTGCGGTAATAGACTTATTTTTTTATTTTTTTTTCCATTTCGTATCATTGATTTGGTATGATGGTTTGATGGTATGATGGTTTTTGAGAACGCGTCAGTTCACTTCACTGTGCATATCGATGGGTATATTGGTAAGGGAGGCGAAGAATGGGAGTTGTGATATGGTGGGATGGTGGCATTGTGACATGGTGGGATTAGGAATGCTGGATGGGAAGAAGGTGTTGAGATTGGATGCTGGATGCTGGATGCTGGGTGGTGGAGTCTTTGACTGTATTTATTCATTCATTCATTATTACATTATTATATGCTTTATGCTTTATGATTTATGATTTATAGAGTATATTGATACTTGGTAATTAGGAATAGGGAGTAGGGAGTAGGGAATCGTAGAAATGGTACTGCAAGAATGATATTGTAGGAATGATAGGAATAGTATATTATATTTTCTTTTATTTTGATCTTGATGGATTATTTATATTATTACTGTGTGTGTATGTGTATATATATATGATTAGGGGGGGAGGGAGAGGAGGCTGGGTTGATAATAGGTGATATTGAGTTATTTCTTTTTATTTATTGGATATCTTTTATTTTATTTTATTTTATTGTATTTATATTTATATATTCATACTTATTTATTATAGATTTTATATTCAAATACCTATACCTATATCTATATCTATACATATACATCTACCTCTCTCACACTCTCCTCTCAAAAACCAATAGATTCAATCAGTAATCTGGAGTTATTATATCATACTATACTATATAATATACCCCTCCCTCCCGTCACCCAATATCCCAGTTCTTCTCCTATCCCTTTACCATCTCTTTGACATTCATCCATCCTTTCTACCTACTCATCCCCTCTAACAGTAAATCCTCCTCTCCTACCCCATCCAATCCTATCCTATCCAATCCTATCCATAAACAACAAGAAAAATCATATCATATCGTGTCGTATACCCACCCCACTATACCGCAAATGCAAAAATGGGAGAATGAGATTGAAATTGAGATTGAAATTGAAATTGAAATAAAATTGATTAATTTATCAATGCTAATTATTCATATACGCCTGCTTTACCACCGCCATTTGTATAGGTGTGTCCAAAGGAATCCAAAAAACGCCGTCTTAAACTCCTGGATTTCGTTATTTGTGGTGTGTTGAGTGAGTGTGAGTGTTGCGTGAGGAGTTGATGTGGTGATATGGTGAAAGTGAGGGGATTGATGAATCGGTGCTAATCGAATCGAGATGCGGATGTGTGTAAAGCTGGTTGACAATCATCTCTTCTTTTCTTTGCTTCCGTCCAGAGAGAAACCATATGAGCTCAAAATCCTTGACGAAGGAGAAAAGATCCGCACAACCGCATGATATCCGACACACATCATATGTCCTCCTCTCCATCACCACAATTCTCATGCAATTCTCCCCATCTTTCAAAATCTACAACCCACATCCTTCCATATCTCTCATCAAACAAGCCATCTGTGCTCTTTTGGCTGCCTCAGCTACCAAATTAAAATCTTTTAAAAATGGATTTGTTTCATCTTGACTTGATGATCTTTTTGGTACTTGTTGTGCGGTGGGTTGAGAAGCAGAGGTCGGTCCGCTGGAGGATGAGGAGGAGGAGGTCGAAGATGATGTTGAGGATTTCGAGGAGGTGGGAAAGGGTTGGAAGTAAGTTGATGAGGAGGTAGTATGAGTTGGGGGTGTAAGAGGTGCGTTCATTTTTGCGGTTTCTTAGGTTTGAGGTTGAAGATTAAAGGTTGAAGTTGGAATTTCGAGGTAGATAGGTGATTTTTTTAATATCTTGAGCGAAGACGACGTTGTAAGTGAAGATTTGATGAAGAAACTTTCTTCAATTTTGCGGACAAGTGTAGATATTGTAGAGAGTATTTGATCAATCGACCACGTATGGATAAATGCTCGCTTTTCTCTTGATTTTTGGTAATTACGAAAATGCGTCGAGCGTCTACCTCGGTCAGACTAAAAGAACAAAACCTTTTCCAAGTGGTTCTCATGCGTAATTTAGTCTTGCTAATTTAAACTTAAACCCCGGACTAATAATAGTGGGATCGAAGATTGTTGATTAGAGATGACGATCGGACTAGTTTGGGTATTTCGAAAATTGATTCTTAGGGTGTTTGAGATGTGGAATACGTAAGTTTTTGATACTGAAGGTCGATTTGCGTAATGGATATGATGATAGATGTGAGGATATTTCAAGTGTCAATCGAAGAAATGGTGTGTAGGTTTGATCGAAGTTGTCAAGTTGAGATGGAGAATGGGATGAAGGGTAAGAAGGCTAGCTGAGTACAACTGTACAATAAAGTAACCTCAGATTATTAGGTGGTATAGTTGCAACATGAGATGGTGGCAGAGTATTTGAGTACAGTTCCGTTGTTGGAGAAAGCGTAGAAATAAGGTTCTTGAACAGGTCGGTCGATTGAGGGGTTGATGATGATATCAAGCACTTGTTTCTTTGTTTCAAGTAAAATCCTTTGAGGCTAAGAAGGAATTGTCAAGTATTTGCGTCAAGTGATCTTCTTTCTTTCGTACAATTTGGAATTTGAAAGGGTTCAATTCCTGCACCGAAAAAGATGAGCGAGGCAAGGTAGTAAAGTGGGTTGATGTGATGTTCTCGTTCTGAAGAAGTAAAACGGGTAAACGTATTTTTGATTCTTGACGATAAATGAAGCATCATGATATTCAGGGTATCAATTAGAGATCCTCTTTATGCGGGCATAGTTCAATTTGATTGGTTTATCATTCAATATACTAAATATACCCCACAATATTATCCAACGCTTTTTCAATGGATTTTCATTTGTTGTCGGCTATTAGGTGCCTATTATACTGGTAGCTCTGTTAAAATTACCCATGACATGGGCTGTTTTCTCCGCAATTACAAGGTAGTGTGGTAGGTAACTCAAGTACAATCTAATCCTCTTTGAGCATTTCCCCATATCGCTAAGCATTTCCTTTCATCGTTGTGTAACCAAAACGATTCACGATTCATGTAACCTTTGTAGATTGTAACCTATCTATCACCCGAGGTTATTGATTTGATAAGTGTTAGAGTTTGCGAAGTCGGATATCGTGCAATTATTGATCTAGGTACAGTACCTGGGTACAGTAGTATGAAGGAGGCTGTTATAACTGAATGTTATCCGCTGACCAGGGAATCTATTGCGTATTCAGTATTGCTTCTTTTAACCTCATCTCTTCCATCCCTTCTGGAGTCTTTCCTATTTGCTTATAGGGTAAATGCCAATGTCTTGTTCAACATCATAATATATCTATCTACACACAATTCTATCTGCATGTAACAAAATACGATCTCTTGCATGCATCGTACCTGAAATCAAGACCCATTTCTTACTCGGGCTTTCTCTCATACCTAGTAAGTTCATGCATTAACGGCCGTTTAAGATTTCAAGTCCACCAGTCAGTTCATCCATTCAATATCGTTCCATCATTCTCACGCCAGAGATGCATTTTGCGGTTTTTTTGATATGCTATCTCGGTGGTAATATGGAACCACATCTACCTAACCTAGTACCTAATACTTTCCGATCATCAATTTATTTTCACGATATCTTCAATTCTTACCGGTATCTATCCGATCCACTACATCAAATACATTATCCGGTGTAATTCATTTTCTCGGATAAATCCATTCTTCCACGGTTAAAAAAGTGGGTAATGTTCGTCATTTATTGGTACTTTTCCGATCCACCATCACTTTTGAACTCCTTCTCTTCCTTGAGAATTGATATCTTATCTCTCGATCTCCGTTGTTTCCGTTCCTCGGCCCTTTTTCTAGAAAAAATTGTCGCGGTTAATTTGAAAAGAATGAAAATTGGTCGGTGCGATGAGGCCAGAATACAGCCTCATCAATTTAATTTTGTCTTCTAGAGGAAAGGAAAATATCGGAAGACGCGCCGAAACTACCTAGTCACGAATTTGTTTACGGATTAATTCTTGATTTGTGTTTTATCCTGGTCTGTTGATCTGATTCATTCGAGCTTTGCATGGAAAGCTATGTCTCGTCCTCCAAATGAATCAGTATCTTCTTCGAGATCTGTGAAGAATGAGAAAGATGCTTCAGCTACCAAGAAAGATGCTTCAACTACCAAGAATGATGCTTCATATAATCAATCCAATTTTACTCGACAAACAAATGCCGTAAAGGATTTATTCAGTATACCTAAACCCGTCAAAAAATTATTCGATAAAGTACCTATTATTACATATCCAGCGAACGGTTTACCACAGAGAAGTCCTGGAGCAAAGAATTCAAAAAATGATAGAGATGCTAGATTACCTAGTTTATATATATTTTGTAGAGAGGGTGAAGAGGATGAAGGAAAGCCGAGTTTCAATCCAGGATGTTTAAAATGGCAGGTTTGTTTACCTGTTTGAAGATTTAACTAGCAATATTACTCAGTGAAAGACAAGGCTGACGGTATTCACAGACATTCCTAAGACTCGCAGGAATTAATCATAAAGTTGTCTCTTCAAATAATCATGCTTCACCTACTGGTGTACTACCTTTCCTCTTACCGGGTATCAAATCGAATTCCTCGCAGGATGATTATCTCCCAATCCCAAGTAACGGATTGATAAAATACGCAAAGGAACAAGGAAAGAGTCTTCCTGAAGCAAAGAATAGAAAATTAGAAGCTTATCAAGCATTACTCGATCACAATATACGAAATGCATGGGTATGTCCTCTCCTTTCCTCCACATCAAGAACCCCAAACTAACCAACAAACCCATAGCTACACACTCTCTATCTCAACCCCTCAAACTTCAACACAATTGCAGCACCCCTCTACATAAACCCCAGCTCCTCATCCCTCCTAGTCCGTCTCTATACAGCCTACCAATTGCGAGCAGCAGCTGAAGCCGAATTGCGCAAGAGCGCTGAGATAATTGATGAGGAATTGATATATAGGGAGGCGGATAGGGCGTGGGAAGCATTGAGTTTGTTGCTTGGGGAGGAGGAATGGTTTGGGGGGGGTAGCCCTGGGGTTTTTGATGCCGCGGTTTTTGCTTATACGTGGTTAGTGGGGGATGAGGGATTGGGATGGGGGAAGGGAGGGGATGGGAAGGATGGGGGTGGGAAGAGAGAGGGTGATAGGAGGTTGGCAGAGGGAGTAGAGAGATGGGGAAATCTTGTAGGGCATAGAGAGAGGGTTTTTAGGAGGTGTTGGGGTGAAGGGGATGGTGTGTTGGTTTGAGATGGTTGTATGTGTGTATGTGTGGAAGGGAGGAGGGAATCTTCGCAGTGGAAGATGAAGAATGAGATGTTTGTTTATTTACCTGCATACGTACCTACCTATCTGCTATGAGCTGGGGTACAGTAAATAGAAGAAGTTTAAAAAATACACGAAATGCCTTCATGGATGTATACATAATAAATATAAGTAAGTACCATCAATCCAAATAACCAAAAACTCCCGAGTCCGGTTAAAGAAAATCGGAAACAAGATATCCATATAATCTTATTTAGGTAGGTATATATTATAAATATAGGTTGAGCGAGGGATTAGGGTGAGGTGAGGGATTGGGGCGAGAGATTGTAAGTATCTAAATAGATATATGATGAATACCTAGGAACGGAAGTTGGGAGTTGGGAGGACGGGAGATGGGAGGTATGCTAGGGAGGTAGGTATATTGGTTGTTAAATACCTAGTTAATTAAGGGGGAGTTTGAATTTAAATTCGTTTTCATCTAAATCATTCACTCGAATGAAGTAACTTAACTAACTCATTACTACCTAATTAGTACAAATTTACAAATTTGCAAATTTAAAACCTATTTACTTTCAAATCTGTACTCGTATTGATACTAGGTATTGAATTATGATTAGGAAGGTATTGGTAAATCACTGGACTGGGTATTTAAAAAAAATTATGGGCTTGATTGAAAGCTTGAAGATCCTAGTTATAGCTAAAGTACTTCATCTTGAAGGTTGGGTACAGGATGACATGCTGGGGGGGGCTGTGGATAGATGGTAAATCATATATATAGGTAGGGAGGGGCTTTGTTGAGCTTGAATGTTTATTTATTTATTTATTTATCTGGTGGATATATCGGATTTGAATCAGTGGTGCTGGTTTAGGGGTTTGAGGGTTTGAGGGTTTGAGGGTTTGAGGGTTTGAGGGTTTGAGGGTTTGAGGGTTTGAGGGTTTGAGGGTTTGAGGGTTTGAGGGTTTGAGGGTTTGAGGGTTTGAGGGTTTGAGGGTTTGAGGATTAGATGATTAGATGATTAGATGATTAGAGGATGGGATTTGGGTTGGTTATGGTTGGTTATGGTTGGGTGATGAGTTTGGGGTTTTGTTACCTATAGATGGTGGGTGGGATTTGTGTTGGATTTGCGTTGGATGGGATGGGATGGGATGGGAGAGGATTATTGGGTGAGAGGGGATGATCAGATGAGGTGATGTGTTGGGGTAGAGTGGTGGAATGGAATGGAATGGGAAGATGAGACGAGATGAGATGAGATGATGGATTGAGGTGTAGCTAGCTAGTAGAGAAATAACGGTAGTTTATTATTAGTCAGACACAGTAATTAAAGAACATAAATTTTTGCGAAGGACTTTTTGTTCCTAGTTTAGAGGCTAATACTTCCTATACAGTGGCTCGATGATCAATTTATTAGTTCTTCTTCGATAGCTAAGAGGTTATGAGATATCCCTAGGTGATGTGATGTGATTGGTTGGCGAGAAAGTTTTCAAAATTTAAAAGGAGTTAACCGAGTGAATTGGTGTTTCATCCACAAGGACTGGAGACCTCGCGAATATTAGAAGGGAATATTTGGGTTGTATAATAATTGGAGGTAGATTGGCAGATGTGCGAGATATGAAGACGGTGAATCATAATTCTTTTCCATATTTTTGTATGTTTCTCACTATTTGAATAGTAAGCTTTGCCGATGAGCTCAATATTACTAAGTTTACCCATAGAAGGCATACTTTTGGACATCATCATCTCCCTGCTGATCTTGTAATCAAATACAGGTCGTATTGTAATTGTATTAACTTCTAGTTCCCTCGGTGTATATATATCCGCTTGATTATGCCTATTATTCAATGCTATTATTCTCATTTTAGGAATAATTAATGTAGTACTATTAATTCTCCAAATCTCAGATTTCAAGCAAGATATTATAAGAAAATTTTCGATATCAACATTAAGATGCTCATCACAATGATGCGTAAATCCAGCGAACTAAATTTGGTTCGCAAACTAGAGGTTTATGGTGACTATGCAATTTCTGCAAACAATGACGATACGAGCCAAAGTCATCGTAAGACTGGTGTGAAATCTTGCCCGCTACGATACTGCTATAGGATGATGGATTATTGATCTCCAGGATGCGTCAGAATTGCCACTAGGCGAGATCCAAAAGTCACAGCTGTGCTGTGCCAATGCATACAAAGTCCCTTGATTTAAACACTTCGCCATATACAGAGCCGATGGTCGTAGCGGTAAGTACATGCATATCTCGCTTCGAAAGAGAAAGATAAATAGGGAGTGATACCTTTGTCAAGATAGATAGCTTATTGGGGTGATGATACACTAGCATCTCGAATGGAGCGCACCGTGACGAGGTTATAACTACTGGAGATTTATTGCAGGGTGACAAAAAGATCTAATTAGGGAGATGAATACTTAGAAGCCTTAAGTGAAAGATTTAGCATGAAGTGAAAACATGCAAAAACCATATAAATTTATATGGTAAAGTTAATTTCCGGTGCGTTTTTACATAGCCTGCAGGGTGAGATCTAGGAGGCAGTTTTCAAGGCTGTATTCATCTGAGTTTCACCGCTATTTTACAGACCTGCGGATACTCTAATAACGGCGCTGATCAAATCACATCACGTGCATTCACCTAAGACCCTGGTCACCTTTCTCAACATCATTTTGACTACAATCTGCATACTTTATGCCTCATATAGCATGTTTATCCCCAAACTTTCATTTCTGGTTTCACAGGCTCTGGATAGGTGTTCTTCTCCATTGAATAGAGCTTCAGTCTCGATACCCCGACTATACTTTTTCCTGCGGACCAGATATCAAACATTGTAACCTTACTAGGAAATTCGACAGGAACTTTGTCCTGTGGTGTCTAACACCCGATGATGGCGACGCGTCTCATACCAGTAGATACAGTGGCAACGTTTTAATTCTTGGCTAGATCCTCTAGCTTTAAGAAACCCGCATCAGAAACATGGGGTAGGATTTGACTCCGGTGCCGAAACTCCTATTTCCGTGTGAACGTAATGTAGATACCATACAATGTCCAAATTCTTCAAAAGGGAGAATATTCGGCTTTTCTCAGGCGGTCGGATAGTCAAAGTCATTTCGTTGTCAAGTGACACTCGTGGCAGCATACTTTGATATCCGGAGCTTATTTGTGTATCTACAAACAACTAACTGGAGTGAGAGCACCATCCATAATAATCCATCGAGAATTGCTCGCCATCAGCCATGGCTCACGGGAGATGAAGGCTGGGGAAGTAAGAGCATTGTCCAATGATATTTTTCGGACAAAGCTGTCAGAAATATTATCTTGATATTATCCAAAGGAAGTTCGTAGTTGACAGGGACGTTCTCAAGCTTCATTGCTCCAATTAGAGCCCAGCAAGAATCCTGTTGCATGCCGAACTCGCGGCTCTGCTTACACCGAGATATATAGTGGAGAAGCTTTACCATAATCGAAAAGCCCAGAGCTAACCAGAGTTCGGAGGATTTGACAAATACGAAATTCGTTTGCAGTTTCTACTGACTCGTCACTCCGCCGATGCTATTCTGAGGTTCTTGTCCATTGGCTTGCAAAAGGAAGGACTTGGCTACCGCGATGGCCAGTGCAGTAATTCTCGCAGTCAAATCAATCACAGAAGCACGTCCTCCGTTATGCTGAAATGTATCGTCTGAGAGAGTCTTGCTTACGCTGCCAATCAACACTGTTTCATGGAGCAGCACGCCTTCTTGGAGCGCACAACCCCGAACTAGCCATCGCCCTCCTTCTCTCGACTGTAGGAACGAGCGATTAATTGTACTATTGCTCCAAAGTATGCTTTAGAACCGGTAGGTAGCGACCATTTTTCTTTTTGAGCCAGCAAGAATTAGCGTTTTGAGTGGAGTTCGTGGTTCCAATATGTAGAATGGAGCCATGCGATGCTCTTCATAGCGTTCCGATATATATTCCTAATGACCTACTTGTGTTTAGCGAGGCATAGAGGAAGTGAACTAACAATTGGTTCCTAATTTCTTCGTGCTTTGCATTTCTCAAGAGAGAAGTAATGGTCCGCTGACTATTGAGAGGCTCCAGGGAACACAGATCAGTCCCACCAAATATACCGAGTCCAGAGTTTTCATGACCTCCTTCCCTCGGTTAAGATCAAACCCAGTAGTCCTTGGCACGTCCCAAAGAAGACCTAGTAATTCTCCGTCTGGTTGTGGTATCTTGAAGTCTTTGATATACTCCCAGGTATAAGAAACGGTACCATAGCCTCCCAGTTCAATGGTGCTGGCAATATCAATACATTGTTCAAGCTTCAATTGCGGAGGTTGCAAAGCCATCGGGGGTTATTATTCGAGTCTTCATGAGGAATCATTTCATCTCTCCTACCTGAATCCATCTTGAAATTCTAGAAATTGATTGATAGGAGCAAGTTTCGAAAGTTGTTTGGGCTTTGCAGGCAATATTTCTCTAAAGCAGTAAATCCTATAAAAGCAAAAGCGAAGGATTATAAGCTAGTAACCAGAAAGAGAGAGAGAGAGAGAGAAGCTCCTTTGTCGCTCTGAAAGTGCCATCGACTCCCGTCATTCTCCTGACCGTTCCATCCTCACGAGACTTTTATCATACACGTTGTAACCACTTTGGTGCCGATGTCTTTTACTCTATGATGTTAAGATTAAGGTCATTCGACGCATCGTGTTGTACTGTGTTGTACTCGGCAGAGTGCAACTTTGCATTTGATTCAATTTATTATTCATCGATATCTAAAGTTAAGACCACATGGTATCGATAATGTCTCTTGGTCTCATAAAGTGCAAATAGTCTTCGTCTTGCATAGTGAAGCTGGCATTGGGCTCGGAAATGCGGGAACGACTGGCTTTGAGTACGCATATTAGAAGTCGCCATTGAACAGTACATACAGGTCTTGGCACAGGTTAAGCTTGATTCCAGTGACACAAAAAGAACGGTTTACGACTTCATTCCAATGAACTTCGTTAAGCATATTAATATTAGTGGAAACGGAGACGACAAGCTCATGGTCTATCAGCCTCGAGGGAAGTTCTTCTACTGGCATATAGATAGCGAGGCGTTTACTCAGGCTATCAGGACATGTCGCGGTAGTGAATATACTGAGAGATTCAAATTCACTATGAAATGTGCTGTATTGCAAGCTGATGTCAACTGGGAGGAGGTAGGGAAGAATATTGAGAAACTTTATAAGGTTTCCAAGAATCTGGGTAATGAGTATCTTGACCTATATGTGGCGTGGCGGACGCAGGTGTCATTTCTAAGGTGGGATGGGAGAAAACAAGGACGAATCAGTGCACCAGGTCCCGTTGATCCATCGTAGTACTAACTTTGTGGATGTGTCAGCCAATTCAATATGACAAGGTGGAAGGCAGGCTTAGGCACTGTAAGCCGCAGCGCTGAGTTCAGTCGTTTTCTTCTTTCGTAGAGTATGATTGGGGAGTTATTTCTCCAGTTTTCCAAAACTTGCACAATGAGATATCAACGCTCCTTTTGGGAAAGACTTATCCGGCTACTTCGTCGGATGCCTACGGATATCTGACTGGAGAAATACAAAATTTGCGGGACACTCAACTCGATCAAGTAATAAGACTCCGATAGTAAGTTCTGTGGCTCTTAAATGACCTAACCCCTCGGGTGGAGAATGAGAATCATGCGAAAAGGTACCGTCATAATACTGTAAAACGAAATTATAATGTTCAGAAGATCCCGAGTGGAAAAGATCACTGAAATCATAGGTAATCTCCTCATTGAAAAGTTCATATTACAATGTGATCATAGCACTCCATACACAAACTGTAGATGAAAATCTATTTAAGTAATACAAGATAGGTTCAAGGTGTGTAAGATATATATATATATAGTAGCATGTCCATAAATAATAAAAACCAGAATCGTCAAATTATATATATATCCCAACAAATAAATCTACAAAAAACATGCATTGATTCACCAACCGGAATATTTACAAAGTTATATACTTGGTTAATATTTCTAATATGGAGTATACAGATTAAGGTGTGATTTTAGACAGTGATATTACATACTCATATTTCATAACTTCATTCGCGAAGCTCAAGGTTTACGCGATATCTGATGTCTGATGTCGAAGGGAAGGAAGGGGGATAGGTTTGATATATTTAGAAATTTAATCTTTGATAATACAATGGAAATAAATTGAAAGAAAGCAATGGCAAGCAGTTGAAGATATGCATGTACATGTCCATATGCATATACTATAATAGTTTCAGCCCCATAAGGTCCTAAGTCTTACATATTCTGCATACGCAAAAGTGTATTCATGGCCAAAGAATACAGGATTAAGAAAGTTTTGGTGGAACAAGTTTGATGTGAGGTCGAGGGCTGGCCGGCGGTTGATGGGATTATTAATAGAAAGGATGGGGCTGGGGTCTGTGTTTGGGTCGGAACAGGTTGGTGATGTGGTTGATGCATGTATTGGGATGTAGTGGTCTTGAATTATTGGCTGCGCTTTTAGATGTGTTAAGAAGCTGCTTATGTTTGACTTGATGAGAATAGAGTATTTATTCCTTATTTGATCTCCGCATTGGAAGTTTTATTGGGGGTTGTTAATACAGAGCCATGAAGTGAGTGGTGCTGGATACAATGGAAATATGAAACACTAATACGGCCAAAGGACTGAGACCAACGCAATCAAATTATTCACAATCACAATACACAAAATCAAAGGAATCAAAATTGGTACGGAATAGATTCAATTGTCCTCTATCCCATCTATCTATCACTTCGTTATCATGATCTGACACATAATCATCATCCAATCCTTCGTGCCAATATTTCTCATCATCATGAATCATGACCATCAAGTTTCATTCCCCAAAAATAAAGACCCATCATCTCTCATTTCATCATGAGCATGTGTCTATCGTTATCCTGCGCCTATCACTCTTCTCCCTAGGCCCATAGCAATTTTGTCTTCCCCTTTTCCTCCTCTTCATGTGGTAACCTTCTCTTTTTTCTTCCCCAAGGTGAGGAAGTACAAAAATGAGTTCCATGAAAACTTGTCGTGTGTAAAAGAAAGTGATTGATTTTCGGGTTTTTCCTTGGTAAAAAACAGACCGAGTAAACAATACTCCATTAAAAAATGTACATGAAATTCGTGAATAAATCATTTATTTCGTTTTTGCGCCGGGATTCGGCTTCCCGTGAAACACACTTCATGACAAGTACCGGACTTGACGTGATATGTGAACAGAGGGTGAAGATTTGTAGAGTGGCTAAATGGCACTGCTCTCTCTTCGTGGCGCTCTGTGTGCGTCCAGGTGTTTTGTTGGTTTCCAGTCCAGGATAATCATTAAGCGTTCATTCATCGACGGACAACGATTCCATTTCTGCGAGATGATCGTGAGTACTCAACCTCATCTTCGGAGCTACATGACTCGGAATCGCTGTATCCACATCGAGATCCTCCGCAATCCAACTTGATTCTGTCTCCCTTTCTCGTAATTCCATATCTTTCACACGTGCAGGCTGATGTGTTGGAACCTGATGAATAGTCGCTCATACTCGAAGCAGAAGAAGGTGAGCTAGTACCACTGGTGTCGGAGATGGTAGAACCGACGGACGAAGATGGTGAGCCTGGAAGATCGTAATCGTAATCGTACTCTTCCATGGTGGCGGCACCAAAACGTGCGGTGAGTTCGTCGACGGTTGGGCCAGCGTAGTCGGCTTCGAGAATGTGCTTGGTGGCGTGTGGAGACATGGGTTTAGGAGACTTGATTTGAGAAATGGAGAGGGGTCGACCTTTGGGAATGTCAACGCTGAGGTGAGAGTCACGGCGAGACTCTCTGCGGGAGGATGAGTGCGAGGAATGTTTGGATGATGAACTGGAAGAATGCTTGGAGCTTGATGAGCTGGATTTGGATGATCTTGAGGATGATTCAACTGGGATATCGAGAATGTTCAGGACGCGACCAGTAGTTGGTTCGGTAGTAGATGAGACGGCAGGGTCGTGAGAGACATGGTATCCATCGATGATGTAGTAATACCAATATCTTTGACCAGGTTGAAGAGTGGTGCCTTGAAATCTGAAAGTACCTTTCCAGCTACCAGATTTGGAAGAAGTCTTGTCCTTAGCAAGCGGAAGTTGACCGGCATAGTTATCCCAGCTACCAAGTAAATGAACGGTCTTAACACTGGAAGAAACGCGAAGAGAGAATGACAATTGAATAGCAGCCATTTTGAGATCCTTGATGCAAAATACTAAAGGGGAAATATTCAATGTACTGAAATTGGCTGATTTGAGCAAGAAGAGACTAGTCGTTAGGGGTATAATTCGGATTGTGTGAATTAGGAGATTTGTGAATAAAAAATTAATGAAAAGTTGACCGGCAACTTGATAGAATGATTAGAATGTAAAGATTTTTGGTATGATATTACAGAGCACAGCTCTTTGGGCGGGAAACAAAAACAAAAAGGTGAAAAAACGAAGAAAAAATGGAGGAAAGGAAGGAGACTAGCTCTTGAGAATGAATTGACTGCTTGCTGAAGAGAAAAGAAGTTATTTTGAGAGGGGGCACAGCGTCTCTTTATGGTCGCAGAGGAAGAGGCACCCATCATAGCCATTGTGATTGATCATTGGATCGACCCACCACAGGACTACCTATGGCAAGGCTCAGAAGGTGCAGAATTGATTACAATCCTAGGATCCCGCAAATCCCGTTCGCATGCAATCATGCACAGCCAAAGACAATATTGGACAAGGGGGAAGCCATTGATGAGGGGAAATAAGTTAGTTCGTTGATCAATGTGTGCGCATGCAGTCCGGATAGATTAATAGATTACCATGCATTTGGACTCCACGAATTATACGATCTAACTGACAGAGTTCAAGGGAAAAATCACTTGTAGACCCAATGTGATTCGATGATTAAGGTTGAGCTGCAGTTATTGGGCGCCTAAGCAAGTGAAATGGTGGATGGACGGGAACTAGAGCCAATCCGGTGTTTTGGCGACTAAATCCTTGCTCTCTTCAACCATTTAGATTTTGGTAAGGGCTAAGAATAATTCTCGCTTAATTTGAGGTCGTACGGATGGGAGAACAAAATGCAAAACATTCATCCTGTCATCCTATCATAACAAAATCTTTCATCACAACCTTTTTTAGATAATCCTTGAATAGTGACTCCTGTGATGGATGAGATACTTTCGTCGATAACGGAGAGTGGAGATGTGTCTTAAGATCTAATCTACTATACTCCATATATTATAAATTCACCGAAGTGGATCAATTGCGCATAGTGACCAAAGGAGACCTCATCTGGCTCATCATGATCACAACAAGAAAGAATTCACGAGACAATGTAACTGAACAGAAAGAAAAGCCGAGTTGGAATTGGCGGCATTGATGTTGAAATGAAATGGGTACGTCAACTGCGTCGAATAATTCTGCAGGTGTTCACATGGATAAAATCGAGTTTGCGTACCTCTTTTCTTATATCGGATGAATTGATAGTCATCAGATTTTCATTAACCATCAGCCACCACAAGCGTTCAATGCAGTCAGCAAAGCAGTACGATATCACAAAGTTCGCACAAGTGTAATGGAAGAATGGTATCATTCTATGATAAAGTGAATGATGGAGCAAGGGTTAGCTATGGACAGACACAGGTAGGTAGGGTCCAAATCTTGCTTATCGTACGGATACACACCTCGAGGTGCCACTATCAGCCTTGTTAGTCTCGCCAATACTCTCTTGTCTGTCCCCGCTCAAGTACAATCATGCCCATGCTCATGCTCACACCGAAGACTTAGTATCTCCAAATCGATATCTCAATTAGGCCTTTTACAAACTACAACTGCAAAATCTAGATCTTCAACGGCTTTACCAGTAAATTAATTATCTTTACTTCTTTCAGTCAATATACAAAATTGACCATCGCAACTCACAAGTCATCGACAACCGATGACAGGGCCGATCATGTTGGCAGCTCCTTCACTTTACCGTTACTATCTGCGTCCTTGCCTGCTTACACTCAGTTACTCTGCCGTCCGTGCTATCATCTCCAATCTGCAAGTCGTTGCACAGACGCTCATCCAATGAATCAATTTCATCTCCTCCACAATGCCGTCGCTAAAGGCTAAACTACCATGTAAAAGACGCATTTGGGTCAAGGATCCTGCATTCACGATCATTTATTTCTCCGCCTGCATGCTTTTGTTATTTTACCTTTCGTTCCCTATTTAGAAACCTGGACTTTGAGCCACGAAAATGCATGCACATCAATTTCGTCACGATGTAATGTATCCCCTTCAGCACAAGCCAATCCCAAATCAGATCTAGTGCCGGCGGGTAATAAAGTGCTGGTGGATCACGAAAAGATTACTCGCAGCAATAATTGATCCACTCAGAGTGCGTCCTGCCTGTTTGATTTTGTGCGTACAATGTGCATGTGCATATTGTACGTAATCTTTGGCCAATCTTAGCTGGCTTCAAATTGTCACATGGATCTCACGTGCTATAATGTACTGCTTTCCATGCGTATGGAGAGAAGAAATGCCCCATATATACTCAACTGATCCATAGAACAAGATTCAGAGTATACATTTTAGTTCCACATTGTGAGGGGCATCTTGCATACTCGTTCACAGTCCTGCATTGGCGAATTGCTCATCTGCCATATCTCCTGACTCTGGGCATCATCCAATCCTTGTCCCCTTTGTTCAACTTTTAAGCCGCTTCATCAACTGCACCAGCTTGCGGCTTACAAGGGAAAATGAGGTGTGGGTGCGCAGGCTGCAAAGCGCTGTTGCCACTTGTTGGTCACATTCCCAGATGATGTATGTGGATTTATCGTACAAGGTTGATGGGAAATTAAACAAGAATTTTGCTGTTGGTGACGACGGCGTCGGCAGAGCCTCCTTGCTCTCCCTCTAAACATTCAGATACTTTTTCTTCTCTTCTTTTTCATGATTTCTCTCTTTCTCAGTGTTACTGTCGAACGTTTACGCAACGCGTAACATGGTTGACTTTCCCCAGCGTGCCGTGTGCAACTAGTGGCTAAAGGTCTAAATATCTATGACCATGTGATTAGTTCTTCATCCTGTCTTCCACACACATAAATTGTGTTTGCATTCCAGGGTAACTATTAATGCAGCATGCTACTACAATGTACGTATAACTATTCTAGTCATGCGCTCGTCTCATACAACACTACATCATAAAAGTTGCCGTTTCACTACTTGACTGACCATCAACTTCCCTCGAGGACCCTCGACACTTCATCTCATATTTCAAAGTTTTAACAATCAACAATTATGAAGTGCATAATTATATCTCCGATTCTTCATTTTTGAAAAGGGTCTTCATACTCATGCGATTGAGATTTTTGACAAACCTCTGGCACGATTTAAGAGGGGAAATCCATAAAACGAATTTTGCGAGACATCAAAATCCGTGATATACAGGTAATCAACAACTCGAACTTCGTACTAGGTGAGATGGAATATGTAAATTTTCCTCTCTTCCTCTTTTTCTTTCTCTTTTTCTTTCTCTTTCTATTTCTTTTACTCTTGGTCTTGAGTTGGGATATAGGAAAGTCGTATATATAATATATACGTGTTACGCCGGGTAACAAGAAAACGCTCACGTGCTACCAATATCATGTGACTGGCTCAGTGAGGATCAGCAAGCTGAGTACTGAGCCATACTGATCCTACTGATCAGCTAGAACACGAAGGTCTATATAATCAAGATGGATTTCCTTTGTATAGAGCTTCGTGCTCAAGATCAATCATTTAGTATACTCTACTATTAGTTACGAATTGCATTATTGTCATTACTTTAAGTCCCTGCTTGACGCCTAGTTGTAAACCACCTCGAGAGCCTAGAGCACTTCCACGTGATCTAGACGGCAAACCTCGTAACACTAATGTATGTAGAGAGAAAGCATCGGAGCTGACCACGAGACGGAGAGGGAAGGGGATCTATCCAGATAATGGAAATCGTCTGAATAAAACCTGGCTGTCTTTTGTAGGAGGGTAATACCCATTTCATTAAGCTCGGTCGTTCGAAGTGTGAGTAGAATGCGTTGTTTATTTTCCTATACGTATAGACTTTATATACATGTGTATGTAAGTTTCGATTGTGTATCTGTATGGTAAACAATTATAGCTATGGAATATGTGTATATGCAGGCAGGATATATGATTAGTGATTATAAAACGTATATTAGTATTATCTATCTCATTGGACATATTTTCAAGCTGCAACTCCCAGTATCTCACGACCTAGATCAAGGAATGTATTGGGTTTCTTGAGACCAGAAAGAGCATCAGATAGAATTGGTTGATTCTCTAGCTAAGCAGTTAAGCTGCGAGTATATATATTCAAAAAATGAAGGAATAGGGTTAGGTATTCGGCCTTCGGAATTAAAGTGCTTTGAAATCAAAATATTGAAAGCAAACAAACAGTATACCAAAAAGGAAAAAATGAATTAAAAGTTGAGTTTTGTTTGCTCCTTATATGCATCATGCAATATATATGCATATACTGCCAAGATCCCAGGAGGTCAACAGGATGAGTAAAAGGAAAAAAGCCCATTTTGAAGCTAAGCTCCAATAAATACCAAGAAAACTCAAGTAATCAGAACAGCCGCCCCAGCCATTTCCTCAAGAGAAAGTAAATCCATATCTCCCGAAGCATTTAAACGCACCCTCACAAACCGGCGCGCCTTCTCCACAATCAAACACCACACATTTTTCTCCTCCGGTATACGAATTTCCAAAAACCGGACCACCAGTACCGTGACCCAAATATCCGCATCTATAACCTTTGACAGCCCAGGCTTAGGTATCTCGAATTCTAGGATAGATGATAGGGTCTCGCTGTGGGTATGCGCATCCCACGAACCGTCGAAAGATTGCAGATCGATGAAAGAGAGAATTTTCGTCGTGTTAGGATTTGAAAAAACGACTGGTACATGTGGGTTTTCTTGACACGGGTGGATTCTATGACTGGCTGATGGAATAGGCTGACCTGGTGGCAGCAAAATCGCGTTTGGTCTACTCCAAATTGGGCGTCTATCCATGTTTGGACGCCTATTATAGATAGCGGATATAGGAGCTGGATTTGGGTTCGTTTCTGGGCTTTTCAGGGGGCTTGGCGGTGGTATGATGATCGATGTTGACTTTGCGTCTGGTAGGTTTGGTGGAAATGATTTTTTGTCGAGGATTTCTTTGTCGCTTGACACGACGGCTACGAATGAACACCATCTGTTCATGACTTGGAATGTCTCGCCCAGTTGAACGGCTTCTTTCTCGGCTAAGGTTTGACTTTCCGAAGTTTTCTGGTTGTACATCCATCCTTGGAAGTCTTCAAGGCCTTCCATTGCCTTTCGGGCTGCAAGCTGATGGATTGTTGTGCCTTTTCCTGGGAGCACTTGAATTGGAATCTCGAGAATTGGTGGTTCATCGGCCGACGACCTGCGTAGAGTGATAGATTTTGGGCGTCTCTGTATCTTTCTTGGACACATAAGGAGATATGCAGTTGTTCTAGTGTCTGCAAAGAGACCAGGTATTTTATGTGGTGCCTGGATGATCGGTGGATAGCAAGGTTCCGATGCATCGGTGTCTTTGTTGTTGGAACCAGGCACTGGTGAAGGGATAGTTGATTCTTCGTGCTTGGAGAGCAAAATTTCCATTTTATCTGTAACCTCATCAACTAACTCGAAGTCATCATCTTCTTCGTACTTGACCTCAAATATAGCATCCGCGATGTGTGGGCTAAGTGCTTCGCGAAGTATGTGAATGACACTTGCGTCTAATCGCTCTCCATGCTGTACACATTGAGAAAACCCGTTCCCTATTCTTAAGAGTCGTTCAATCATGGTACCTGAAACGGTATTTCCAATTTCAAGGCAAAATATTCGAATCTTTCCTTGTGCTTTCTCCACCTGATCGCTAACATAAGCAATAAGAGGTATTTCCTTACTGGTGTTCCCACTAGTAAGGAGGATGGTTTCTAGTGGTATCTCAGGTAATCGACTGTCAATAGTATCTTTAATTACCTTAAGTTTTCCCATCCCTCCATAGCTAGCATCAAATGTCTTTATATATTGCATAGCCTCTTGGAGAGTCTCGCTACTGTAGTTCTTGCTCTGGGGCCATAAGAAGTCATCTTTCGTTCTGAAAGAGCGAATATTAAATTTCACATTAGTTGGGAGTGGCTTGAGGAATACATTTAAAGCCAAGACAATCATAGGAATATGGGCTCTCATGTGGCTACTGTATTCCGCAACAAAAACAATCTCTGAAGGCGATGGCGGTGACGAATCTGGAGGAGAGAACTGCGTGATAAATGATGCTCCCAGGGCTCGATAATTCGGAATCGTGGGGTGAGTTTCCAAAAGGGCGTAAGGTCTCATGTCGTCCGAGTGTATGGCTAAAATGAAATCTTTCTCTAAACCAGCTGTTACGTGTGACAGGATCGCAGACGCCCTATTCATCTTTGGAACTTCTTGAGTAGCAGTTGAAATGGTTCCTATGGACGTTGCAATCATATGCGATTGTGACTCAATCCCTTTGATAATTTGTCCTTCTGGTAAAATTACATCCACAGTTATCTTAATATCAACAGCAATATGATCAATGGGACTTGTAACTGAGTCAGCGGCAGACGGATGCTTGGCGAGGCTTTTGCGACCATAACGGGGAGCGATCCAAAGTTGGAATCGTGAAATGAATGCCATAAACGTCTTGCTTCAACTCCCCAATATAAGTGATCTCGACAGAAACACGTTCTCCTGCCGGAACAATACCAATTTTTGTGGCAAAGACATCGGCGCCTAATGTACTCTGTGAGATAATGCCGGCGGTGTCGCCTTTAGTCGCTGCAGCATCGAAAATGGCCTCTGCTTGTTGTTTTCCCTTTACAAAACCATAGAGACACCTCGAACCAACTTTGCAATTAAAACCAACAACGCTGATACTATCGTAGATAGGAAACCTGTACTCGCAAGATTGGCCATCTCCCGATGACACAGAGTTAACGAAGGTGTGCTGGAGTACCGTTTTGAAAGTCCTGGAAACTATCATCGTATACACCTTGCTTTCTTATAGCAGTAAAAATTGGCGAAGTTCGCCAACAGTCAGGCACGCGAGTAGCTCTTTCCCAGGCAAACGACGCAGCCCTTGAACTACAGATGGAGGCAGACTCATGGTGCTTTGTCAGCGATAAAACCTTGTAGATGTGCGCTTTGACTTTTGCAAATGTGCATGTAATGGTGATGATGATGAGGGGTTAGGGAGACACAGACCATTTGTGTTTTTGAGTTCATGGGCGGTGGACTACTTGCTAGTCTTGCCAACAGTTTGTTACGACAATAGCACTTAAAAAGAGTGGGGAGTCAGCATAAAATGATATAGCCACGTGCAAATAGAATCACGTTATTTGCGTGACATAACGTCCTTTCTTAATACGGAATTGAACAGTTTGGGCTAGTGAATGCGGCAACGGATGGATCATCTACTGATTTTCATAAGATTCGCCTCATTTCATGCCCACTTTACCATGCGCTGTTAATTTGTTACCACTATCAACATATCAAAATCTGCTTCTAAGTAAATTGGCTGTTTCCAAGGATTTCCCACTAAACTTTCGAATTTGATGGTACTTCCGTTCTTGGCCCACTCTTGGAGGGTTGTCCAATTCTTTGGTTCTTCGATGACATGGTGATGTGGCGAGGCTGTGAGCAAAACGAGCGCAGCCATTTAGGACCCTATATTCCGGCATAATTTAAGAGAAGTGAATCCGCTAAATGAAGAACCAAAAAAGCGAAACAGGCCTTGGTTCCATGGAGACCCAGGCTGAGGCTCTCGCATGTATTGATTTCAGCTCTAAAAGAAAATATCATAAATCCACTTCTTAGTGCAAAGAACGTACCAAGGTTCACTAATCTCGGAGAATATCATTGCGAAGTATAGTACTGCATCACGACTTTGATAGTACTAGAGTAATGTTAAATATCCCCATAGGATCATTGTTCGTTTTCCAGTCCATCACACCAATATCATTCAATGTTTTGCCCATTCATCGTCGTGTTAGAGTTGAAATTACCTCAGCTCCCGGGTGCGGAAGGACCATTTGAATTATCTGATCCGCGACTACAGATATACGAACTTGAGGCTCCGGAGTACCATGGACTAGATTCACCGTCGAGCATTTCCAAGTCGATAGACCCAAACCACTTGGTGATCCTATCCCTATTGGACGAATTCAGGTAAACTTAATTCACAACTTTGTGTATTGCAAAAGACTCCCAGCTATGTTCCTTACATCACCACTGGAACTCAATCAACCTTGCTCGGTAGAACTAACATTACCTAGCAACTCTGCACCCACAGGCTCTACAGCTGGTAATTCTGCTACTGGACCATTTGGCGATCCGTCAATTTCTTGAGGTTCCTTGGGTCGTAGACATTCCGAATGCAATTGAGCCTTCTCGTGACCATTTTCATCACCAGCTGTGGAGCCGACTTTCGATCTTGGCAACTTCTGGTGCCTCCAGAATCTCCAGTAGATCCAACAACTAAAGACAATAACCGATAGTCCGCCAAAAATAGATCCAAAGAGTATACCATGAAACTGTGCATGGGCAGGTGATGATTCGGATTTTGAGTCCGTTGTGAAAGACGATGAAGCCAAATGGTAATGCAAATTAATGTTACGCATTTTGAATGGTTAAGAACATCTTACTAGTAGTTGGTTGATCCCGTAAAGTTATTAAATTCGTGAGAGTGAGAGTCAAGATGCTTCCATTAAATAATTGAATGAGCTCGGTATTAATAGCTGTAGCGGTGGAATATGTAGACCCGAAAGGACTGGAAGTAAGGCTAGAAGAAACGCTCGTAAAAGGCTGGAGCGAGGAAGGCAGCGAAGAGAACGACTGATCACTTGGGGCCGTCGTTGTAGTGTTCACTGCCAAACCCGGCACTGTCGTCATTGAAGCTTGCGACGCGCAATAGTCAAGGAATGGCCCAAATTGCGCCTCTAAATATGCTATATCCTGCTTGGCGTTGCCGCTATTTGCTTCTATACATATCTGACAAGAACTGTAGTCGTCCCTGAATTCTGATCCAGATGCGCATAGTTTAGGCCTCTTTCCAATTCTCAAGGCTACAATGTATACATTGTCTAAGATAAAGTGAGTTTTCTTCCGAATTTGAGAAGAAAGGAGATGCTCATACTACACGTTGAATAACACACAGCTGGAGCTGGAGATGCTATAGCTGAACTAAGAGGAGCAGGCGTAGAGGTAGACATTTCTGAAGAAGAAAAAAATTTATAGGATTTGTAAAGGTATTAACAAGCCAGTATATAACTCATGAAACAAGCCAAGAAAGCCTTCTCTCAATATCGCCCCCATCAAATGTCGTTAACCGATTCTTGTCCTCAAAAGATCATCGGATTGGTAGAGACTCAGTTTTTTGTGGCCACAATCAAAGCCACATCTATCTTCGTGCATTTTAACATTGCACAACAGCACACTGCACGCCGAGTATATTAACTTCACGATCCATAATCGATAAGAGTAGGTCTTAACCTTGAAAGGTGGTATACGTAGAGCAATAGCTCGATAACCCCACGAATAATCCAGCTAGTTTCATAAAACCACTTGGCTTGAATTGAACCGAGATATAGAACCTCAATTTGGCAATCGAGAAGTGATACATAAATAGCTATATTAAACACTGAAACCAAAAACGGTAAATCCAAAAATTTCTCCGATAAGTGGATGAATCATAGATAGAGATCATCTCCCGTACTCAGACTTCGATCGGCCGCTTGGAGATGAAGATGATGTAGCCAGAGGCTTAAAAAGGAGCATACGATTGATGCCAGTAGAGTAGCCTCACGATCCTACCTTCCGTCCCGTGTCGCATCTTGCAATCCTAAACTAACTTCGGACGCGCTTGCATAAACGCAGATGACAGAGTCACATTCACCAAAACCGATGTGATGAGAGTAAGCAGAAAAACAGGAAAGCAGGAAAACTCACAGACCACAAAATTCCCGACACTGGGGCCAGAATCCCCGGTGAACCAACCCAAGGGACAATTTTCCGCACTTCGAAAAATAATCAATCCAATTACCTTGACTTAAAACACACGACCACATCACAATTACTCTATGTACACTAATACTGAAGAAAAGTCATTCCATTCTCAGAAAGATATAGACAACAAAATCATTAGATATATATACAACGAAGCAAGTAGCGCTAGCAAGCTACCTATAGAAAAGTCTTCCCCTCCCCTCCCAAGATTCCAATAATTACATAAGCTCATGTCAGGGTATCAAAAAAGTTATCGTCCAATCCGAATTATCATCCCATCTAGTACTATCTAGACAAATCCTCCATGCGCTAAACCTAAAAGTAATTTCCCTTTGGTAACGCAACAAATAGCGCCGTCAACGGCACCGTGATGATAAAGCTCCAAGCAACCGCCCCGATTACAATCCTATCTTGCAATAACCTTAAATTCTCATCTTGCGTCCAAGTGGTCTTATCGAAAACTTTCCTCAACAGACTCTTCTTCTTGTAGATACGTGCCCACTTCTCTTCAAATTCTTGTACATCGTTCTTCGGACCAAAACTCGACAGGGTCGACGATTGAGAAATCGCTGTGCCGTCCATTTGCTTATCATGATCGTCACCGGTGCGTATCGCCATGTGGATGCGTCGTTGTGACGAGGTTTCAAAAGAGTGTCGTTCGTTTTCTTCATCGGCGTCGTGCTGAAGAATCTCTTCCCAGGGTCGCAGATTGCGGTTGTGAGACTTGTGCATGATGAGGCATAGACCTTTGTAGGATGCTACTATTGTGGCGATACCTAGGAACCACTGCAGGCCCGCAAAGACTCTCCACCATCGACTAACACTCGAGAGAACCAATAGGATACCGATCACAAAGCCGAACACTGTAGTACTAATACCCGTAGTTCGGACAAAGAAAATTCGAGGTCGATTACCGTTACATATAGACCACCTGATAAAGTTCGGATGAGATTGGCCTCGAAGTGCAGCTTCGGTTATGACCACGGCCGGTGAGAAGGCTGATGGATGAGTTGTGTGTTGAAGGGCGTGCAGACATAACGCCCGGTCTTTGTGGGATAGGTTAAGCTCTCGAGCTGAATTAAAAGCAAGGTAATGTCGCATTATACGGTTAACTTCTTCTCGCATAGGTTGAACGGTGACTAGGCAGATAGTTTTAGCACTAGTATTGTTGTTGAAGATATTTCGGACATACAAGGTTGCCATCTGAGACCGGCTTGGCCTAGTACTTCCCCGGAGCGCCTACCTGTGTTACTTGATGGTACTGGAGAAGCCAGTGGGCTGCCAATAGCACTATCAGCCCTTGATGAAAAGGTGCGAGAAAAGCCGTCTGTAGACTTAACGTCTGGGTTGAAGTCGGTCACAACATTGTTATCTGGCAAATCTACCATTGGTTTCTTTTTCCTCCCTTCATTCCCCTCTGTGTCTTTGGCAAGAGTACGGAGCTCCGTTGTTTCTGGCACCCATTCAGGAGAAAGCTGCTTTTCGCGATCGGATAGAGCCTCGAACCGACGCACATAGTCTTTGTACCAGAGATAGAATTGAAGATTCTCCGCGTCGTGCTCAATGTAAACGAGATAGTCCATAAAGTCACTTAAAGAGCATGGCTGACGCTATTAATAATTGCATCATTAGGGAATATCTTGAACTCACTGGAAGCGATCGATTTTCCACCACGTTTTCGAATGATAGTCCAGGGGGGATTGCACGCTCAGAATCTGATAAATGTTAGTCAAGTTGTCCTGATTAAATTAAGGCCTGCTAACTTTTTGCTCTTTCAGCATAACGTTGACATTCTGTAGCATTTATAGGACCATTTGCTTTGTTGGTATAATCCGGTCGTTTGTAAAATAGTACAGACATGGCTATGAACGTCTGTCTTTCAACAAGATGACCCGCGTACTGGATGATAGGATACAATAATAACTATCCTCGAGAATGAAATGTTCTTAGAAAAAACAATCCAAAGAATGCAGAAATGAAGATGGTCCCGACTTAAGACAATGCACATTGCCTCGTGTGGGTGGAGGTACTATTGTATGCATGTTGGCAGCTACTGTTTCTCCCGGCTCCATCGAAGAAAAGCCAGGTAGATTACTCGAGTGATTCCCAAAACAGTCAAGATATTTCCCTTAGTTTAACGGTATCTTTTTTCTTTGTTTCAGGGCTTGCCGCCACTGGTAAAAATTGAAATATCACCTTGATTAATTTCCGCGGTGTCATACCCTAGCTTAACGAAGCCCACTAAAGCTACCAAAACGTTACGCGATGCCAGTCTTGAACTGTGGATATATCTCGGTACGGCCCTTATGAAATCTTTTCCGAGGAGACACGATGAGATAACAGGACAGAGCAGGACAGAAAGTCAATAAATCGACAAGGACTCCTGGCTCAGAAGAAGCTGGAGAGTTCCCTTGAAGATTCGAAACCAAGGGAACCAAAAATATGGTTGGATCTTTTTTGGCCATCTGCATTCTGTATGATGTAGAAGCCATGGCTTAATCGCACCGCATACGGTGTGAAAGCCGTGCATGCCGGTAGCATATCCTGGTTGACTCGTGGCAACTCGATCTGTGAGTTGTTAGTCTCGGAGATGTGTATATCCAGACATCTGAAAGTTGAGGAGAAAGAGTCCATTGACGTTGCTAATGTCTTCGCTACTACGTACTTCCCGTTTCTCAATAGACGCCATGTACCACTCACTACTTTAATGGCGTTCGAGAAAAGAGCTAATCATGCTTCTGGACTCATGTGGATGACGTCTAATGCTATTATTATTAAAAATTCCAAAATCCCCAAGTCACCGGCTGTCAGTTTTTCCGTCGATTACTACGCTATTACGAATCGAAAAGCCTATGAATATTGCTTGGCGAGAGGATTGTGTCAACGACCAAAGCAGAAAGTTGGACGCATATTTAATTATGCAACTGCCGCTTTTCATACTTAGCTAGATCAAAAATCAGCCGTAGAAAGGAGATGAACGAATATTAATAAATAGTATCAACATCGAAGTGATCACCATAACTTAATCACACAGGACCCTCATTTTCCGTGATCATGGTGATATATTATCCTGTCTCGACTCCGTGCATCGCTGTGATGGTGGTCAGAGCGCCGAAGAGCAGAGAGAAGGATTGGGGCTAGTTAAAACCTGAAGGTTCTTTCTTTTCAGCGTTCTAGCTTAACATTGACGGCCGTTTGTACGCTTTAGATATAGCTCTACAGCGCCAAATTTCCGCGATCGCTTGTGTAGTCTTGTGCTCATTTATGTTCTAAGGTGGATTAGTTATTAGGCATTATCAAGTAGTTATGTGAAGAGAAAAATAAGAGGCAATAGAGTTTCGGCAGATAATTTTTGTGCTTTTTTGTACGAGTATATTTCTTTTAAAGTATTGGTATTCATTTGATGGCAGGTGAATGGGCCTTACTAGCCTCAAACGGCCTAGTAATTGCCTATTCCAATGAGATCTGCAATTCTCTACCTTGTTGTAACTATATGTGATTCCAAAGTACTATAGAGTAAAAATTGGATTTTCATTAAATTCTAAGAAACTAGATAATCCTGGTATATTAAAACCTTCATTGATAATTGATACTCGAGTAATTGAAATTCGATTTGATCAAGACGTCAATCAGGGGTATCCATCCGATCGTCGACCCCGTAAAACCTCTGGAGTCTGTATCCATTATCCATTAAGGTTATTGTACAATCTACAAGAGAGAAACCGACGAACCTTCAAATATCATTGTAATATCTGCATCAATGCACCCAAGAAACCCCCGCAAAACCTTGAACTATGCAGATTAGGTTGGAACCATCGGCTACTAGTGCTCCACAAGTGGCTATTTCCTTTGTGTATCGAGAAGATGTTCGGTTAATGATCTCCGGAGGTAAACAACTGGTGAACTGTGGTCTGTTCTTTCCGAACACTCCAAAGTTAGACTTGTAGGAAAGCATCTTTGAGTCATTCAAGTGTTGTTTAGGTACAAGGGGTGATAAATCGATCCCTTACGTCATAGTTCTCATCGTCACACGATTCATATATTACTTGCCGCTCATCTTTGCGCGGAAGAGTAAGATCCTTTTACTTGATTTTCCAACTACTGAGGTGACTAGACAATGTATACGACCAACGCCATCAATAGTTCAATGCGTGATGATGTATCCAAACTTCTATCAGAGCATCCCCATTGCGGCACCCACGAAGATCAAGAATCCCAATGCCAGAAAAGGACAGCCGGCAGACCAAAACCTCGATATCATAAGCCGTGATCCTTGTGCTATTTCTCCCTCTCTTGGGACGGGGGCAGCGGGCCAAGGTGTTACTGTTGGTCCATTGGACGGGCGAACGGAAGATGGTTGTTTCAATACCGGAATACATTGATTCTTATAACAAGTCGTCGAATTAGGACAGCAACCTCCTCCCACATCTTCCGGGCATTCAAAGTGGTTAGGCCTGCACCTTGCGTGCGCCCTCAAGAGACGACAATTAGAGTGTGATATCGTTCCATTGCAGCAGTATATGCCTGATGTGGTGTGAGTTGTAGGTCGACAAATCATACCTTGAGGACAGCAAATCTCCTGTAGCAAGCGGGAGAAATGATCAGCCTTGGAGAGAATTCAAAGATTGTGCTAAAACTCACAGGATGGGCGTATGCTTCACAGCTATTTTGCTGATCTCCGCAAGTATACCAAGGTACAGGGGCTGCCTTTCTTGGACTCAGACCGAACACCGTATTGTAGGGTCCCAAAGGTCTCATCGGCAGACATACTTGCGAAGTACTCTGGACTCCTTCAAACTGCTCCTGACTCCTCTGTTTCAATTTGAGCCAGCCCTGGCCTCCCATATCATGATAATATACATGAGCGCTGCAGACTATCCCAATGATTATGATAAGTACCAGCAGACAGGCAAGATAAACAAGCCATCCGCGCCAACTTAAAGACTCTATACAGGCCTCTATACAATACCTTGAGGTCAAGGGTTGTGCGCAAGAGCTGGGCTCATTTGGATCAGATGTCGATCGAGATTCTACCTGCTCCAATGACGATGGATCCGGGCGGGGATGCAGGTGTGCCTGCTGCGGTTCCTGCGGAGGTGTTGGCATCGGAATGATAGTGATTTAAATATACACGGATAACTTGAAGTAGGAGCATTAAAGCGAACGTAGGTTGAATCCAGCGATGTAATAGAACTTGAGGTGACATTTGGATAGAGAATAGGAAGAATTATGGTTCTGTTGGTTTAGGATGAAAGTGACGATGGATATTGGTAACGATGTATCAAAATCTTCGAAGCTGCCTAGTCAAGCAAGTGAAAAGGGAAGGTATAGACAGTATTAAGGACAACATTAAAGTAGAAGGAACGATGTCATTACTTACTTGCTAACCTGTTGACGACCTCCAGCAGTATTCGGCAAAATCACCAGTAAACATCTTGAAGCAAAGTACAATCTCAGAATCATTGAATATCAACTCTGGGTCTGGAGATAATGTCATTACCCGCGTACCATCGACTGCAGGACTTAAAAGATGTTCAGTTTGTGTGTGCAATGTGATGTTCGAGCTCTACCTGAACAACAAATAAACAACTAATTTTAAGCTTAAGTTCAAACAATATACTATTCCTATCCGAACTATTTCGAAGACAATCAGCTAATGCTTGAGCTCTAACTGACCAATAGTAGGTAGTAGGTAATCAACATAAAATTCCTATACCAATGAGTTGGTATGGGATTTGTGGTGTGGTCGATTTTAAGCTGTACAAACACACAAGGATTGAGACTGCAGCGAATAGGATAAAGCATTTGACGATAGGCCCGCAGTTTGGGTGTAACATTATAAATTTAACCGTCTCTTACTTATGTATTACTTGATGACTCTATATTTGAAGATATTCTTTTTTTACCTCCAACTAGGGTCCAATATCACCACGATGTGTATCTTAAAATCATGGAGATGAAGATGGGGAATCCCATTTTACCCCCTACTTACTCCACAGAAAGTTTACCAATCACAAGTATGCATTTGTACCTCGGCATCGGTTCATTGCTTGGAAGCTCAAGCACTCATGAGTACCAACGCATATGTCAACGCCTTCGAAATCATCGTTGACCGAGGGCCGAATTCATTGAACAAAAGGCACTCTTAAAACTTTTGAATTCCACCATCTACATCTTTCTCTCCATATCAATCATTCAAAATGTCACCTCCGCAATGGGTTAAAGACTTGAAGCCATCCGGTCCGCAAGGTACTGAGCTCATCAAGGCAGAGAGGGAGAAGTCTAATATAAATGTCGAGAAGCTTTCGAACTTTTTGTTTACGAAAGAGGTACTCGAGCGTCAGGAAAATGTATTGAGGATTCTCCAAGCCGATAAAGTATTCGACAAATCGAATAATTATTTCGATGGTCGAGTGGATAGATTCAAATCTTCCCTCGCGAAGGCGAAAAGACTTCGTCAATTACAAGTCAAGCACAACTGGAGTGAAGATGAATTTCGGGTCGCCAATGATCTCATCAGTGAGCCAACTCCTTTTGGCCTTCATGAAACTATGTTTCTGGTGAGTTAATTCTTGTTCTGAATGTTGGTCATTACGTTAACAAATATCAAGACCACCCTGCGTGGTCAAGGTACTCCTGAACAACACAAATTATTCCTCGAACCTGCCGAGAACTACAAGTATATTGGATGTTATGCGCAGACAGAATTGGGACACGGATCGAATGTGCGAGGTTTAGAGACAACCGCTACTTGGAATCCGGAAGACAAGACATTCATCCTTCACTCGCCACATCTCACTGCCTCAAAATGGTGGATTGGATCATTAGGGAGGACGGCAAATCATGCTGTAGTCATGGCGCAACTTATTATTGCGGGAAAGCCATATGGTCCACATCCTTTTGTGTGCCAGATCAGAGATTTGGTAACCCATGAGCCGTTGGAGGGTGTTTATGTTGGTGATATTGGACCAAAATTTGGCTACAACACCATGGATAACGGGTTCCTGTTATTGAACCATGTCAAGATCCCACACATCAACATGTTGGCCAAGTTCTCTAGGGTTGATCCAGAAACCAACAAATACGTCAAGCCATCATCACCATCCTTGATTTATGGTACTTTGACTTGGGTCCGATCAACCATCGTTCTCCAATCCGGTGGTGTCTTAGCTCGAGGTGTGACCATCGCGACAAGATATGCCTCCGTCAGACGACAATTCCAAGATCGTGATGCTGGACCTGATGCATCCGGGGAGAATCAGGTTCTCAACTATACAATGGTACAATACCGATTGTTGCCATTGCTTGCAGCGACCTTTGCTTTGCACTTCACCGGAAAGGCGATGATGGGGCTATACCAGGATAATCAGAAGAGGATGCAAGAAAATGCGGCAACTGCTTCTGATAACAACAGGGGTGCCGGTCCAGAGGAGCTCAACTCCGGAAGTGATTTATTGGCCGATTTACATGCTACATCATGTGGTCTTAAGGCTCTTGGAAGTACCACGGCTGCCGAAGGTCTTGAAGTCTGTCGAAGAGCATGTGGTGGTCACGGATACTCAAGCTTCAGTGGCATTGGCACTTGGTATGCCGATTACCTTCCAACTACAACATGGGAAGGAGATAACTACATGCTCACTCAGCAAGTAGCTCGATATCTTCTCAAATCCGCTCGCGCTGTATTGAAGGGAAATGCCCCCAATAACGACACCACCAGAATTTTCACAACCTTCCTCCAGAAGCAAGATATGGGTGCTGCGCACGATATTCTTGGCTCAGATTCTGATATCGTCGCCGCTTTCGCTTGGAGAACATCTTTCTTGGCATTCGAAGCCCTCAAACATCGTGATGCTGAAAAGGGATCATGGAACTCCCTTCTCGTTGATTTCTGGCGTCTCAGCACTGCACACTCTCAATACCTCGTCGTGAAGAACTTTTACGATGCTCTTCAAAGCGAGTCGCTCCGCTACGAACTAGACCCCGAGACAATTGACGTTCTTCACAAACTCTACCGTCTCTATGCTCTCAACACTCTCGAGAAAGAAGCATCTGAATTCTATTCTTCAGCTGCTGTCACCGTGCGCCAAATTCAATTGGCGAGAACCAAGACGGTGATGAACTTATTGTCCGAGATAAGACCACATGCATTACGTCTTGTTGATGCATGGGCATTCCCTGACTGGCAACTTGATTCCTCTCTAGGAAGAAAGGATGGAAAGGTTTACGAGGATATGTTCTACAGAGCAAGTCAGTTAAACCCGCTCAATGGACTGACGGTTGATCCGTATGCGGATAATGATAATATCGTTAAGAGAGATGAGACGGAGAGGTTTAGGAGTAAGTTGTGATGGGAGAGTGTATGTAGATGTGTGTGTATGTTTTTGTATTATTTTATGGTATGGTTTTTCGGTTATGGTTAGAAAGGGAGCGTCAAGCGTTTTATATATAGATATAGATAGAGGATTTTATACATAGAACATTAGGCTCATGGTTAGAAATACAATATCTCATCACTTTACTTTCTTGGATATCGAATATCAGTATATGCGTTATTTTCTCAGTGTTAGTGGTAGTGGTAGTGGTAGTGAGGATGGAGGAAATTGATAGGTCTTCCCATCTTAAAGAGGTACTCTTACAGTATCTCATGCCCACAGGAGAGAGGGAATGGGAGGAGTATTGTCGTTTAAATTTAAATGGACAAACATATACTCCATATATATATATCATAAGCCCAACCACCAGTTATAACTTATGCAATTTTCAACTTCCAACTTCTTCTAATATCTAATATCTAATATCTAAATAGTGAAAAGTATAAAGGAATAACCCCTCCCCTCCCTGCAGACTTTAAGAAGAAGATCAATTATAGAGAAAAGAAAGAAGACTCATCTGAAAATCTTTGGGTATAAGTATGTATGCATAGTTCTCGACAATTTAATCCAAAATTGTTCAAAATTCCTCAATGCTTTACATTATTTGATCAAACACCACACAGAGCCCAGACAGACTACCTAGTTAGTACCCAGACAAACAAACTACTATTTCAGGGAAATGATATTAAATCAATCTAACACGCTGCTGCCATAATGAATCACCATCCTATGGCTAGCTCTGCCTAACGCCAGATCTGTGCAGACTTGCATATTGAAGCGGTCTTGGTATTTGTGTAAACGGAAATCCCTTTGGTCCGGTGTGGAATCATCGATACGTTTCGTTTTTGGTCTTGGCTGTGGGTGCAGAGTCTCATCACTGTGTTAAACCACAACTTCAGATTTGCATTACCGAGGGAAGAGTTGATGCCCGGAAGAAAATTCGAGTTTTGAATCAAATGTATGAAAAAGGAGGAGCCAAGAAAGCCAAGCCGTCACGATTAAAAAAATGAGTTTCCCAGTAATGAATTTATATTGTAACCTGTGATTATACAAGCTTAATTTCTCTCCTGTCGCTCAATGCAACTCATAGAATTTCTCCTCCCTAAACCAATGCCAATCGCCATCACGCAGTTAAGGTGTAGCGCCAGCTAATGTACCGCCATCATTCAGAGCTTAGATTTGGAGTCTTTCGACCTTATCCTTCAAGCTTCTGATTTGACCCATCAAGTCGGATGCCTCGTTAGTGGTAATGCTGGCGGCTATAACAGCTCTGCTAACACCGCATGCGCGTCCCAAAGCAGTCTTGGATGGTACGTAAACGTAAGGGGTGTTCTTGTCTTCGCAGAGAAGAGGGAGATGGAGGAGAATGGCCAATGGGGCAGTATCGGCGGCGAGAATAACAATTTCGCTGATTCCACGGTTGAGGGTCTTGGTGGTCTCGTTAGCTCCCTTCTTCAATTGACGGTAGTGTTGAGCTTGTTGAACGAGGTCGAGGATCTCTTGGGAAAGAGTACTGTCGGCTGCAAAGTAAAGTGTTAGTAAAAGCAATCAATTTGCAGAAATATCATAAACTCTTACCGACGGGCCAGGCAGCGGATTCATTTTGTTCCTCAGCCATTGTAATTTTGGTTTGGAATTGAGTTAACTGCAAGGAAAAGTTAGAACCTGACTTTAGTAGATCAAAGACTTTGCGACCAGGACAATTCAATTGAGGGGAGGCACATACGTTTTACTTGAGGATGTACTGGAAAAATTAAAAAAATTCCTTCACAGATACTCTTTCAGGGTTCCTTGCGTTGGCTCGCCCTGCGGGTTGTATTGAAAAATATGGTAGTTAATGAAGTAAAATCTTTTGGATTTTTTTTTTGGAGATTAATCTTTATCGGGGACAGGAAAAGCTTCGCTTACGTTACGCGCTAACCCATAACTTGATTGGTCGAAAAGCTAAGCTTGCCAGAGAAGCCTCATCAAACAACTCGTACAAACCACCTTGAATCACTAATAATTATCATCCATCCATCAACTCTACAAGCTCAACTTCTCATCAACCAAACTCTTCAATCGTTCATCCAGCAGCTTCCTTGAGCTTCAGATACCTTCACAAATCCAAGTAATACCATCTTCAACGCCGCCAAAATGACTGATCTCTGGTATGTCGAACAACTATTCCCTTGACGCCTCCCGCTCCTACCTTCTTGCCTTGTTTTTGAGATAAGAATCTCCATGAGATTTGTATTCTTATATACCATTACAATTACTTCTATGCCTTGATCCAAGTACTGATAGCAATTATGATAGTCCCGTATACGCGGTTAGTTCCCCCCGACTGCCACCTCCGATGTTCAACCCAACCAACCGTTGATTCGGCATCCAACAACATCAATATCTATCCATATCAAAGCACCATACTAATTAATTTATAGCCATTCTTCGGCGCCATGGGCTGCACAGCTGCCATCGTCTTCACTTGTTTCGGTGCTGCATATGGAACTGCTAAGTCTGGTGTTGGTATTTGCGCAATGGGTGTTCTCAGACCTGACCTGATCGTCAAGAGTGAGCTATGTTCATCAGGTATTTAAGGGCTTTACTAATATACTACACAGACATTGTCCCAGTTATCATGGCTGGTATTATTGGTATCTACGGTCTCGTTGTCTCAGTTTTGATTTCCGATGGGCTTAAACAAGAGCTCGCATTATATACTGGTTTCATTCAACTTGGTGCTGGTCTTAGTGTCGGTCTCGCTGGTCTGGCTGCTGGTTTCGCTATTGGTATTGTTGGTGATGCAGGTGTGAGAGGAACAGCTCAACAACCACGTCTCTTCGTCGGAATGATTCTTATTTTGATTTTCGCCGAAGTTTTGGGTAAGATTCAAATTTCTCTTTTTGCTATGAATAGTGACTTACTTAATTGGCAGGTCTATACGGATTGATTGTTGCTCTTCTCATGAACTCAAAGGCATCTCTGGATGTTTCTTGCTAAATGGATCACTTCCTCCGAGAGAGCCTCGAGACAATCTGAACGCACTTCTCTCTCCTGCGACAAACTGTGAATATATGAATGGGTTATAATGATGGCCTTCGAGGATGAATTCGGGTGGGAGCTATGAGTAGAACAATCCATGGCTAAAATATATGTATTGTTGTTATTCTACAAATTTCGGCGTTTCCGACAATGCATTAGAAGTAGAGATGGAGGTGGAGGAGGTCAAATTGACCGTGTATGCTAGTAGTTCCTATTCTTGGTAGCAATCATATGATGTTAGGTTTTTGATTTCGAAACGAAGGATCTGACACATGCATCCGCATCCTGTTGAATCTTTGCAAGTTGAGACATCTCGAAAAATGATGAATTTTGAAATGAAGCCCGAATTTCCAGGACGAGTTCCAACGATCAAGGCGCTTACGAAAAAGCTAACCTGATTGGTAGCTTGTAATCACTCATGCACGTGTTACAAGTATCAAATTCCCTAAAAATACTGCACTACACAAATCCCAGGTCTTTGAGTAACTTCGATCACGGTAAGATCACAATGAAATACGGCACGCGTTGGTTCATCCTATTGCAGCATGTGCTGTCCGTTTTCGTTTGGTGACTGAATCCTCGGTACTTTTTACATCTACTCAGGAGGATCTACAGCATTGCAAGATACCTACCAATGTCATGATCTTAGTACAGTCATCCCAATGAAACGAATACATACATATGGCAACCGTGTTGACGCGAGAATGTACCATTTTTGACGTGAAGGTATCGGTATCGGCATACAGCATTTGCCTTTCCCAATTCCCGGGAAAGTATTCTCCCATGTCGGCCGGCTGCAACCCCACATCTATGAGGGGCACCCGTAGTATGATGTATACTTCTCTATATAAGTTTGGAACCGTCTGTAAGTTCCATTGAAGTATCTGCAAATTTGATCAGTGGTATGAAGTATCATAACGTCAATTCTATCTCCATACTCTCATTGTCTCAAACTACCAAGCACAACCTTCCTCGATACCTTCGGATTTTCAGAAAAACACAAACTCACCTCATCCACCAAACCACACACACCAAAATGCGTCTTCCCTACGCCGATCCCTCTTCCACAACATTCTCTTCTCCTGCCGACCGCGCAATAATTGAACGTGTTGAAGCACGCCGTGCACCACGTCCTCTCCAACCCTTGGACTTAACATTATTACATAGTCCCCCGGTTGCAGATGGCTGGAACTCTTTTCTCGGAGCAGTGAGAACGCAAACGGGGTTGGCGGATGATATTAGAGAGATAGCGATTTGTAGAGTCGCTATTTGTAATAGGGCTTGGTATGAATGGGGACATCATGCGCCGTTGGCGCAGAAGGGAGGGGTTAGTGATGAGGGGATGAAGGTGCTTAAGAGGGAGAAGTGTGATAGGGAGGGAAAGGGTGATGAGAATGGGGATGCGGAGGGATTGAGTGGGAAGCAGTGGGCAGTGGTTAAGTATACGGATGAGATGACAAGGAATGTTAGGGTGCCGGAAGAGGTTTTTGAGGAGTTGAAAAGGTGGTTTGATGAGAAGGAAATTGTTGAGTTGACGGCTACGGTAAGTCAGCTTTCTGTCAAAGAGATTTGAGGTTAGGGATGGTCGGAGATGTGTGGACTCGAAACAGAGTGATATGATAGGGACCGAAAATTGTCATATGCGTCTTGACGGTGACAGTAAAGGCTGATCATGAAACACAGATTGCAGCATACAACTGTGTGAGCAGATTCCTGGTGGCTTTAGATGGTAAGTCTTTCCATGCGTGTTCCATTGCATCATATCATGCTCCTCTTGATTGACCCCTCATCAATCAATTTTTGTACTCCTCTCTAACACCTACCTGATAGTTGGCGAAAGGAACAAACTTACTGGTCCCGATGATGTGGCTCATTAACCTTGCTTCTTACTTGGAGCATCGCAATACCGACATAAAAATGCGGAATGTACCCTCAAATCCCGAGGTACATACATGTATCTAGTAATAATATACCCTCTATACAAGGGTAGACATCGAATTCCATGTACGGTATCCAATCTCCTCATCAGTATCTCAGCCTAAAACTCTCCACATTATATGGAAAATAGAAAATGTACGAACATGTAGCAAAAGTTGTTAGATGCATAACATAACAGTAGCTACAGCATATGAGACGACGCACTGCATGGAGCCCGTTATATCAGCAATTTTATAACAGCTCAAGATCAACCTCGAAATTCCAAATCACTCTCCAGCCCCAGAGTTGTACAAAAATGCACTTGTTTTTCTTCCCGTCTTTTCAGGGCGTTCTTAACCTCTATTGAAACTCAACTCCATTGGTGATCCATTCGGATCCGAAGATATATTCCCGCTCCAATAATATCTCATCATTTTGGCAATCACCATTACACCAAATGCTCCTCATTTGAATGATATGATATCTACACATTTTCCCACTCTACCCCTCATTCATTCAGTATCCAGTAGATAGTTAACTCCTCTTCGAGTCGAATTCTATCCTGTGTTGTGTTCAAGCATTTCTCTCCTTAACCCCTCCTCATGGCCACTCAACTCTTTAAAAACCATTCACACCCACACAACTCTCTAAAACTCATTGCACAACAACAATTTTGGCTATGACAAAGCGCAAAAAGACCTCGGGAACAAAAGAAGGGGTTCTTCCAATACACCTTCCTGCATCTTTATACTCACTCTGTAGACCATTAGATTTGTGGTAGGCTGAACTTATATCATACCATACCATGCTATGCCATACGATGCGATGTAACATAAGGAGGAACTTTGATATGCGGTGTTACTTGCACTATACTACCTAGTAGATTAGGAATATTTGAGGTGCGCAGTGTGGGAATTCCCCCAGATTTGTTGAATGGTTTTGGAGAATGGAAATAGACACTAGGAAGCTTTTTGGGGACTTTCGTGGTTGCTTTTCTAGCTTGTGTTTATATCTAGTTGTCTGGTGATCCTGTTCCTGTAGACGATGGGTTATGGGAGTTGTGTTATGTTCCGCTTGTCTTTGCCTTTGTCCTTGACTTCTACTGTTGATGGTTTGGGTATGTTTAGTTTTTAGGTTGTATTTGAGGTTGGTAAATGTTTTGGAGTTACAGTAGGTAGTTGAAGATTTCGAGATCGTCCATAGGTAGGTACCTAAGGTTCCCTATCATTTGTACTCGTGACCTTTTGTTCTTCCCAGTGACCTATTGACCTTTGAGAATGGGTTTGCGAAAAAAGTCCTCGTTGAATAGGTGTCAATATATATCCATTTCACATAACCCTATATCGCCGAGCTCATCTACATTACCTGACGTTGTCAGAAACTTCAATATCGCCATCGTCATTGTCATTGGGCGAGATACCTCTCCCTATATGCAAGATCTTTACCCCCCCTTCGAGGATGCATATGATGGTCTGGGGAAATTGTGTTTTTAAGCAAGTAGTACCATTTACATATGTAGAACGACATATCGGTCGCTACCTCTTATACTCATCTTCCCATTTCCTCTCCGTGCATCTAGACGCTCTCCTACATATGAAGTTTTCAAGCCACTTTATTGCGGTACTTCAATGTAGGTATGCGTACATATCCCAAGCGCTTTCTACAGGACATATGTACAAGCAGAAGAAAATCCTTCATGCTAATATAGTACTAAGATAATCTTAGGTTGCATCGTATAGAAATTCCCAACGAGTAGAACATTCATTCTTCACCATGCTTATGACAAGTAAAATACCTGCACATTCGTCATATTATATTCCCTAAGATTTCCTTGGTACTAGATACTAAGTATGCATTTCCACATTATAATCTCATATCATATATCACACATCTAATATAACCCATGAGCATGAGTAAAGCTTATGTAAAACGTCATCTGAGCATACAATCCCTCCGCCTCCACAAACAGAAAATCCATCTTTACGAGCGGGGCTGAGCGGACTTGCTCCTTTGGGGAGGCCGTATATTATTGCTAGATTACTGTGACACTTTTTTCTTAAATTTCTACTTGTACATGTACAGAGTAAAGATCTTGTATGTAAGCAATATAGCCATGACAAATTTTGATGTGACAAACTGATAAGAAAGTCGTTATCGATGTGCATCTGCATTTGCATCTGCAGGAGGGGACGGAGCCTCCGTTACGGAGGGGAGGGGAACTAGTATGTATATAGAAGTTTCTCGGGTTTTTATTTTTGAGGGATTGAGTATTCTACACTACGTATTGTTCGATGTCGATGGTGGATGGTGCCAAGAGGAAATATATTATGAGGAGGATGTACTATGTAGTGAGTGATACGAAAAAAATTGATCAGGGAGCTAACAAAGCATTCGACTGTTGTATGTACTCCGTATTTTACTGATATGGATATGTATGAGGTAGAACTAGAAGTACGGAGTACGTATAAAGTATAACTAGGATTAGCTCTGGTTAAAAATACATTTCTTGGCTTCTCTTTTCCCGATTCTATGGTTGGTGCATGATATGGTACTAGGTATTGAATGTAATGGGGGCATTAGCTATACTCTATAGAATAACGGGCAGTATTATCGAACCCCTCCATCTCCATCTCGATTTTTTCCCGTTCAAGAGTGGATATATTCGACGGGACGGGGTGATATTGACTCCGTAAATCAAACCATACCATTGAATTTGAATGGGAAAGGAAAGGAAAAAGCTTTTTCCCTCATACATGATACATACCATCTTCGAACTAGCTATAGGTACATACATGCATAAGTACCATCAACATCGCGTCAACCTTCCCAAAATACCTACCTAGCTAACCTACCCAATAACAAGCCCTACCATATTCGGCTCGTACTTTGTACTCCGTACACGCGGATGCATAGGCTACCTAGAACTGGACCCCTAAAGGTAAATTCCACTTGGTAGGTACCACCGTAGTCTGTACGGAGAGTACCTAGAGACTAGTACCTACCAGCTAGCATGTATGATATGTACGGTATGTACCGGTGTTAGCGTTATGTAAATACGGTTGCATATATCCGAGCGTATTGTAGGTATTGTTAAATTATACGAGGATACTAGATTAGGAAAGGCGCCGGGAATTAGATGAGATGAGATGATGGACGAGTTCTTGAACACCCCTTGTAATGGGCTGCGAGCCCACCAGTAGTTACCCACCGGCGCAAAAGAGAATGTACCATGTTGAATTTCCACGTTTTCCTTTGGGTGGGGATTTGGTTGATGGATGATGGGATGGGGTGGGTTGGGAATGGCATGGCAAGTACCTACTGGTCATATCATGTGAGGTGAGATGATACCTATTTGCGGATTCTCCATGGATAGTCCGCCGAATGGGAATTCGGTATTCGGAAGGTCTGGTGGAATGGATTGTGATAGTTACATGTGTGTTTGGAGATATGAGGGCGATGGTAGAATGAGAATCACTTCGATGCCATTGATTAGTTACTAGATATACTACAACAGAAACCAAACCTCATCTGGTAGTTTCCCGATAGTTTGAGGACGTTTTGCTCCCTTCGGCATTGAATATATGTATATAATCGGCAAGACAAAATGGTGTGAAAAATCGAGGCCGAATAATTCCTTCTGACCCAGATAATAGATCATGCATTTGAACGTTGCAACATCATATTAACCTTATCTCAGCCTCTCATCCGTTCTGCACTACACATGGCGAAATTTCTGCGAAACAGCGAAAAGCGAGAATTTGCCATCTCACCTCATGTCATATCGTGTATCCCGAGAGAAGAAACATAAAAATGAGAAAAAAAATAACCTTATTTCGTATGACACACTCCCCACTGATTCGTCCATGGTGAATATTCCCGGTATCTTTTGTTTGAGTGAGGAGTGAGATGATATGAGGTGATGTGATAATGATATTATCTATGACACCCGAAGGAATTCCTCGAATCACGAGCGAGGAATCAGGGTTCCACATGGACAGCGGACTAATTCCGAAAAGGAAAGATTTCGAAGAATCAGGGGCCATGCAGGTTACATGTTAACAAGATGGGGGAGAATTGGGAATCTTTAGGATGATTTAGATGCTGACGACGTGCTGCTGAAGGGAATCCTACGGTACCTATTATGGGAGTTGGGTTTCTCATGGGTTGAGATGAGATGGCAAGGGATGTGAGGATGAGATCTGCTCCAGGTGGGTTTTTTGGCGTTGGGGTTTTGGGTGTTGGGTTTTGGGCTGGCTGGCGGTAGGTGATCTGCTACGAATCCTACAGACGTTATTTTAATGTTTGGGCTAAGCTTCACTGAGGACCTCAGCGCGAGCTGCGTTAAAATACTCTAAATGTAAGCGGCGAAAGAGGATGGGTAGGACGAGGCTAGATGAGATCATCCGCGCTGTGTAACCGTGTAAGGTTCATTGAGTACGGGTGTTTTGGGGGTGGATCGACGTCTTGTGCTAGGATTGATGAAGCTTAAAATATTGTGGTCTAGGTGTTGGGTAAATTACGAATAGAGAATTATATGAGTGAATATTGATCAATAGAATAGAATGGACTAGATTTCGAGGTCAAAGATTCCTAGGTATGCATCTACATTGGAAATAACAGTCAAACATGTACATATCTTCAACTCGCTTCTGTATCCCATGCCATCCAGCCTCCAAACCACCGGGCAAAGACTCATCTTGCCTCCATCCCGAATCAAAAAAAGAAACAAAACAATCATGTACACGCCAGCGCAAAAAACCGAGGAACGAATCTTGGCGTCAGCCCGCATGAGAAAAGTACGAGGGACACGAGGATGAAAACAGCAAGAAGAGAAAGTTGTAAAACTCCAGGATGGAGCGCACTAAGGACGAGCTAGAGCACACTAGAGATCTTTACCGACGATGAAATTGTAATGTCAGCAAGACGACGACCAGGGATCCCACTGACATCTCATATCGTAAGCAGCGCAAATTTTTGGTGAGGAGACTTAGGTAATGAGGAATGGGTGAAGAGGAAGACTCAGGAAGCATTGTGAATGGATGAAGAGACCCCCACAAAGCCATGCTTCTTCCGTACCCCGAGCCCACGCAGTGCAACCTCGTAGTGAACCCCTACCTACCACATGAAAAATAGCCAGATCAGAAGAAAATTAGAAATTGAAGATCTTGACTGGTGGAAGCAGCTTGCGGAGGGTCAGGATCGTGGATACTATTTTATTGCAGAGGAGGTCATGTACCTCCGTATGCCTCGTTATTCCCATGCAGCGAGTATGGTAGCCATGCCATTCCATGTCCTACGAAAAAGTGGTTACCGCTTCCTTTGAGCTTTTGGCCATCGATGATTGGATGAAGGGTTGCCTCGGGCGGTATTGTCTGTGATGAACAGCGGTATGCGAGTCTGGAGTGTTTGTTTTTGTGATTCCGCGACAGCGATAGGGCTTATTCGTTTTGGAATTTGGTGGTATCCACCTGGGATGCACCCGTCCAGTGGCCAGTGGGATTATCTTTGCCCGAACCACAATGAGGATGGAGGATTTAAAGTTACTGAAACCCCCTTCGATTATACTTGCCCAAATATCATTTGATCATCATACCCTCGCAAGACTCACGTCAGACTTGAACCTCCTTTTGATCTCATAAACACTCGCTGCTTTCGCTCAATAACATTACTCTACTTTTCAATAACAATACATATTCACATTTCGATATGGAGAGAGGTCATTTTGTCCATCACGACGGTTCTACCGATTCATATTTGATGCATGGAGACATGAATCTATACGATACCTCGAGCGAGTCTTCAGCAAGCTCACCACTCAACAGCCATGTACGTTCACACTCTACCAAGCGTTTCTTTTCAAAATCTCATGATTTCTTTAGACTTTCGATCACGTATATGGAGGCCACGATCACGTATACGGAGCACACACATTTATGACATATCCATCCTTTCCCATACAATACCAACCAAACGGCGTACCGATGGGTTTGATACCGGTGGAGCTAGATATCGAAGGCATTTACGAAGATCATGATCGACGAAGGAGAAAGAATGGAAATGAGAAAGTAGTTTCTCCACACGTGCATTCGGTAAGTGAACTCGCTCTTCTGCCGAGCGAACGGAATGCGATGCTAATTCCACATAGCGTCGCCGAGCCCAAAATCGAGCTTCTCAACGAGCTTTCAGGGATAGGAAAGAGAAACATATGCGGGAGCTTGAGCAACGATTGGAAGAGCTGGAGGGTCGTCACAGTGCTCTATCGAGATCATATGAGTCTCTACAAGTGGAGTATTCGGGCGTCAAACAGGAGCTGGATCGATTGCGTAAAGTGAAGACCAATCCCGAACGTTCGGCGTCGCCGTCACCGAGAGAATATGCGCAATCCAATCTTAAAGCTTGGGATGAATCAAAGGTGGAAATTATGGATCCCTTGCTATTCGACGTTTCTGCGTTCTGCTTTGATCAGGATGAGACTGGACCGCAGCACAAAGAGCAGGTTGTTTGATTCGGGTGTGGTTTCCGGCGTTGGTGGCAAGGAGCATGGGGGTTGGATTGTAAAAGACGGATAAGACTGGGCTCTTGGTGGACCTGGAGTGGAGGCACACTCTTTCTGCCGTTAGGAGTTTCTGTTAGTATCCGCATTTATCATATGCTTCACTTTGTATGTACGATATATACCCAATGATAATAGTCTCTGGCGTTTTTATGATACCTGAGTTTCTGAACGATAAGCCTTGATCCTGGTGAAGTTCTTCGGTTGAGAACATCCGAGTCTCCCATGATATGGTGGACAGGACACAGCATGCGGTGATGGAGGTGCGGGTAGAGAGTATGCATTTGTGTGGTAGTACAAGGGACTCTAGACGCAACGCCGTCGATAGCTTTTATCATACGAGTGGAAGAAGTACGCAAGCCACAAATTTGGAGAGATCAATCAGAATCAGATACCGTAGCATTTCAATGCATTGAACATGATTATCTTTCTAGAGAATAAATTCTAATGACGATGTTGTGCTATCATCATCTCCATTTACTCCATACATGAACAGATACTTCTGCGAGGAGAAGGAATAGTTATGAGTTACTTACTGTGTCGTGATTCGTCCTTTTCGCTCTCAAGACTCGGATATCCTGGATCGTATGCCATGAAGATGTCACAACATATGCTGGGTACACATATCTCTGCAATGCCAACATAATACCAGGTGATCAATCAAAGTCCTAGAATTAATCGTTGATATGATTGGAAAAGATATGTTCTTAAGCTTCAGGGTCCCAACCATTAACTTACTAACGAATAATCATAAAGGTAGACTCGCATTGAATATTCATCCTTGATCCCTTGGGAAGAAATGTTTTTGTCTTGAAGAGAAGAGAAGAAAAGAGAAGGCAAGACTCAATACTTGAATAAACTATTAACCAATGCCAGGGATGGATCGATGGCATTGGTCAGAATGTATTTCCAACACCAACGTTGGACCGTCTGCAACTCGGGGTAGCAAACACAAGACTTTAAAATGTTGGTATAGTTATCTATCCCGAGTGATGGTACTGAGTAGAAATAACCAGTTGGCTGTGGTGTTTGGTAAGATCTTACTTTTTTGGTTTCTTTATCTGCCTTACCTTTAGGAAAGGGTTTCAGGGACGAGTCGAATAAATGCTTGGATGATGTCTTGGCTCTCCGAAGAATGCTTTTCTTAAAACCGATGAAAGTGAGGTAGGTTAAAAATCACGATATTATTTTCATTGCAAATTTGAAAAGATTGCTCGCTGTTTTTCTTTGCATGATTTCCTAAGGAGATGGGTTGTGGGATGATGTGTAATTAGTCATGGAAGAATGAGTTCTAGACTAAGCGCCTGGAGCTCATCTAGTTGGAAAACGCGAAATTATACTTTTAGAGTCTGTTGATGACAGAGCTGCAGGCTATTCGGAGCCGATTAAGAGCGAGGGCGAGAACTGGAGGGCCATTCTCCATAGCTGGATGAATATGTACCCTTCCTGGTATGACTTATAAGTAGTATATGATATCTCACTTGGTAGTAAGTAACACACACATAATCATACAATATTTAAATGCTAGTCCCTCCGCAGATATTCCCTTTCTACTCCTTCACCGGGAAATTCTTTCTGCTGAGTAAAGACCAATTTTAGATGGCAAAAACCACAATAAAGTGGATTCATTCACCGAGCTTCTATATTCTGTGACGCAAATTCACCCCACCATACCGAAACAGCCAATACGCTCAACAACGTTTGGGTCCGCCCCTCCTTTTTACTTTAAACATCTTCTTTTCCAACTCACTCATCTCTTCCTTTCCCAACACCTTTCTTTAAAGAATTTCAATCTCCATTATACCCAATATACCCAGAAGAGATTTCATATAATACAATCGCAATCATGGGTTTCACAGACGTTGACAGACTTGCTATCAACACCATCCGTGTTCTCGCTGTAAGTTTTTCCCTGTTTCCATTGGAATTTGCCCCGCGATCGGATACTGGAAGCTTCCCTCCAAACCACAACTCAGCATCAACATCTTCAAAACAAGTACTAACATCTTGATTTCAAGGCCGATGCTACAGCTAGATCGAACTCAGGTCACCCCGGTGCTCCTATGTCAGTTCTGCAGAGTTGGTACATTTTAATATCGGTTTGCTGATGAAGGTTTTAGGGGAATGGCACCAGTTGCCCACGTTCTTTTCAACAAGATCATGAACTTTAACCCAAAAAACTCAAGCTGGGTTAACCGTGATAGATTTGTTCTTTCGTAAGTCATAGCCATTTTTTAACTCAATTGAGTTCCTTACGCATCGATGTCCTTTGATACCTGATGCACTCACTGCCTACGCATTTGAAGAAGCAAGGTTCATTCGGAGGGCTACAGTCATCATAATATATGGAAAATTTAGATCTGGCATGACTTGATTCTTAATTTTGTGTTGCTGCCAAAGCAGTCTTGGAAGAGTATTCGAGATTTAGAGGCTAATTGTCCGCAAATCACAGTAACGGACATGCATGCATGCTCCAATATGCCCTTCTCCACCTTTACGGTTACAAGTTGTCCATGGATGATATTAAAGCTTTCAGAGTTAGTAGCCTCATTATATGAAATACCGACATTCAGCTAATCCGTTACCTACCAGTCGATAGATAGTCATACTCCTGGTCACCCAGAAGCTGCTGATACCGATGGTGTTGAGGTCACCACTGGTCCTCTAGGTCAAGGCATTGCCAACGCTGTTGGTCTCGCCATCGCACAACAACACGCAGCTGGGGAGTTCAACAAGCCCGAATTCGAGCTCATCAACAACTACACATACTGTTTCCTCGGTGATGGATGTCTGATGGAGGGTGTTGCCAGTGAAGCCTGTTCAATGGCCGGTCACTTGCAATTGGGGAACTTTATTGCTATCTACGATGATAATCACATTTCCATTGATGGTGACACCAACGTTGCTTTCACTGAAGATGTCGTAAAGCGTTTTGAATCATATGGATGGCACGTCGAGACTGTCACCGATGGTGACAACGATTTGGAAGCAATGGAGGCTGCTATCAAGAAGTGCCAAGCCGTTAAGGACAAGCCTTCCATGATCAAGCTCAGAACTATCATCGGTTACGGATCTAAGCAACAAGGCACCCACGGTGTCCACGGATCCCCTCTTAAGGCTGATGACATTAAGCAACTCAAGGAGAAATTCGGTTTCGATCCCGAGCAATCTTTCGTTGTCCCACAAGAAGTTTACGATATTTGCCACCAGCGCGCTGACCATGGTGCCGCTTTGGAGCAAAAGTGGAACGAATTGTTCGAGAAGTACGGCCAAAAGTACTCTTCTGAGGCTACTGATCTCAAGCGCCGCTTGAAGGGAGAGCTTCCAGAAGGATGGGAGAAGAACCTTCCAACTTACTCCCCATCCGATGACGCAGTCGCTTCAAGAAAATTGTCCGAGATCGTTCTCCAAAAGATTCACGAGGCTATTCCAGAACTTGTTGGTGGTTCAGCAGATTTGACTGGCTCCAACTTGACCAGATGGAAGGAGGCCGTCGATTTCCAACCTCCCGCTACCGGTCTTGGTGATTGGTCCGGACGATACATCAGATATGGTGTACGTGAGCACGCCATGGGTGCTGTCATGAACGGTTTGGCTGCATACGGAACCGTTATTCCATACGGTGGAACTTTCCTTAACTTTGTTTCATACGCCGCTGGTGCAATCCGTCTCTCTGCTTTGTCTCAAGAGCGTGTTATCTGGGTTGCCACTCACGACTCAATTGGTCTTGGTGAGGATGGACCAACTCATCAACCTATTGAGACTTTGGCTCATTTCCGTGCTCTCCCTAACTGCATGGTCTGGCGCCCAGCTGATGGAAACGAGACTAGCGCAGCTTACTACGTTGCATTGACCTCCAAGCACACTCCTTCCATTATCGCCCTCTCCCGCCAAAACCTTCCTCAACTCGAGAACTCCACCATTGGTAACGCCATCAAGGGTGGTTACGTTGTGCACGACGCTGAGAAGGCAGATATTACCCTTGTTTCCACTGGTTCCGAGGTCGGTATCTGTGTTGATGCTGTCAAGTACCTCAAGGAGAAGCACAACCTCACAGCACGTGTTGTCTCTATTCCTTGTTTCGAGGTCTTCGATGCTCAATCCAACGAGTACAGACTCAGCGTTTTGCCAGATGGTATCCCATCGTTGTCCGTTGAAGTTATGTCAACCATGGGCTGGGAACGTTATACCCACGAGCAATTCGGTCTCAACAGATTTGGTGCCTCCGGTGCTTACAAGGATGTTTACAAGGTACGTTCTCACATTCAAATAGATTTAGATTTTACGAACAGTGCTAATTCCCATTTTAGAAGTTCGAATTTACACCAGAAGGTATCTCCAAGCGCGCTGTCGCCACTGTTGATTTCTGGAAGGACGTCCCCAACATCCGCTCTCCTCAACAGAGCTTTCAAGCAACTTATCTAGATATTTTGACAAGATTTTGCGTTTGGGTTATGGGGCATATATGAATAATGCAGGTCATAGGTGTAGTCCGCCAAATAGACTATGAAAATAAGCAAATGATTTACGACGAACCATTAATTATATGTGCATCTGTGTTGCATTTGGGCTTTTTTGAAAGATATTTGTGGCCCAAGCTCTTCAGCCTCGGTCTCCCAGAATACCCCTCTTTTCGCATCTACATGATATCTAATTTCCCCATTTCGTTTTTGAAAATACCAATTGACCTCCGCCCAAAAGCTTTTGTTTATGTGCGATAAGTAAGCAGCTTCATCTCGCTAGTGTATGTTCAATTTATTCTTCACATCCATCCGGAAACTCGATCCCAAGTGTTCAAATGGTTCAACCATCCCCAGCTGTATCCTCGTCCTCTTCTTCCTTCTTTACTTCTGCCGTATCTTTCATCAACTCATTTTGAAACCCGTGCGCAACAATCTCAATCCTGTGTGCCGCCCTCCTTGCCTCCCCTATTTGCTCTGCCGATCTAGCCACAACCGTTCCCACCAATAAAGGAGCCTGAACTCCCTCATCCTTCACATCATGATGTTCTTGTTCGGAATGGCTCCCCTCAGTTGTACCACTCAACGGTCGCATATCTTCTCGGGCCGCAGATATGATTTCTAAACCTCGTATGCTCGATCCTCCATTAATGTTTTCTAACCCATTCATTCGAGCGCCATATGCGTGGTTATGTATAGGTCGGCTACGATGTCGACCGGAAGTTGACTGAGCGGCCGATGATGTAGGGGCAATAAAGGAATGGAGAAGAATGGGACCCGAGGGGGCGGTCTCGACGATTATGCGTTGCGGGGTCCCGAGCTTTAAATGCACAGAAGAATTGTAGGCAGAGAGGGCGGTGGATGTTAGGGCAGTGAGAGATTGAATTTGGGCGGGATTAGCTCGGGAGGTGGAGGAAGTGGACGATGAGGAAGTTGAGAGCAGCGGGGTAAGTGATGAATCTGTTAAATGGAGGGCGATATTGGGGTTCGAGTTGGGATGTAGGTTGGAAGAGGAGGAGGAAGACGTCATTGTTGGTTGTGGAAAGGTTGGTTGGACCGGGGATAAATGCAAACGATAGATAGTGATATGTGTGTGTAAGTGTAACAATACAATTGATAAAGTAATTTGATTGATTGATTGATTTAATTTGTAAAAAATCCCAGACCCTCATAGAAATAGGAGAAAAAGAATCCCAATCTGCAAATAAATTGTAATTAATTACCAGAAAAGACGTCAGATGAAATCAAATGAAATCAAGATGGCTAGAATAGATAGGAAATTGGAGATCAACTGATAAAGGAAACAACAGCTAAGGTGGGTATACCGATGGATAGGATTGGATTGGATTTGGAGTGAAAGAGCCTAAAACCATAGGTGACCTACCTAGTATGGTATGCTTATCGGCAAAGGTTCGAGTGTGTTAACTTTAGGTACCCTTGTCGGTAAAGCGGGAGCTAATAATTAGCGTGGTTATGGCTTGTGAAGGGTTTACGGAGGGACAAGCTGGTCTGAATGATCTTTAATGAATTTGATGACTCTGCGCGCGACATTTGAGGAATAGAGGATTTTTTAAAGACGATATTTTTTGTTAAGGAAGAAGAAGGGTTTCGGGATTGAGAATTGAGTATATTGATTGAATTTACTGATTATATTTGAATATGGCGGATGCGGAGGAAAAGGCAAAGGCGGAAAAGTTGGCTGCGGCTAAGAAACGTGTAGGTTGTCCCTGTTTGTTATGAGGGATGAATGTTTGAAGTGCGGGGCTTGGAGGGGGGTTAGGGAGATTTATTGAGGGGAGTTACTGATTAGTGATATATAGGTGGAGGAAATGAAAAAGAAGAAAGCGAAGAAGGCGGGCGTTAAAAAGGAAGAGAAAACCGAAACTGCAGGTCCGAAGAGTGAAGAGACGATTGAGACGACTGAGACGACTGCTGCAGTACCATCTGAAGCTCCAATTGAAGCGCCAGTCGATACTTCTACCGAAATACCAATCGCTCCCGAGGAGACAAATATCGAGGAAGAAAAGAAAGAGGAAACCCCCCCAGAAGTTCTAGAAAACAAGGATAAGGATGAAGATGAGAAGGTATCGGAACTCAGTTCTGCTTCGAGACATGGAAGGTCGCCCTCGTTGTCGGTGCAATCTAAGATGAGGTCATCTTCTTTTAGACAGGCTTCAGGAGCTCTTTCGCCGGAAATTGCTTTCAGTCCTAGTGGTGATACGGCGCCGGATATTTATAGGAAACAAGCTTTGAAGATTGAGGAATTGGAGAAGGAGAATAAGAAGTTGAGTAAAGAAGCGGTAGATGCAGAGAAGAGGTGGAAAAAGGCCGAAGAAGAATTAGAGGATTTGAGGGAGGCAGAAGGGGAGTCTTCTAAAGGCGAGAAAAGTACTGGTAGTGGGTCTTCTGAGGAGGTGGAGAAGTTGGTAAGTGCTGGAGGATATTGTGAGTTGTTTATAGAGCTAATTGAGTCTTGCAGAAATCGGAAATCGCGGCTCTCCAACGACAGAATACACAACTTCAGGTTTCATCCTCGCGAAAACATGTATCTTCGCCTTCGATGTCGGTTCCGGTACCATCAGATTTGGAAGCCGAGCTAAGATCTAAGTCTTCAACAATTGAGTCTATGGAAATTGAAATTTCTAATCTTCGGGCACAGCTTGAGCGTGTCGCATCAGGATCATCTGTGGAAAAGGAACAAATTACCGCTCTTGAGGATAAGTTAGCAAGAAGTGAAAAGTTGGCTGCAAATGCGCAACGCGAATTGGGAGATTTGAAAAAGAACCTCGAAAGAACGACTGAGAAAGCTGTTAAAGAAGGTAGTGAACGCATATCCGCAGAAACAAAATTACGAACACTAGAAAGAGAAGCAGAGGAAGCTAAAGCACATAGCGATGAACTTCAGAAGAAAGTGGAGGCGCTTGAAAAGAAAGTATCTACACTTACGACGCTTCATAAAGAGCACGATGCTCGATCGCAAGCTCAGAAGAAAGAACGTGAAAAAGTGGAGAAGGAAGCATCAGATCTCCGAATTCGATTTGCCAGTGTCGAGAATGAAAATTCTCGTCTGAAGGAAGAAAGGGATAGGTTGAAGAAACGAGATGCACAAGGAATTGATGATGATGGGGTTGATGAACTAGAGAATGAGGAGAGACAACGCTTGGAAAGGAAAGTCAGAGATTTGGAAGCCGAAGTCCATGATTTAAGAAGAGGAGTATGGAGAGATCGAAGAAGAGAAATGGAAGGTGAAGGAGATGATACGAGTCCAGGAGCAAGATTCACAGATGTAGATTTAGGTGGAAGTGGAAGTCCTCATAGGAGAAAGAGTGGAGTTGTGCACCAAGGAAAGGGCATCGGAGATTATCTAACAAGTGGCTTTAATGCTATTACTGGCGGTACGGCACCTCTAGGTTTGGGTCATGCACATGGAGGAGGGGAAGATGATGATGATTTATTGGATGATGATGATTTACTCGAATTTGATGAGGAAGCTTTTAGGAAGGCACAGCAGGAGGAGGCGATGAAGAGGATCGAGAGGGTTAAGGAGGTTAAGCGGGCGTTGAAGAATTGGGAGGGTTGGAGGTTGGATTTGGTCGAGAATAGGAGTGCGGGTGGTGAGGGGGTGGGGGAGATTTTTGAGATTTAGAAGGGTTGTGGGGTGTGGGGAGATGGGGGATGGGATTTGGCTGATTGTGATTGTGATGGGTGATAAGTGATGAATGGGAATTGTGGATTGGGAATTGAGATTTGTGAGTTAGAGATATGAGGGTGTATGATGGATGGATGGATCGATTGATGGATTGATGGATTGATCGTTTGTGAATGTAAGATTAAGAACAAAATTAGGAATTTAAAATTATAACTTAGTAAATACAGAGTTATATGAATAGTATAAATACATACTTTAAACTTAAGTGGATATACAGGCAGGCTAGTTAATTTACGGTGTACAGCTATATGATATAGTATGGTAGGTATTCTATGTTGTTGATTCATAGGTAGGTATCTAATCATATCATATTTAATTATATCATGCTGTGATATGCAAGTCCATATCCATATCCAATTCCAATTCCAATTCCAATTCCAAAAATGTAGAGGTAAAAGCACGCCAGTCCATCCAAAAGGGGGTATATCTCTGCTCCTATATCGTTCAATCCCATCCCATTTCAATCCAGCCCAGTCCATCCCAAACCATTCAATCCAACCTATTGCCAATACCCAATATAATCAAAAATCCCTCCCCCTAAATTCCATAATTCCATCCATTCCATCACCACCTCATCTCATCTCATGTCTCTACCCTCTCTAACGCTGGTACCACCTTTACTTTTCCTCGAGCTTTCTCTTCTTCTCCTATTCTTCCATTCATAAATTTCTTTTTCGTTAAGATGCGCGTCGAGTTCGTGGATGATGCATCCGTTGTGCTTATTGTGTTTCATAAAGTTGATATTCCATTTCCTATTTCCCAATCCATTTTCTGTTTTCTGATTCCAATTTCATGCTTGATTTCTGATTGCTTCTGTTCATAATTTCATTTCCTTCGTTTCATGTTCATGTAGTCGTAAAGAGTGTTGTCTACCGTTTATTTCGTAAAGATTTTGCTCAAATATATGCCCCTAGTCGTGTTGTTGCTCATTGAAGAGGCGATGGATGGTGTAATGATTTATGTTCGTGCTGTATGATGTATAAGTACCTATGCAACGATACTCAAAAGCGTCTGGATTCCTCTCTTTCAATTAATTCCAATTGAATATTCGGTGATTTCCTTTTGAGATAATTGAGTCAATTCCCTAAGGAAAATGAGCAAACTTCTCATTTCTCGGACTTCCAATTGAAGAACTTTGTTCCACTGATGCTCTCCTCTTATGCATCAAAGGACTGCTCTGCAATTCATTCACAACCCCCATCCAACCACTTCTCTGTGGACTTCCAGTGCCCTCATTATGTCCTATAGCATTACTGGTAATCCTTCTTAACGGCGGCGTACGTTTAATATTCTCACTCAAATTACTCGGAAGTGTTCTACTCCGAATAGGAGAACCGAGGGATCCAATCCCCATACTAGAAACTTTATCCGCATCTTCCTTTTCCCTTTCTTTCTCCTTAAGTACCACCTCCGTCTTCGCAGCCACCATCCCAAGATACACAACCAGAAACCGCATCCTTAACAAATCCAATTTGCGCACTCGTTCCTCCAAATCCCGTCGCCTCGTTCCCCATAATACCCTCGAACCGAATCTCAACCTCTTGTGATCTTCTGTCCTCACCATCTTATCCAAAAGCTCTCGTAACTCATCGCCGCTTTTTTGGATTTCTCGTACCATGCCTGCTAAGCGGAGCTTATCTTCTAATTTGGATATTCGACTGATATCGTGGTCGTAAGAGGCATTTTCTAAAATGCTGGATTCGAGGACGGATAGGTAGGTGTTTAGGTCTTGGGGGGCAGTGTTGTAGGCGGAGAGGTGCGTGAGGAGGGTTTGGATTAGGATGGGGAGGGAGATGGCGGTTGCGGCGCAGGTTAAGAGGAGGGAGGTTGGGAGGCTTGGTTGGAGGGGTGACATTGGTGGGAGGGAGGGGATTAGTGGGTTGTGGGACATTTTGCTTTGATCTTTGATGATGATGGTGATGATGAGGTGGTAGAGTGAGTTGTGCACATATTCAGTTTTGAAATAGGTATTGCTTCTGGTCGGGATTTGGATATGAGGGGTAAGATGAATTAGGATGTGACGGAGATGGAGATGGAGATGGATATCAAATGTAAGATGAAGTAACCTCCATAACCTGATGGATGATCAAGATACAAAAAGAAAAGAAATACTATGAACCTTGGAATACCTAGATGTATGCAGTGTCTAGATAGTAATGTTCCCAGTACTACTTATTACCCACTTCTTACATGTATGGAAAGCCATAGATCAAAATATAATAGACGGTGGGAAAATGAATCCTTGTACTTGCAGAATCATCACATATGATCAATTTTTCCCTTTTTCCTTTTCCTTTGCCATTTATCGGAGTAAGGATCCTGGATGTATGAGTCTATGTGAGTTCCGTTGGGAGAAACTAGGGATATTTAGGGCTTATCTTATGATTTGAATAGGATAGGTGTTTGTGATACTTGTGCTAGTATTCCCATTGATTCATTTGATTGATGAGTAAATCGACTCAAAATATATATATATCAAATGTTGCAAGTTATTCACAATATCGCAATGGCGCAATGAAGTACTAGATACCTAGTAAGATTGATATATATGATATGATTGATATGCGATAAGGTTAAAGATTTCCGCAAGGAAGAAAAAGCAATGCGACGCAATCAAGAGCGGGGAGTTGTTAACCACCTACGGAGTAGTATCTACACCATTGTTGGCCAATGGGACTAATAATTACATGTGTGCGTGGGGTACGCACATATAGTAAATTGATGTACAGCACCATGACCTGCAGTACAAAAAAATCCACATCTGAAATCCCATCTACAAATCCGCCACGACAATTCTTTCGCATTTCCTACGCACGAGTCTAGAAGCAAATAATTACCTACCTGAGATATCCCACAAACGAATCATCTTCACCTCCAACCATGGAATCCTCACCCTCACCCTCACAACCAGAAACCTCCCCGCCTACTCTGCCCCCGCTCTTCACATACCCCTCCTCCCACCCCCCAACCCTCATCACCCAAGGCGCCGAAGCACTCCTCTACAAATCTACATACCTACTACCGAGTCTCAGCTGCGCGCTAAAATGGCGCCCATCAAAACCCTACCGGCATCCAATTCTCGATCAGCGACTAACAAAAGCGCGGATACTGGCTGAAGCAAGGGTATTGGTTAAGTGTCGAAGAGAAGGGGTAGTGGTGCCTGCGGTTTATGCTGTCGATGAGGGGAAGGGATGTTTGATGGTGGAGTGGATTGAGGGGGAGGTGGTGAGGATTAGGTTGAATGAGTGGATTGGGAAGAAGGATGGGAAGAAGGATGGGAAGAAGGATGGGAAGAGGGAGGTCACTGCTGGGGGAAGAGGGGAGTGAGGTGGTGGTGGATCTTATGAGGAGGGGTTGGGTATGCGGTGGGGAGGATGCATGGGGTTGGGGTTGTACATGGGGATTTGACGACGAGTAATTTGATGTTGCGACCGGTGAGGGTGGGAGAGGGGGAGGGAGTGGAAATTGGGGAGGGAGTTGGATGGGCAAATTGTTATAATTGATTTTGTGTTGGCCGAGTCAGAGTACGCGGATGAGGATCGAGCTGTCGATTATATGTGTTGGAAAGGGCTTTTGGAAGTACACATCCGAGGGCGGAGGGATTATTCAAGGAGGTCTTGAATGCGTATGGAACAAGCTATAAAGGCGCACAAGTGGTTTTGAAAAAATTAGAGGATGTGAGGATGAGAGGAAGAAAAAGGAGTATGTTAGGTTGAGGGTCTACAATCTAATAATTCTGATTCTATACTATATCCACTAGTTGCATTAGAATTCTATATATCCAATTGTTTTCAAGGTTCTCTTCGACATCCACCAGGGTTATCAAAGCACTACAGTTCCAAGTAGTCTTGCTATTCAAAGTCAACTTGCAATTTTCAACACGCTTTTGAAAAACCACTTCCGAGGCGCCATTGCGCCAAAACTCAAATATTCAAATGTACTTTTAATGTTCATTCCCTCAATTCCGCTGAAGCGAAATATCCCTTATTTTCTATCACGCCACGATCCCGGACAATAGCGGTATATTTGACCACCCATTCCGGTTTCAAATCACCTTTCATACCATCAATCCCCCTCTTAGATTCCGATAACACACCAGCACCATTTATTCCTTGTCCCAATAGCTCTCGCAAAGTTCCACTAGGTAATATATTGGTGCAATCATTGTGAGTGAAAAGTTCGATGTTCTCTTGTTTGGCGATCTTGAGCAAAGGCTGTGGAACTCTGCAACAATTTTTAACATTTATCTGATCGACTTGCGGTCGTACTCTGACGTTCGCCAAAAATTTAGCAAGTTTTGCGCTGCCGAATTCCGCCAGACCTAATTTCTTCACAATTCCTTGCTCATATAAGTCTTCCAATATAGGCCAGGTCGCAAGTTCATCGGCTTCATTGCCTTGTTCCGAATTCTTTTTGTCTGCTTCCCATTCACAATCGCCGTCGAAGGACATTCCGGGAAATGAAACAATTAGGAGATCAATTGAATTGACACCCAGTTCTTTCATTACCAAATTTAGAGCATCTTTTGTGTATTTTGATCTGGATTCTACATTGGCGCTTGCCAAGTAGAATAATTTAACAGTGATTTCGTAATTTTCGGGCTCTTCTGCAAGTCCAGATAAAGACCAGTCTATGGTGGGAATGTAAAAGTCATTGTCTTGTCTTGTTGTCCAAATAGAAACTGGAGGTCGACTTGAAGCGCCATTTTCTTCATCGGATTCCTCGTGTCCATTGACTCCATTTGCATATGAGGAAGTGGGTGAATAATCTTGTTGCGCAGCGACGAAATTGCTTCGAAGGGAATTTGTGAGTTCGAGATTTGATCCATCTGCGCCGGGTTTTCGGATGATGGAAGGACCCCCGATCATAATATTTCTATGAAGTCGGTCAGTCAATTGCTCCCTGAGTGATAGATCGAAAGTAATCGTACGAGGTGGAAAGTATTAGTCTCGTCATTTTTTTATTTCTTTTTTCGATATTGAGATTGATGGGAAAGTGGGATGCGGAATCGATGGTAAAAATTAGGATGGATACAGGTGAAGTATAAATATAAATCTAATGATACGGAATACAATAGGTAGGTGTAGAGAGAAGAAATCTAAAAGGTCTAGGGAGGAAAGTGAATAGGACCGAAAAAATGTACAAGAAAATAAAGGATAAAAAGGAAAATTATATTATATTATTCTATCAATGCTGTCACAAGCCTTTGGAATTACTGGTAGATAGATCACTAATCTGCATGTGTGTTATCTGCCCCTCCATATCTTTGTAAGCTTTGAACTTTGATGGTTGGAGATTTGAAAGCACTAGAACTTTATTTCCAACCCCTGCAACCTGACCTGACACAAGGCTCCTTCTTTTGCCTAGACACGACACCCTCAAGGCTGAGATATCTATCAATCATTTTCCTTAAGACAACCAACATGGCCATTCAGTATGTATATATTCAAGGGAGTTTAATGAAAGACAATTGATTTGGACTAACATTCTACAGCTATCTCATCTTGCTGTCGCGGCAGGGTAAAGTCGTATGTGCTTCTCCTTTATGAACAATGAGAATCAGCTCGAACATCCACTGACTCCATAAAGAGACTCGCAAAGTGGTTCACAACATTATCACCAAAAGAGAAGGCCAAGATTATTAAAGATGTCTCTCAACTTGTGCTGGCACGAAGAACGAGGATGTGCAACTTCTTGGAGTATAAAGGTCAGATTACTTCAGTAAAAGTACATCTTGGGCTTCATGCTGACTGCATTGATGGCAGATTCCAAAATAGTTTATCGACGATATGCCTCTCTCTTCTTCATCGCTGGATGTGCTTCAAGGGATAATGAACTTATTACTTTGGAAATCGTTCACCGCTATGTTGAGCAAATGGATAAATACTATGGAAATGTCTGCGAGCTGGTAATTCGAATTCCGCAAGGTGAAATCTGTCATTTTATACTAACATGGCCTCAGGATATCATCTTCAACTTTCAAAAGGCATACTTCATATTGGATGAGTTATTGCTAGCTGGGGAAATGCAAGAGAGTAGTAAGAAGAATGTGCTCAGGGTGATATCAGCACAAGACTCAATAGAGGATACAGAGGTGAGTGGTGAACATTACTTTGGGTCATAGTAGTTATTCTAGGCATGGTACCATGTTCTCATCTCTTGGGAACATTATTTCAACTCGAATTTCTTTCATGCTGATCGGAATTCCGCAACTCCAGGTCGACGAAGAGATTACCAAGCTTATGTGAATCGGTGCTTTTATACATGTATTACAGAAACATATATGGGTGGATGGAGTCTGGCGCGAGAATATCACATACCACTTTCAAGCAAATTTCAAGCACTGTGCAGAATTTCTTGTGACGGGTTTGTTTGCTAACTAGGTGCTGGTTCGTTTTCTCTAGGCTCAAGAAGAGGTCATTAGTGGACTTAGAGAGATTGGTCTTGCTTGATACTCTTTCACAACTGCCGACATGAATTTGCAGATTCGGATGAGCGGTACTGGCGTTCTCACACAGGGTGTTTTTATGGATGGTAAGATACCCACAAGGAATTTAAGGTTGGGTACGGTTTACAAATCAAATCCGAGTTTGAGGTATGAAAAAGGCGTTTGTATAAGATTGAGTTATGAAATGGGTGCGATTAATTGATGGATGATTTCAATCTTTGACATCATGTATGCAATGCAGTATGCTGAATATCCACTTCTAAGTCACTGGACTGGATTTTGCTGACATGATTCCCTTTTCCCCCTTTAACTTACTTTTCATACCTGGCTCTTGAGCCACATCAGGATCCACGTTTACGATGATATTTATAATTGTTTACTCGAAATAGATACATTAGGAGAGAGAGAAGCCATTCATGTCTTCTAGAATGACCTTGTTGTAATGTATCTACCTTCTGCATATCCTGTCATCCCTAAACATGACATGCTCTTAATATCTTGGTGTCCAAGAAAATCATTGATTACGTGATATCCAAGCCGCAAACGTGCTCTATTCTTGAGCATGGATTTGAGGAGATACACAGTATAATTTGATGATAACTTCAAACATGATTCACGGTAATTCAACACTTCAAGGTTTGGATCTGTAACAAACCTTAGGGAACTAGTATTAACTAGTATTAATCTATCCTTCAAACACGAGAAACATGTATTGGTTGGTAAGAAGTTTGAAGCTGTTGATCTCCCCAGAACCCTTAGATTCAAACCTGACGATCCACTTTGTGCCACATTGTTTATCAAGAAACTAATACACATCTAGACTAGCACATTAATCATTCCGGTCGCAATCAAGGTTATCAAGATCAAGCGGGTGTCTCCACACCCTTCATCATCCGCTCACCTCCATTCCCCTTCTTTAGTAAGAACAACACCACCCAACTCAACGACATTCACATTTGTTGATTAAAATGCCACTTACCTGCTAGACATTCAGTCTAGCTTGAGAACATTCTTGATATAACCTCCGCATCCAGCGCGGGAAGTATCAATCTTGCTTTCCCAGTTCACGCAGGTTCTACAAACACACCGATAACGGAACAAAGAGATAGCGAGCGCCACGTTTGGTACATACTTCACCGTCAACGTAACGATCGATAATCATTCACTCATCACCAACATACACAATACATATTCTCCATAAATACATGAGGTCTTAAGTACCTGGTTTTCAGTTCAACGAGTCTGAAGAGTCACCGAAAGGTTGTCTATCTCCACAGAATACTCGGGCTCCGTAGCCACATACTTCTCACTTCCTTCCAAAACGTGCGCAACGTCATTACCCCTTTTCTCCAATTAGTTTGCATCGTTATCCACGATAAGAACATATCTAAGTCGATTTCATTCAAATATTTACCAAAATGAAGTTCCCTTCCTCTGCGCGACTTCGACAGTATCACCAGTGCGTTGAATTTCAACACACCCGATTGCCACGTCATTGGTGGTTGTGATCTTTATACAACCAAAGCTGCTGGCTCGGATAAGAAATTATATCGCAATATTGAGAACTCACTAGAATCTCAATATGAATCTCTTCTCAAACTATCGGCTTCGGTATCACCTCCTCTTGATCCCAACGAAGCCGGCGTGAACCTCTCTCGTTCAAGTCCTTTTGGACCTTTGAGTCAGGTATCGAGTCGCAGGACTTTCGCGTATCTTATTGCAACACTTAATGCAAGTCATCCTGATTACGATTTCTCCCATACTCTTAGACCTGCCGATTTCCATAAAGAACGAAGCTTAAAGACTGTCATCAATACCATCGATTCTACCCTCTATAATCTCAGACCAAGTTCGGGTATGACACTTCATGTCCCATCGCAGACTTCATACAAGACAACTTCATCTGCTGGAGCTACAAGTCAGGCTTGGAGTCCTCAGATGTGGGCTTTGATTGATACGGAGATGACTCTCAAAGACTGTACAGTCTACTCTTGGGCCCCTCCTGATGAACCATTTGATGGTGAATTGGGATCTATTTGGAGCCTCAACTACTTTTTCTTTAACAAAGAAAGAAAAAGAGTCGCGTATCTGTACGTTCGAGCTGTCCCGGTCATGAGCCATAGTCCAAGTCAAGCTCAGGGTATGATGAACCAAGAAGCCAACTACAGTGATTATGATTCCGGCGCAAATAAACGTGCTAGATACTGGTTAGGTGATCGTGCTGATCTTGCGATTGATCAAGATGGAGATGATGACACCGATGTTAACATGTGGGATGAGGACGACCAAGTCGATCCTGAAGAAGAATATTACGATGGCTATGATGAAGTCGACGATGAATTCGATGAACAGAATTACAAGGCACCTATACGTGGTGTTAGTGAAGATATTGCTGCGTCGATGGATATTGATTGCTGAACAACTTTTTTTTTAAGCCTCTCTGCATTTTCTGTTTTATCAAGCAAGCTGGCCGGCGTATTGTGGAAGTGGTGGCACAGCTACCCTTCTTTCTATCCCCATTTTTTTCTTTTCTTTCGTGAACAAAATACCATCTTGTTTATGTTGCTTACTTCTGCTTTCTTGTTTGTACTTTTGGGTTTTCGGTGGGCGACCTGTAGGAACTATGGGATGGATGACGTGATGAACTATTTGGAATGGCGTTTGGCTACGGTTCGGTTCGGTGAGAGCGTACTGGGTTGGCTGGCGTTATACCTATAGTTTTCTTTCTTTTTGCTAGGTAGCTCATGGGATGGATATCAGTGAAGGGGCGCTTGCATAATGTTTTGGATGGGTGATCGATTATGCATGTGTGCGTATGCTTTTGCGTAAGCATGGTATGATATGATTAATTCTTCAACACTATAATACTCTAATAATGGAGTAATATGAATCAAAGTTTCCTCGAGGATTTCGAGATGTGAGGATTGTTTTGAATGATCGAGAATACGATACTTCGAACTGGTCTTTGTTGTACTTTTGGATACCTATGCATATCTTATTGAAACTTAGCTTTGTATATGTAAGAGAGATAAATCATAATATGATAGTATCTCGATATCTGTCTGATCATACATATTTTTTCCCCTGAATGGCTCATGATAATTAATCATAGACTTCGACTGGGGAATAACTCAAATCTAGCGTAGAGTAGCGAGGAGGATTTGGTTATGATTAATACTATTTTAATCTGTTTTGTGAGGGAGATGTGATTCTTGTTAAATGAATTATGAGTTGGTGGGGATGAAGTATGTTGAGTGAGGTATTGGTGAGGTATTATAGATATGTATACATATACATATACATATACATATACATATACATATACCACAAATACCTTCTCCAGATTTCTCTATAGCTATACACAAGGTATTTCTACACATTCAAGATCTATTTAGTATCTATGAATATCTGTAATCATTTATTAATTATACTCTCTTTCAAGTTCCCACTTCTCATCCACCTAAACTCAAAACATCAAACATTCAAAAAAAGGAAGAAAACCAAAAAGACCAAAAAATATTTAAACCCCCCGGACCCCCCAGAACCCCGGAGAACACAATCCACGATAGCGCAAAACATTTTCGTGGTATTTGTGATTTCTCTTTTTTAGCTCCTGATACGCCTATGCATCCCAATGGTGGCGTAGCGGCACTTCCATTGTTTCGTTTCGTTTCGTTTGTTTTTGTTTTTTTTTCTTTTGGGTGAAAAGATGTGTTGTGTGATATGATGTGATGGATGCATGATGCGTAAGAGATGCTGAAATGGGGTATCTATCTATTGTTTCGTTTCGTTTGCTGAAATTTGAAAGGATGTGAAAATAAAAGGAAGTTGAAATGAAATGGAGGGGAAGATGAAGATGAAGATAGAAATGTGGAGAGATGTTGGGATGATGAATGAGTGTACCGGTACCCGACCCTTGGGCGGTGGGAGAGGGAGTAGGATGAGAGGTGTGATGGAGAGGTGAGAGTGTGGGAGTGAAGTGAGGTTCGTCGAAGTGATGTGTGTGTGGCGTGTGAATCGAAGATTGGGCTACCGACGCGAGGGAAAATAGTCTAGGATGATCTGAGCTGTTGAACATCCTAAACTACCTATTCAACAATAGCGTCACCATATAGTAGAACATAGCGAAAACTACTTTCTCCACCACATCTTAGCGAATCCACGTTGTCGCTGCTCGCGCTTCGCAGCACCATCCTGGAATTCCTCGCTAGCCGAGCTATCGCTACTTTGAATCTTGGTACTGCGTGGATTACCAAAGATTTTGAGAAGAACAGTCATGAGCACACTGCTTAGAATACTCAAACAAAGAATACCGATCATAACGAGATTACTCTTGCGGTAGCGATGAGGTCCTGCTTTGGCGTCTTCGGGCCATCCGGTATATAATGCGTAGGTGGTTGTGATACTGCCTAGATTACCAAGACCGGATACTAGGGCTGATGCGGCGGCTACGCCGACTTCTCCGTGACGGTGTTGGAATATTTCGTTGGTCCATGTCATGCAGATGGGGACGGTTGGGCCAAGTCCATATCCGACCATTAGGAGACCACCGTAGCGTGCCCAAGGGTGAGAGATGGGGGCAAAAGTTGTGGTGAGAAGACCGGCGATTTGGATGAGTACTGCGGCGGAGAAGAAAAAGGCTCGGTACTTATGGAAGCGGTCGGATATTGGGGTTACCATGAGAATAGCGATAAGGTCCATCTATGATATGTTAGTCTGGCATCCCATGTGATTACTTAAAGGTACTTACAATCCAGATTGGTGCGGTGAGCAAGCTGAGTGTGATACCCGAGAATGAGGAATCAATACCTGATATAATGACAGTAGCGTAGAGTTGTGTACCAATACCAACACCAACGACACCGAAATACATCAAAGTAAGAGGCCAAAGACGCCAATCAACCAAGACATAAGCAAGATCTTTCCAATCCCATGATCTTGGATGATAGACTCTTCTCAGATCCTGATAGTGAATCTCAGCATCTTCACCCGTCAAAACTGGCGGGGTAGCAGGAAGCCATTTCGCAAGACCTGTAGGAACTCGTAACGGTTCCAGGAGGAAGAGGACGATCTGGTAACCACCCTTACATGTCCAATACCAAGCACAATAGCACAAAGTCCATACAACAAGAACATC